AATTTTATATATAAAATGTACTTCTGTAACAAAAGTTTACAACTATTCAATAGATCTATACTTTCAAAATTAATTTTTTACATTAATATATAATATATATTTGTATATTATTAATATGCCTGTAATAGGGACGGCTTGGAAAATATCAAGACCCTATACAGTCATTTTGTGATTTTGTCATTTCTATAAGCTTTCACTTACCAAGTGAAGAGAAATCTTTACAATACATTAATTGTCCATTACTTTTAATTTATATTTTCCTAAATAATTATTTGAAATTATGAGCTAAGATTGCATCCTCGATACAAGACCTCTAAAAGTAAGGAATCAATGCGAGCACACAGCTTGCATTGCCTTCAAGTCGGCCCAACTTGTTAACCAACTGATTATACAATTATTTAGTATAATTTATAAGTTAATTAGAAATCTACTATAGTAAATCATTTTTGACCCCACAGTTTATTAAAATCTTTGGTGTGCCACTGAGTGTAGTATAGAATAAATAATTTTAAGTTGTAATCAACTCACTTAGTTTGTATTCATTAAATTCAGCTCTTGTCAATTTTGGTGAGTTATCTAAAGAGAGGCATAATAATATTATGGATATTAGTTTATACTGGTATTTTATTGTGACATGTTTTTGTTGTAAAATATGTTTACCGTATACGTATTACATTTTAAGCCCAAAGAACACGACGCTTGTTTTGCTACTGTATCACCAGCTGAAAATAGCGATGAAAACCGAGATATCTAGCTAATCGCTTTTGTATCACACGGTGTTATTGCTGGGCTAGTTTTCTGCTTTATAAAACAAAATATCACTTATAAGTTAAGTCGGTCGCGTTCAATTCATTAAAGAATCAAGCACCGAAATAGGACAATTTCTATCACGAAATCCACACGTGATCTCACTACAGACCTATTAAGGTACCCATTATGGCATCTCAAGAATTATTATAGTTCCCAACATCCAATTCATACAAAACAAGCGTCGTGTGCTGTGGGTTTTAGATTTTAAGTGTATCGATTGGTTTTTTCCCAAAAATTTTCCTCAAATCAAAAAATGACTTTTGTTGATAAATAGTATCTATTTAAAAAACAATAAATTTAAAAAAATCATCAAGGAAGATATTCCTAGACACTTCAAATATGGTACTTATATGTTTTATATACTTACAGTTTACATTTATGTAATCTTCGTCATTGGGATATTCCAATCCTTCAAATGCATTTAAATTTGTTACAGAATTAAATAAATAGGGAACAGAGTGAAAGTAACTTAACCTTGATTTGTATAACTGTATAATAATCTCATATAAAAAAAATAGACTGTATAATATCATACCTATTTCCAAAAGGTATGCCTCGTAGGAATGATGATGAACACGTGGATAAACTGAACAATTCAAACAATTTAACATAATATACTTTGTCGGTGTTCAATGCATTTGTATATACAATTATTTTTTCATGTTTTATGTTCAATTATTGTTTTTCATTTTTTATCAACATATAAACCAATAACCAAATTGTATACTTTCATTACGTTTAAGGTAAATTGAATTTAAATTAATAAATAATTTAATAAATAGAGATCGTAAATCCATGGATCGAGATGGTACGTGAATTTAGAAATCACACAAAAAATTAAAATATTTATATTACATTTTAGATTCTGAGCGGAGCGAGGAAATGAGGAATGTATTGGTTTTACAATGGTGCTTATTTTTTTTTTATCTGTGAATTCCTTTTTTATCAGTAATTTCGCTCTGATTTATAATGATAGCATTTTTCTGAAAAGATGGTTAATGGTTAATCGTTGCTTACAGATATATCTACAATAAATTATTAATAATAGTGGCCCGAGATGGTACATGCACAAATTTTAAGGGCACGCGAAAAATTAAAATATTTATATTATATTTTTATTTTTAATAATAAATAATAACATCACATTAAAACACATTTTTTTATTATTATATATACACATATATATTATAAACCAGGTGATTCAATTAAATAGGTAAACTAATTATCTCGGAAAGTATTTAGTTTTTTCAGGAATTTATTTTCTAAAACATTTAAGAAACAAGCTGCTCCACAATTTTATATTTGTGTTATTTTTTGTCACCCTTTTTTGGAGGGTCGAACCACTACCTACTTTTGATTTTCAAATGGCACCCTGTATTAAAAATTACATAATAGATGAAGTATTAGTTAAAATAAATTTTAGTGTTGACATTTTTGATTTTCGTCGATCCATTGACGAGATATTCCACTTTTAAGTTTAAGTTGGAGGAAAGTAGTGATGGAAAATGTTAATACTTTCCGAGATAATTAGTGTACCCACTTAAATTAATTACCTGGTATATATATAATATTTTTTATAATTGAATGGCATGCTCGGAAAAAAAAGGATATTCTTGGCACGAAGCGTCAAAATAATTAAATATATAAATTAATAATATTATTATAATTTGATTGCCAAGCTATTTGATAAAATAACTCACATTTTTTCAATTTGAAGAATAGTTGTTGTCGATACATTTCTATCATTTGAAGTCCTAACAATATAATATATGTAATATATATTTTGTAAATTAAATAATTTGTTTGTATTTTATGACCACTCCTATAACTGACCTATTACTAGTATGATTATATTTAATATTTACATAATTAATATTCATTGGTTCTATTAGCCTAATGTAAAATGTTATGATTGTAATTCGTAAAATAGTCTATGATTAATTATTATTAGTAATTATTTTTTAATTTATTATTTATGTATATATATATATATTTTACTGGTGTAACTTTAATCTTTATATTTTAAAAGTACAGATATCAATACCATAGATTTTTTTACACCGTCAAAAAAATTAAAATCTAGTGCCCGAACAGCGATTTTATTAGGTGAATAAGACAAATTATGCATACTCTTATTTTATTTTATTTTTTTGTTTATTTGTTATAAAATTATAAATTATTGTTATTTAAACATAAGTTATTTACATAATTAAATATTTCATTTAGTTAAGTATTTAATAAGTTACATAGTATATAATGTACTCATAATAACATAATAATAAATTTATGTTAATAATGACTGCTCACCTAAATCCTGAATTTTTGCACAAAACTCATCGTATGTTTCATTTATTTTCGGAAAATCTGCAAAACAATAATTTAGTAAAATACATTTTATGACTCAAATATGGCTGAAAGTTGGGAGGAAGCTAATTTTTAAATTAAAATAGTTACTCTGATACAGTATAAAAATGATTATACATTTATCGAGTGTTTCTTGCCTTTTTATAATATTCTTATCATGGGTTGGCATAGTTTAAAATAACTTCAATCTAATATAAAGTATAATTAAATATTTAATATAACACCTACCTAAATTTATTTAATATGGATTTAAAATATATTATATGCAGTAACACTGGCACTGATGGTGATGTATTCAATGAAATTTTCGGTTCTTAATGATTATTTTTAAATAATTTTCAACAAAAAAGAAAATAACAAATCGATACTTTTTAGAGTATCGTACAAGTAATGAATGCTGGTTTTACTGTTACGGAATTAAATTTTACCGCCCATTCCCCCATATCGTGAATTGGATTAGTGTGCAAGACTACGACCACGACAGATTCATCTACAACACAAATTAAATATTTTATATAGTACAGAGCACGGCTACAATAGTGCAATGTATATAGTCCTATAAATGGTTCACTATCTCATATGAAGTATTTGCTTCAATTAATTCTTAGAAATAGAACTCTACCAGAAATATTAATATCAGCCTATTACCTCTCTGAGTGGAGCGAAGAATGTATTGGTTTTACAAAGATGTTTATTATTTTATACTGTGTATAAAAATTCTACTAGAAATCTTGCTGAACTCCGCTCAAAATCGTTTTTCGTTAGTAATGATTAATCATTGCGTACAGGGGGTCTATTCTGCTAATTAAACTACGCCAAGTACTCAAATTCTTGACTTACTTTCTTGGCATAGTGCTATTCCACTAAAATATTAATTTTCCATACTCTTCGCGTATTGTTCCGTATTATGCTTTTTTGAAGTATGCCAACTATGATACGTCGGGAGGTATCTTTGTTGGCTTACTTAGCGTACTTTCCTGTTTATATTCGATTTGGTTATCTTTTAAAGTTGTTATCAATTATCATTGATTGTTTTCATTATTATTTGTTTATTTGCGGTTGCTATGTGTAGACTGTTGGTCATTTATTTAACGTACCTTGTACTAAATTTTTACTTACATTCAATGAGGCGCGACTAAATTTTTTGTTTTTATTTGATTATGAACGAGATGATGACAGTAGACAGTTAAGGATAGCCCTTAGCCGTCCTTGATGATCCTTAGCCGTCAACGGAAAGTATATCGGTTATTCGACAAAAAATTCCGTAACAATTTTCGGATATCAAAACATACATTTAAACGTAAAAAAAACTTTATTCGAATTCGAAAAATACTAACACAGACTCGACATTTTATATTACTAACCTCTAAATTTATTCCATCAATTATCATTTACTAGTAATACTAGTTTTATCAACAAAAGAAATACAAAAACTATGCTCGTACAGAAAAAATAGCAGAATAAAGGCCAACGCTAAAGTCAAGTATACCCATGTACGCTTCTCTCGAAAGTATACGAAGTACATCCGCATTTTTTCACGAACAATAACAGAGTAGACTTCCAGGTATACATTAAATTCCTCTTTGTATCCTACCTTCCTAACTTCTTAATTATAATAGTGGCCATCCCCATTGTCCAAAGTATGTCAGTCTTTTTTATTATAATAGTTAATCATTTTTCGAACACTACATAATATTTTTAAATATTCTATACATTATACTAAAAATAACTTACAATACTGAAGACAATTGAAATGAACTATGTCTAACGGTTGATTTCCATCTGAAAACGAATAACATTAATTTAAAATGTTGACAACTTATACTATACTATTATAATATTACAAAAACATAAAATCGGTAGAAGGCTTAAGAGGTGCTGGTGTCGTGCTTCGGCTCATTATACATAAAAAAAATAAAAAATCCTATGCAAGTTACATAATCTAACAAATCTCTATCGTCTCTGATTGTTACTGCTGGGTAGCTTCTATCCTTATTCCTTCATGTCATTATAATATATCTTAACTCTTATATACTTATTGTAAATATCACAGATTGTATAATGTATATATACACTAATAAACGTTAAAAAAAAAAAAATTAAATCCATAAAAGCTAGTGTAGATACTTATTATTACGAATCCCGAAAAAGAGCTGTGCTAAGTTAATCCATACAATAAATGTGGGATATCGGACATTCAGAAAATGTTTTAAATAAAAACCATTCGCGCACAACTTATATAATACCTATATAATATAATAATATAGGCATGTATATTATAATATATGCAGGATCTACACTTGAAAATACATACGTTCGAGGAGCCTTTTGGCGTAATCTGTATATTCGGTAAAGAAGTTCGGGGAAACTAGAAAAGAAAAAAGAAAATTCACATTTTGCATTATTTATTTATATCAATAATATTAATACCCGAAACCATACGATTTAGGGCATAGTTGTTAGCACCAGCATATCCATCAATAGTAGTATTTATTAGTTATATAATGCAGAATTTCGGATTAAACAAATCGAACTTACTTCTTATGAAATGTTTGTGTAAATCTTCTAAATACCATTCTATAACTATAATAATTATTATTTTTAGGTAAATAATATAATATTACAACCGGGCAAATGCCTGTTGGCCTGACTTATGAATGGCTTGTAGTAATTGGTCTGATAATAATTATATATAATATATATATATTATATATATATTATATACGAGCGGTAGAAGGCTATTCTGCTTACATTACATACCTAAATTCTTATTTATTTTCAACTTTATTCTAGAGAGGGGGTTAGCATATAACCTAACCTAACCATAGTACCGAACATTTTGAAGCAACATTCCTTTTTTCGATCCTTTTCGATTAACGCTAAATTTGTTCAAAGTGACCAAGAGACTATTTATGCACCGTTTCCAAAGGTTAGTGGTATCAAATTATGAAGGGGACTTATGTAGAGTGCCAAGTCAAATTTTTTAGTGCTAAAGCTATTCTCCTTATCACTAAATGCCACTGAAATAAATTTGATCCAACTATCAGAAGGGAGGTTACTTTTTATATGAATTGCCATTAACAGATACATACAGAGTGATTTATTACGCATGCTTATCCCATTTTTAGGGATAAATTAAGCATATTATACTTTTAGATTTTTGGAATTTTCAAGTGTAGTTAAAGAGGATATTTTCGTATATTTAGATTTTTCACAACATTTAAGGAGTATCGTGCGGTAATACCAACTTTGATTTTTCAAATAAGAACCTACATTAAAAATTCCATAAATAGATGGAATATTAGATAAAATACATTTCGTTGTTATAATTTTTGATTTCCGTTAACTCCTTCATGAGATATTCCAGTTTTAAGTTTAGACAGAGGGAGAGTAATAGAATATAATTTATTTAACGGCATAGCGTCTGGTGTTTGGATAGTGCTCTAATACTCTTCCCCTGTCTAAACTTAAAAAAGAATAATATATATTTTATCTAACAGTCTATTTATTTATGGAATTTTTAAAATTCTTTTTTTGAAATCCCAATGTTGGTATTGTCAACAGGATACTCCTTGTTCTGAAAAATCTTAGTATACGATAATATCTTAAACTACAATTAAAAATGTTCATATACATTTATATGTATTTTATAGGTATTATAGGTATTTTTGGTAATTAACGTATTTCACACTTATTTATTATTAAATTATATAATCATAATTTTGAATTAATTTGAATAAAATAATGTATTTTATAATGCCTTACTATAGTAATATTTAATAGCTAAATATTTGATATGAAATAATTACTTTCGTAGACGCCGAACAATTTTAACGGTTTATTCCCCGCAGATTCTTCTTCAACTACAAATGCATTTTTAGTATTTTGATCAGACATAGAAGATACAAGAAAATCGATTTTATTTTCAATAACAGTTTTACTTAATAATAAACAGATAATTTTTCTTCCCCGTAATCATATAATAACCACTGATATAATTGTATCCATTTTTCTTAAACACTTTTGAAATATACTTATTTTAGATTCTAAACGTAATGAAATTGGTGTTAATATTATATGTGTGTTTTTTTGTGTGTGTATACTGTTTATAAACTAATTGTATTGTAATATTATTATTATTATTGTAATAGTTAATACTCTATAATGTTAGGCGCAGGTAAATATTATATATACAATGTACACTTGTACACTGTTCATATACACATGTGTAATAAACAATACAGTTACTTATAGTAGCAGAGGTAAATTTTAGCTTAAACAATAAATTTGTTATACCTAGTTTTATAATAATACTTACACATTTGTTTAACTCTAACATTATAGTGTTCAGAAGATTCCCCTAGTAGTGGCAATCCTGATAATATTAGACATATTATTAGACAATTAATAATAAATGTCCCACGATCATTAATTTGTAAAATACTTAAACAGGTACATGGATATTATTTAAAGTTATAGAATCTATTTTATAACTAGAATTTTGACAAATAAGTATAGATGACAATTAGCATAGGCACGTGATAATACTGATTTTATTATAATATACTCTTACATATTTTATAATGTGTATATATATATATATATATATATACACATATAAAATCGTTGGTAGGTAATAATAATATATTAGAAAATTTGTAAATACACGTGAATATAGTGTAGATATCCTTTATATTATACCTTGTATGAATCTATCAAATTGTTCTTTAGTCATATATGGTAAACCTAGAATGGTATATAGTGGTTATTGATTATATAATATAAGTATATATTATAAAGTATAGTAGATTCCGTTACTTACCTTTGATAAGACCAACTCTCCTAGCGTAAGCGGCATAGTTTTCACACATCCTTGGCGCGACTGGAAATAAAAAGATAACCAACGAGTAAGTATAAGTATTTTCAATTTATATTACTAAAATGGCAATCATCAACAATAGAAATATTTATTTTAACATAATTATAATTTGTATCGCAACGATCCTAGTTTTACTATTATAATATCAAATACGCAATAACATTCTCAGCAGTCCGTCTAACAGGCACTAGGTATATCAAATATGTTGAAACAAACATTTTGTCATTAAACTAAAGATAAAATTTCCTATATTTTCAAAATATTTATTAATTAAATGTATTATTACGAATTAGAAAAAAAAATTTTATATTTTGAAGTACAAATAAATTTTCAAGAAATTATAAATCAAAATTCACTAAAAAAAACCAAGTAAAATAATTTTTTCGTCTTCAATTCAGAGACATTTTCATTTTAAGTCTTCATTAGAACTAGAGTAGATAACGACTGAACTTTCAAAAATACATTTTTACTACCTATATCACCCGTTAAATAAAATAATTTCAATATAGGTATTTAAATTACAAAATTACATTGGTATTGTATATTGCAATAATATTAAAACAATTTATTGTGATTAAATAACTTACTGTCGCTCATTTTCTGGTACCAATCGTTACTTAATACACGCGCTGGCCCTAATAATATTAAAATTATTTTAAATAAGTTAGTATTTTTTTTAATGTTTAACACTATATTATTAATTTGGGCAAAAAAAACAAAGCATCGGTAAAATATACAATGTTTATAGGTACTAGAAATGTGTAAATCTCAAATAAAACAATAGGTAATCAAATAATATAAAATTAATGAAGAATAATATTTAACTGGTAATTTTATTTTTTTTTTCATGTATAAATATCATTTATTTCATGAATTATCATTACAGTTCAGTGTTTCAATATGACTTTTTCCGATATCCGATATTCTAATATTTGCTACCACAATATAAAACCGATAACCGATTTGATAATTGAAATCGAAAATAATCTGTGTGTTTTTAATGAAATTTATCGATATATCGGTAGAAACCCCCATTTTAACGGTCTTTTATTTCTGAGATACCTATTATAGTCATTTATTTCCGAATCTAATACTCACCATTAAATACCAACAAACTGTTATAAACTTACATTTGTATTTATTACGAAACGTAAACATCTCGTAACTTTCATAATAAGAAGGATAAACTAAAAAATAAAAAGTGTCAAACATTTATAATTAAATCCCTATATTCAATAACATATTTTATGTTCCAAAATCCTTAAAATTAGTGGAACAAAGTCAGCAAAACACAACTATTACTACCCTAGAATTAAGTGTTGATTAATTGTAACAATTAAACAATTATCACATTTAAAAATCACATATTCTGCTTTAGACAAATTTAACAGAACATAGGTTAAAAAAAACAACGATTATAAAACCACATAAAACCAAATAAATAGGTACCTACTCGAAAATTGTACCGTACATTTTTTTTTATTATAAAATCGTGAAATTTTGTTTAAGTGCAGTCATTTTGCATAACAAAAAAGTGAAAATAGTTTTCAATTTGTACAATAATTGATTTTTGATTAATTTCCCTAAAAATTTGATATAAGAATATATATATATATATATATATATATCATAATAATTAAATTATTTGTTTAACAATTGTTATTCTGTTTACTTTTTTCTAAAACTTGTAAAACATGCGACTTTTGAAGGGAAAAAATACTACAATTGATTTATAATTAATTGATTATCTTTAATTTATTATCCGATAATAATAGTTGTGTTTAGGCGTTCTGCTTACTTTGCTCTCCTTATATTTGTATTTATTCGTATGACATGTATAAAATGATTATACATGTATAATGATTAACAAAAATGTCAATGTAAGTCTAATAATAATAATTATAATAAACAAACAATGAATAAATAACAAGTAATAAAAAAAATTTAAAAAATAGTAATAATAGAGTAAGTAACGGAATTAGTGTAATTTGAACATAGCTAACACATGATAACATATTGGTAGAGTTGTATTGGTTCCAATAGTTTAAGATCGAGATTTCTTCACATCATTTCATAACACTTAAGGACACACTGGAAAAATTCTTCATATATCCATTGTATTTTTTGTTTCAACAATTCGCTGATAATGTAAGATATTGTTTGATTAGGGTAGCCACAGTCGCAATTAGGTGTTAGGACTTAGAAGAAAGGCCCATTTGTTCATTAAGTCATCACATCTGCTGTGACCCATTCGGATTCGGTTTATCACTGACCATTTTGCGAGGAAGACCATGACCAGGAACGCTCCTTGTGGCCCTGTAACTCTGGCCAAAAGTTTTATGATGTTCATTTTTCCTTTCAGGTTTGGTGGAGATTAAATTTTGATGTATTTAATTCAATTGCTGTTATTCGCGTGGAGGATTTCTCGATTTAAGCCTCGGGAGTTTTGCAAGTTAGGCACCATAAGAGTAGATCGATAAGGACGGGAACAGGGAGCATTTTCTTCCATTAATTTATAAGAGCTTGTTCGCGTCGTAGTGCTGGTAGGCCAATGTAAAATAGCGTAGGTAACCATTACGTAAGAGTGGATTTTAATGTTCCGGATATTATGTGTATAAAGCGATTTAATTGGGTTTTATCTTTTTTGTTTGAAAACTAGGGCTGACGGTATTGAAAATGAATACCGATAGTACAGTATTGTGTTCAATACCGATATGTACCGATATACCGAAATACCAATGTGTACCGAAATATCGATAGGAACCAGTATACCATTTGAACTATGTACCGAAATACTCCGAATTACGAAATAACTTTAATAAACCGGTAAGATAATGATGATGGAAGTTCGTCCAAGATTTCTTGTAAAAATAACATTATCGAATTTAATCGTTTTTACCTTCATGTCAGTAATCGTACTTACGTTATTTAACTTAGTTAAATTAGTTAAAAATCTACGGTTTTTCGGTATACCGTATCCTATGATTTTTACGGTATACCGTGTGGCACAAAAATCTTCAAAAACCAGCATTAACGGTATACTGAAAATACCGTCAGCCCAAGTGAAAACTATTGATCCATATAGAGGCTCAATATTCTGCAATCGAGTAAACAAGTACGATAGTAGATGTTCATAGTGTTGAGAAATCAGCACCTCACTCTGTACCTGTAAGCTTTTGTATGATGTTGTTTAGGGAGTTGATTTTTGCTGCAACGTCAGATAATTACTTATTGTTGGGAAAAGGTCTATCCAGTGTAATTCCCAGGTATTTTGAATTGTGGTTGTATGTGATATTGCGCCCGAAGAATGGCCAATTTAATGAGTGGTTAGTCTATTTGTTGTTGAGGTGTAAATCAGACAAATCTGTTTTGCTAGGGCTCGGTTGTAGCCTCCACTGTGTGAAGTATTCGTTTATTGTATGGAGATCTGAATTTAGTACTTGATCACATGTATTCAGACATTCAGTCCTGTTTCCTGATACGACATTCCAATACGACTACAGAACGCTTCTACGCAGTGTATACCCGGACAATGACATAGACAGCTAAAGTTCTATTATCTTCTGGCAGCCAAACTTGCGATAACTTATCATTTGCTGGTATCGAATTAGGCTCCTCTTCTACGTAAGGCGTCCTACAAAAAAGAACTATTTTCAGGGCTCACAGACACGGAATGTTAGCCTCCAGCTGCACTTCCTCCAACTCAACATTTGCTAAACTAACTTTTATAAAGACATATTTCTCCAAGTTTGAATAAGCAAAAAAATTAATAAAAATAATTTATAAAAAATTATACGAGTAGATTAAATTAAAATGATTATATTATATAAGTACTTAGCATATGTTCAACGAAATTCGTTTTGCCCAATGTTTCTATACCTAAACGTACCAATGATTTAATAATTAAATTATCATATGAAATTATATTGGTCATTGAATGACATACCTATACCTACTAACATATACACATAACTAGGTGTGGGTACAATATAGCTGCGGCATTCGCAGGTTAAAAAATATTGTACTTTATATATAGATTAATAAAACAGGTACTAATATTTGATTGTATACCTAATTTTTTCCAATTTATACACCCCCCCTCCCCTAAAAACAATTGATCTTTTGTTCAATTCTGTACACGCAGAAACGAGGGAGGGCACAGGGGAAAAACAGTTTTTATTATTTTTTTCATTCGGTACTGTACACGGGCAATCCGTGTAGGACAACCGTTTATTACTAGTTATTTAATATAGGTTGTATAAGGTTTTATATATAGCTTTAAGTAATATATAGGTAATATAGGTAATATATAAATTTTTTTTTTTGGTTAAAATAACTCCCCTTTATTATGTTCACTAATCAGGCACTGAGCATAATAACGTCATAGACTCGTCTTATTTACAAAAATAATCCTTACCATTTATTTCCATCCATCGCACATTGAAGTGTTCATCGTGTTCATTTAAGTTTATTGAATCTATTAAATAATTATAGGTAGTAAAAGTAAATATATAACACTGCAACATGAGAACATTTTATTCTTCTATAATAATAAATAATAATATCCCAACAACAATAATTCATGACTTTAGTTATATAATAAATTGTATATTATGTATGTATAGTAATTAAACGTTCTTATTAAATACAAAATTATTTATACTTTAAAATTCAAAGATATTTTTGATCAGTATCGTTAATACTTAACAGTTAAAAATAGGTATCTATATACTGGGTGATTCACTAAGCGCGCCACTCCATTTATATTGTTAAACAAGTGTAGTTGAAGACGATATTTTAAAATAATTAAATTTTTCACTGCACTTAAGGAGTATCCTGTGGTGACACTAACTTTGGTTTTTCAAATGAGAATCTATATTAAAAATTTCATAAATAAATAAAGTATCAATTGAAATAAATTTTAGTGTTAACATTTTTGATTTCCGTCAACCCGTTGACGAGAAATTCGACTTTTAAACTTAGGTAGGGAGAGAGTAGTGGAATATAATTTGTGTGGCGTCACTACAATAGTACTACACTACTCTCCTCCTACTCTATTATCCTCTTTTCTAAACTTAAAAGTTGAATATCTCATCAACGGATAAACGGAAATCAAGAATTTCACCACCAAAATGTATTTAAACTAATACTTAATCTATGGAAGTTTAAATATAAGTTCTCATTTGAAAAACTAATGTAGGTATTGCAATAGGATATTCCTGAAATGCTGTGAAAAATCTAAGTATTCTAAAATATTGTCTTCAAGCTTCAATTACACTTAAATATTCCAAAAATCAGAATTTGAATATATGCAAAATTCAACTAAAAAAAAGGAATGAGTACGCTTAGTGATTCACTCTATATAAATAAATATGGCACATATATACAAAGCTAGACTGGGTAGGGTCTAACCCACTGTCCTAGATTTAAAGGCAGCCCATCTCGATTTTTGTTGATGACCTTCTTTTGACTTTTTGTTTTTTTTGCTTATCAAATTTTGCAAATAAATACGAGTAAATTATATGTTTTCATTCATATTAAAAATATATACATTAAAGCGAGTAAACTGTATTTTATTGTCACATATGGGTCCTATTATAGATCAATGACTTTTTTTTAGGCACCGGCCCAGAATTCAACTAAAGACAGTGGCTCACTGTTCTAGAACAGTCCTGCCCTACATATATACTATATAGCAGGGGTGGCCAACTTGCGGCTCGCGAATTACATGCGGCTCGCGTCTTATTTACAAAAACAAAATTTACTTATAATAATTGAATTGAGTATATTAAAATGAATTTTAATTTTTTTTCGTACACATTTATAAAAAAAAAAATATTTTTACTATATAGATATAAGGCTATAAAATACAGATTAATAAACATTTATACATAACAAATAATTACGAATAATAAAAAAAAATATAAACATTAAACTAAATTTGTTTGCGTGGTATTTTTTTCGCGTCTATTTTTTTAGTAAGCTTCTTAATATCTGGTCGCATTGATGTTAGAACAGTTCCCAGTAATTCTGTGAGATGATCATCAGTTAAATTTAAACGATATTTCCACTTAATTATTTTCATTTTTAAATAAAGCGATTCACACGAATATGGCGTTCCAAAAATTGATATCAATTCTACCGCGCAGTTTTTAATATTTGGGTATTGGAAATTGTTAGAAAATTTGTAATCTAATCAAAACAAAATAATATTGAACTAATACGCAATTTGATAATATGTTCATAGGCTGTTAGCTATCTTTATTACTTTTGTTTAATAAACGTACAGATTAAATCAAATTATATAAAATTATAAAATGTCTTTACAAATATTTCGGCACTTAATATCATTGCATTTATATATGTGGCTCGCGAACATATTCATATTAGCTATCCCTGCTATATAGATACCTATAACTTACCTATCTAATTCATAATACTTATAAAATTAAATATATTCGCTATATTATAATATAGGTACCTACTAATTAAATCGTTTCTAATATAATTTTATACTGTATAAGTACATCTTATAGTTACTTACAAAATTTTTCAATTTTATTAAGATGTTCAGTATAGCTTTCGCCTAAAAGAACTTGGCCTAAGTAAAAAAAAATGTTAAAAATTAAAATTAAAAATAAATAATAGATATGTGAATTGAAATAACATACAGGCCTTATGATCTTTGAATTTATGTAGAGGCACTGCTATTCTATCTAATAATATATTTTATAATTAAATAACACTTCATTATTCACTTTAAGCCAACAAAATAAATTATTTAGGTATCTACTGAAATTCTTTACATATGTCGGAGTACAAAATACTGTTAAAAATACTCACCAATACATTTCAACCTATTATTGTATTCCAAGTAAGTCTCATAAGGTAATGTATAAACTAAAACAAAAAACATTATTATAAATTAAGTTAACGTTGGTAACATTTTTAAATCTCTTTTCTTATCATAATCTAATACGATTGAGTTTACTCCCTGTGTAATAAATTTTATTTTATTTTTTCGTCTTTTCTGTTTTAAATGGGGGTTCATCATCAAATCAATCAAAAAGCGTTAAAAATTGAAGGTCTCCATTTTTCGATTAAACAAAATTAAAACCAGTTGAAACTAGATAGAAATTAAAAATGAATTGGAAATATATGAATTTTAAACTTTCAATTGATTTGTATTTTAATCAAAAACATTAACCTTTTATAGACTTGCTACAGTTTTCTATTTATTTATTTATTTATTTATAGGCATCTGACATTTTTAAGTTTTTTGTTTTAATATGGGCTTTCATAGGTATTATGTGGATACAAATATTTAACTGAATAGAAATACTTGAACATTTAATATTAGATTCATTATAAATTGAATATACTTAGTGGTAAAAAAAAAAGTTGCACGTTATGTAGTAGTTTTTTTATAAGCATTTTAAAATCAAATTTTGATAAAAATTGTAAAAATAGTAACTAGAGTGCGGATTTATATGTATATACATATTTATGATGATAGATGGTAACCGAACGATTCTTCTATAGAATATGTTTCGGTAATATCTGAATGCTTTAAGCTATGGTTGATACTACATATTTTTACATTTTCAAGCGTACTTACATATTTTAACATAATTTATTTTATTGCATATGTTTGTTAAATATTCCCCTATATTGAAAAAATCATCGTTGTCGCCGTTAATTCCAATGAAAAATATACTGCGCCAGTCGTAGTCGGTCGTTATAACCGCACACTTTTATGTATAGTTTCGAAAATGATACATGTGACTTGTCTTACCTATTCAATTCATCGAGTTGTGAAAACAATTAGATCTAGATTTTTCTAAGTGGATTTGTAGATATCAACTGTAAAAAAAATTTCTTTAAAGCTCAAGTCGCCTATATTTTTTTAAACTAAGTTATCCCCACAAACCACTCCCTCCAAAACCGGTGTATTACTTATTGGTGTATTACAATATTATTGTGAGCGTTTTAATATTATTGAATATGTGATTTTAAAATTCGAAATTGATGCCGTTTCAATAGAAAATGCCCAAAATTTGATTAAAAGTACTTCATTGAAAAATAATTTAGTAGGCATATCTTTCAATACCATATTCCTTACTAATTCTATCACGAAACTTGAATCTCAATATTTGTCTTTTATTGATAGCTTGAGTATAGTCAATAATACGGAAAGAAAATTAAAAGAAGCCCCAGGAGGGGTCCGAATAAAAATCAAGAAAAAGATTAAATAAGTATTTGACAAGAATCCTGAATTAAAGACAATTGAATCTATAGCAAACGGTCACAATGGCAGCGATACACAATCTTGCCGTGATTTCAATCCATCTGAATTAGGAGCTTTCAAATTTGCACCTACAATTTCTGTAGATGTTGGAAGGTCCTTTAGTCGCCACAAGATCATATTGCGCCCTAATCGACGTCGATTTGTATTAGAAAACTTAAAAAAATACATGGTTACTCATTATTTTTCTGACGACGAGGATCCTAATAAAAATAAATAGTAATAAACAATAATATACTAATATATAATTATAATTACAATAATATTTTTTTTTTAAATATCTTATATTTTTAATTGCCTATTTGAGTAAAAATAAATACATATATATATATATATATATGTACATATTTTTGAGTTTTAAATACATATAAATCCGCACTCCAATAATGACATTTTAAATCATATTTAACCAAACTTTACTCAGAAACGGTTTTGACTTTGTTAAATTTAAATTGTTATACACTATTGAGTATTGATCTTAAACAACTTTGGTGTTTTTACCTACAGTCATAGGTGATAGTATTAATTTATCACTATTTTCATAAATTATACTATAAGACATAAGTTATTTATTCATATTTATTATTTATAATATAAATCAAATTGCTTACGATTTTCATAGTCATCAAATTCGTTTTTGACAAAAGGTATCAATTCTGAAATTTATAAATAAATATACATATATCTACATAGAATTTTCTATATTTAAAAGTTTGTGTTCGTGTCTCCATACTGACAAAAATTCTATTTTTCTGTAATCACATGAACGCGATTTCAATAAGAATTTTGAATTGTGATGTTTTGATGACAATATAACATATTCTAACTAAACATACATTGTATACTAATGGTACATTATATGAAGAAACTATCTGTATATTATCTTAAAACTATAATAGACTGAAATAATACAGACTTTAAAGATTATCGTACTTAGCCAAATTTAGTCAAATTTAATTTAATTTAATTTAATTTAATTTATTAATGTCTGTTTAATATTTTTATTTAACATGTTTTAAGATAATTTAGTTGAATTAAATTAAATATTTACTTGAATAGGATATTATTCTATTATGATAATTAAGATATCTTTCATACGGCGACGGAATTCCTTAAACAAATAATATTATGTTTATAGTTAAAGCTCGATTCATATTTGTATGGTATGGCACATTCTATCAATATAATTGTGTACACTGTACAGTAATACACACTTATCCATACAGGCACCAATGGCATAATATTGGGAGGGAGAATTTGGGAGGGGGGATGTTTTAGGTATTTATACAACCCCACCCCCTAGGTCATATTTATGTCAAACATTATTATTTTTACTGTATGCAGTCATGCATCAGAGTTCTATAAGATGTGTTATGTTACACATAAATAAAATTATTAAGTATAATATGCTGTGTGCTGTATGTCATATTCATATAATAAAGATACTAAGTTACATTTGAACAAAAAATGAAAATTCTGAAACCTCTCCTAAAAAAAAAAATCCTAGCTCTGCCACTGATGGAAACAACATAACACGATATTAGATAAGAAAAACTCGCACATTTTTGTTTTTTATATTCTAAGTGGCACGAAGAAGCTTATGGTTTTACAAAGATGTCTTTTTATTTTATTTTATTTTTTTTATCTGTGGATTTGAAATTTTGCTCCGATTTTTAAGTGTTACACCTTCTCTGAAAGAATATTAGACTGGAGAGATACTTTGAGGAGATTTTTTTACCATGAGTTTGTGAATACAGAATGTGAAATACCGAAAATAACCGGAGGAAAAACGGGTAAATGTACAAAATGTAGGTATTAGTTGAAAAATATTTTTATTTTTATTTTTTTCTTGTAAACAACTTTTTTATCAGAAATCTTTCTCCAATTTTTAATTGTAACATCTTCTTTGAAAGAAAATCTGATTGAGAAGGTACTTTTAGAAGGTTATTTTTTGATTTTCCCAAAAATTGGAAAAAAAACCAGGGAAAAACGGAAAAATCGGTGCAATATTTAACAGATATTATTGAAGAAAACATATAATGCCTATTTATTTAATTTTACCATGATGAGACATATATATTGTTGACAAAGCATCACTATCAACTGAAATTTGGTCAGAATCGTTTTTTCGTTAGCAATAGTTTATTATTGCTTACAGATTACATTGAAAATTACCTATAATAGTGGCTGCATTATCCTTGGACATATTTTTTTTTAATTTTCCATTGAACGTAGAAGTATAATAATTGAGTATGTACTTACTTGAGATAAATGTTGAAAATTCGTCTTCAGTCATTATTGAAATATCTAAGCAGACATAACAGGATTAAAAAATATTTTAACAATTCTTGATTGTGCTGGGATAGCAGGTAGATTGATGTTTAGTGTAATACAGAGTGTCCTACAATGTTATTATTATACCAAGAACTCTGTCAATGCTCATTTTTTTTTTCAATCGAATTTTGTGCGATAGAGACACATATGCAGAAAAATATTAAATTTCAATGTCCACCCCTTAATCACAGAAAAAGTAGCATTTTAAAATTTTCAAAATAGCCATTTTTTAATATATATTATTTTAAAAATTTTAATGTATCATACATTCATATTCAATTAATATAGTTTCTTAGTTACAATGATTTTGAAAATACGCGTAAAAATAATTATTACGAGTATTCAATAGAAGAAGGAATTACTGTGCTGATTGTAATTCCTTATCACGTGAAGTGTTTTGAAAAATTAATTTAAATAAAAAGTTTTTTTTTCAATAATTACGGGGTGAAAATGAAATTTCAATTTCTCTCTACACATGATATGTGTCCCCTCGCTCTAAGCACAATTGAAAAAAAATGAACATTGACAGAATTATTAACGTAAAGATAACACTGTAGGACATCCTATCCCCTATATGATCTGCCATATTATGTTGCCTACACTGAAATCTACATATTATTTTATAAGGATATTAAATTATAGAAATATAAACGAACGTTATTCTAGCTCTATCAATTAAGAATTTTCAAAATTTGGCAATAACTTAAACACCATTTTTGAAAATTCTAAATTGGTGGGGTACCGTATGTGAAATACAACTTGTAAAATCGGGAAGAAGAAAAACGCTTTATTATATTATTTATTAATAAATTATTGAAGATCTAAACAAATATTTCTATGATGTAATAAAGTACAGCATAAAGTACTTGGTCGATTTTCTGTGTTTAAACTTCCTATTTATTATAAATTATAATATATAGGTATCATGAAACTTACTTAATTTTTTCAATGTTTCATCTATACCGGGTTCTTAAAAAAATTAAATGACTTCGTGTTATTATTATTATTTTTTTTTCATTCACTGCTTATATATTATAGTTTTAAGTAGATTGCATTCGAACACGCGTCTCCGAACGTCGCGATTAATCGTTCAAAATTATACAATATGTGCCTACTTTTATATGAGTTTATTCACACACGTAAACGAGACGCGGTCGTGTTCGAACGCACCAAAACTCGCATGTTTAATTTTAAACATTCCTTAACTATAATTTTCTAATGTATTTTCAACGCATTTCCGTTTTTAATAGCACACGGGTAATTCGAACGCCGTAATCGCGATCGCGCCAAATTTTATTTTCGGTCATTCTTAATATGTGCCTTCAATCATGTACAATCTCAGAACAAATTGTATCCATTTATATTGTAAAAATGTTCGACAATAGTTTATTATTAAGATGTCAAATGAAGAACCATTTTCTGGTGTTTAAGGATTAAGCGGATAGACCCAACGTCGCCTTTTCACTTTTTTTTGTTTTTGCTTTTGTTCATGTTCCTCGAATAGTACGAACATAACACATGCGGCTTCTATATCGTTTAAGCTTTCCATAGTTGAAAATAATAAACGAAATAACACTGGGTCGCAACGCGAAATACTACACGTCATGTGATCATCTACGATACACAGTAACAACAAGACTAGTATATCACAAAATAAAAGTATTGGCGCGCTTTTTATCATTGAAAAACGCGCGTTCAAATCGCTCAGTGTGTAATCAGCTTTAATGTATTATATTTCATCATATAAATCTAAATATTATATGAATATGAGATATTATTAAATATTATCATACTTAGATTATTATAATTATCCAGATAGTTATTGTAATCTGCACCAATATTTGGACAATCTAAAATATATATATAACTTAAATTATAATCTGCATTTTATATACTTATGTACTTATATACTTCCTCTTAAGGTATACCTTATATATTAATTTAATCTCATTCGACACATTTAAAAAACCCTTAAATAATTTAAAACATAACACAAATATTTGGAGTCAAAAAAAAATTATTTTAAATTTAATATAACAATAAAATATCTTTAAAACTACATTAAATAATTTTAATTTTTCAAAAAATTCACGATCCTGCATGAATTCAAAATGGAAAATATGAGAAACGATAATACTGAACTAGGAAGGATTTTCCTCTACCTACAACAAACCAAATATCACCATGAACCTAAAGGCAAAATTATATTATTGGACTGCCCAGTGCCCAATGCCAATATAGTTGGCGGAATGATGAAAGTCTATATATGAAACGTCCTAATAATTAAAAACCCAACAAAATAGCCAGTTAAGAGAAAGACCCCCGCCAGTGATAGTAAGATAGAATGAGAAAAAATATATCAGATATGTTAATAAAAATGGAAAATGCAATTGATCGGAATAGATGGAGGCACATTCAAAAGGAGCTCTTAATATACAAACTAATATATCTATATATATATCTAAAATTAGTACAAGAAAATGGCATTTAAATTAACACGTACCAAACCTACCAACCACCCTATTTGATTAATCAAGATTCGACCTATATATTCATGTTAAATATATAATATCAAAACTTTTAACTGAAATAAGAAAGACTATACGAAGGAAAAAACTATATATGTAATAAGCTCATATAATATTAAAGATAAATAATTATTATAATTTATAACTTACAAAATTTATAGTGTTTATAATCATTTTCTTCTAACGGTTGTATTACTGAAATTTAAGTAATAATTATGATGCAAACAAATATTATTTTACATTTCCGAAGTTCATAATATTATATTATACTGATCAATATTATTTTCGAATAATATACTCACACATATCATTCATTAATTTTACATAGTCTTCATACGTATCACTTAACTGTGGATAAACTGAAAAAACAAAATACTTTTATTGTTTACGTACAAAACCATTGGAACAATTTAAACATTATAGACAAAATAAGTATTATTACAACATGATAATAGAACTATCAATGTTATCGTCATAATAGAGAATAGATAAATGTACAGCATTAAATATTATATAATTATTTCTCTTTGATTTTTTAACCCAAGACCCAAACATAACATATAATTAGGTACTTAAATATAGGTACTAATTAGGTACTACATAAGGTATTTACTTTTTATCATATCATCGTAATCTTGTTTTAATTCATCTTCTGTCAAATTTGAAACTATAATATTAGTTAATTATCACAATTAATAATATTATAAAATATACCTACAGGTAAACAGTTAAAGGCTAAAATATATTTTGGCAAATTTAATTCAGTAAAATAAAACTCATTACTTATTAAAATACTAATAAAATAATATCATTATATTATGTATTATACATGAAATAACTCACAATTTGTCTGTACTCTTTGAACATAAGACGTATAGCCTTCATACGGATAAGGTATTCCTAATAAAAATTGATATACATTTTAATATTCTGTCTACAAGTATATACTTGTTTTTCTATGTTTTATTAATGAAATTACATTAGAAATATGCTTGATATCTATTGTATAAAATGTATCTTTATTTATAATATTTTATACCATAACATGTTTCAAAGTATATAACTCACTTGATTTCCATTTTTGAAATTCCGAGCTTTGAACAATCGATACCATACCTGGGAGAGGCACTGTATACATTTCTAAATAAACATTAAGTACGATTTTTTTTATAGATGACAGGTATCTGCTAATCGAATTCTAAAGGAATATAACTGTATTTAAATTATTATGTTTTGTATAGTATATAATAATAAAAATGATTTAAGGGAGGTGATCGAAACCCATTTTTGAAAAGAAATTAACAAATATAGAATGTTTATAAATAGTTCTTTAAATAGTTTTTTTAAATTTTCTATGTCTAAATAAAGCCAATTAAAGAAATCTTTAAAAATTGCAAGTCTTTACGATTATCTCTAACAAAATTAAAATAACAAAAGACTGACATACTTTGTAGGTAGGTACGACCATTGTTATAGGTAGACATTTTTGTTTTTTTTTTTTAAAAAATAAATACAATTTATGGTAAAACAATAGTGATAATAAGCACAATTACTAGGTATATAAAATAGGGAGTACCAAATACACCACCCCGCATTCGGTATCTGCAACTACTGTATAGATTTGAAAAAAAAGTATGGTTAGAGTGAGTGAGCAAAAAATGTCTGCTTTTGCTTGGCGAACCCAGAGAAGGAATTTAATTAGTGAAGCTTGTGGCGTATTTATGCTTTCCGCGGTCTCCCACACAGACGATGCCCACTTCCCCACGGTAACTACGTGCGCGCCTCTATGTGAGTGATATGCGTAATTAATGTGAATTAAGGTGGCAATACTGTTTAAGGAATTTTTGTGATGGAACTGGTAATTGTGCTGTGTAACTTTGATTGTTTATTTTACAAGTACTAAAAAATTCAATATATTACAACGATTTCTAACAAAAAACGATTCTGAGCGGAATTCAGTTGAAAGTTTTGCTTTTTCAACAATACATATAACATATTATGGTAAAATGATTACATATGTATTAAACTTTTTTTTTTTATAGTATTTGTTTAATATTGTACCTATTTTCCTGTTCTCCTATTTTTTCCAATATATTGAGAAAACTCCTGAGAAAATTAAAAAACAACCTCCTTAAAGTACCTTCTCAGTTAAATTTACTTTCAGAAAAAGTGATATCATTGTAAATCAGAGCGACATTTCTGGTGGAAAAGTTGTCCACAGAAAAAAAAAAAATTTGTAAAACCATAATCTTCTTCGTTTCACTTAGAATCCAAAACAAAATTGAAAATAACAAAACCATTATTTCCGTAAACTTTCTCATTCTTTCTACGTTTTTCCTTTGGTTTTGTCCATTCATTAAGAAAATTACACAGAAAATCTTTCTTATCTATCAGCTAAATACAATTTTCCTTAAAAAAAAAATACCACACTTGAATTTCAGTGTAAAATTTTTAGAAGAAAAATCAAATCAAAAATAGTTTAAATTAATTCCCTAATGGATTGACTAAATCCAAAATTCAACAAAAAATGTCTCTTAACATTCTGTGATTGAAACAAAATTTCTAGTAAAAAAGTTATTTACAGACAGACAAAAAAAATATATATAAGAGTATATACCTAACCTATACAAACACTAAAAAATATATAAAGCTAAAACTTAATTTTAAGTAAATATCAAACAAAATAATTTATAATGTTTTTTTTTTGATTCGTCTTCTAAGGTGGGAGGAATATTATGTCGTTCTGAATTGCAAATATCCATCATTAACTTACTCAGTCCCATAAAATTAAAACCGTGATTGAAGATAACATAACTATATTACATAACTACATATCTTTAAATTCGAAGCAAGCGCAGTGAGGAATGTATAGGTTTTACAATAATGTTTATTTTAGATTTGGAGCTTAGCGAGGGATCTATTGGTTTCACTATGATGTGTGTTTTTTCTTTTTTTTTTCTGTCAGTGAACAACTTTTCCACCAGAAATCTAGCTCCGATTTTCAAATTTAGTACCTTTTCTGAAAATAAATTATTTTTTAGTGATACATTTATGAGGTCACTTTTTTATTTTTCAAGCAGTTTTACATAATAATTGAGAAAACCCGGGAAAAATGTAGGAAAAACGGGTGAATTTACATACGAGTACATGTATAAAAGAAACTTCATCCCAAATCGCTGTTCGTTAGCAATGGTTTATCGATGCGTAATTAGATTCCTCTCTACATCCTAACTCCCCAACTTCTCACCTACAACAGTGACCCACCCCATTGTGCAAAGTATGTCCGTCTTTTTTTCTTGTTTGAACTGGCAGCAGTGGAGGATCTGTTTTCACAATATTCCCTTAAAACTCCAGCTACTTAACTTACAGTGGTACTTATAATTAATAAATATACCTACAGATTTCTAAAAAATATTGTATTTATATTTCATTATCATAATTTAACATTATCATAATTGAGAAGCTGGTAAAATATATAATAGATACAGTAAGTTGTTCATTGGCTTAAAAAAGTCATTACTCTTTACAGTTCCATGAAAAGAGCTTTTTCAAACACTGTAAAATATGAGTGCCGATTTTATAGAACGCCAAATTATATATAATATAATATATATATATATATGTATAAGGAACAATCAGAGACAGTCAAAATCAGAAAAATAATAATACAGGGATGCTTCTTATTTCCTAAATGATTTCATATTTACGTAGACTGACAATTAACCAAATTAAGAAGCCACTTGTTAGAAACAATTTAGCCAATTAGTGGCAGAAGAATTGGTATCATTTCTAGGATTTATTAATGAATAGCTTTTTTAGCTAACGAAATGTCTGTGTGGAGGCATGGCCCATGTACTACCTCTTAAACGTCGTAAAAGACCCATAAGGTCTTTTGAAACATTAGTTTGTAGCTATATAGATACAGTGAACGTCATAGATTCAACAATGCAATCGAATAAAACAAGTTTTAGTAAGTTATATCAATCGATATTGATGACTAGTTATCACATATCAGTACCATCTTTAAAACAATTTACCTTTCTTTAAGGCGATATTTATTCTACATTCATATTCCTCAAAGTTTTTGTCAGTTATTGTTGGATGAACTGAAAAAAAATACTTTGAATTAGTTATTTAATTGCAATATTAATATATTATACATTTATACAAATAGACATGTTAAAAAAATCATTGACATCAAGCACCTACACTCTGGCGATATGTATAATTGACTCACTGGTATTCGGTATGTGTTTACATACCATTTTTTTTTTCGGTAAATACCGTATTTTCGACAAATATTATGTTTTCCGTATAAATACTGTCTTTTTAATAAATACCGTATTTTTAATTAATACCGTGTTTTCGATAAACACCAATCAGTTTATAAATTATTAATTTTATCAGATTTTAGGTATACACTCGTACCTACCTACAGTTGTATCAATACAACTACTGATGCTTTTGAGCAAAAACTGGACCCACTCAAGAGTGTGATACAAATAATAAATTATTGTTGATAAATCATCACTTAGAACTTCCCTAGAAAATATTTTTCTTTGGTGAAAAAAATTACACCATCCGTCTTACTCATGAGTCATGACTAAATATACAGGCATGTAAGCAAGATAATCATAGATAGTAAAAATATGAATAAGCTACCCATACCTCATCAGTGCTTCAAAAGAGACAGGTACAGTTATACATACAAATATTTTCAAGTGTGGTTTCATAATTTATCAAATCCTATGTATATTTTTACGTTTTATGGCTAATAGCTTTGTCAATATTAATATTCTACTTACAATTTGTGTTATTCATTTAAAATCGCTGCTCAAAAATTGGATTTTTTTTGGAAATAAGATTCTATGGTATTGTTTCACTTGTATAAATAAAATTTAAAGATACACACATAAAAAAAAAAAAATTGATTCACACACATTTGATAATGTATATATTTGCGAACAATTTTCAAACTTATAAATTATGTCTGACATTCATGGAAAATATATATTCTTTTCAACTATTATATTTGATTATTTTGAATTATAATAGAAAATAATCAAACCCATTTTATTTAATTTATTTGATAACAATAAAATTAGAATTACTTACATAGTTTAATAAGCAAAAAATATGATCTTGAAAGTGGTTCTAAAACTATAAATATAATAATTACAAAATTAAAATTTTAGACAGTTAATAAATACAGAAAATATAGAAAGTAAAATATTTAGAGCCATTGTTATAATATCTCGCTAATTTCTGAGTAACTAGCTGTTAAGGACGTCAAGGTAGCCTAACGATTTATGACAAATCATTATTACAATGCACCGCTAACGGCGGTAACTTTTACCAAAACCAGTACAATCATTTTTATTGGCCAATAATGAAATCAGCTATTTTAAATTAATCGGTAATGAAACAAATTGACTACACACAGAACTCCATATCATGTATCTTATATAGGATCTATGTTGCTGTAGTTAAATAAACTAAATAAGCGCAAATAAATAACTATCGCTAATAGAAGTCAGAATGCCAGATTTAGAATATTGGAACATCGTAGTAACGCTAAATGTGAACACTAAGATAGCGAAGACTTTAGCGAAATATTGTAATATTTGTAACAAATATTAAACAACTCTTGGTATAATTTGGTATTATGGAAGAGATTAAAATAGCTTACAGCGTCGTTCCATTAGTTTAGAATGTTCTTGTAAAGTTTCATAATATCTCGGATAAACTGAAAAAATAAGAGTTAATAATAAGGGATAATATATTTATCTAACCTAGTTTTAACTACGTTGTCGTTTTCTAGATCTTTTAACAGTTAAATAATTATCACTCGAGTTGTATTGTAGACATGTTTACAATACAATATAAATAGAATGTAGATTATAGATATTCAATGTAAGTGATAAATAGGTAGGTATCTTAGGGTCTATTTTTGAATTTTATACTAGTGTACCGATCTTATAAGTACACTAAAACATCGCGTTTTAGTTCAAGTAAAACAAATATCTTATAGCTTATTAAGTATCATACTATTATTTAATATTATATAATTATTTATTAAATTATAAAATATGAAAAATTTGTTAAACTTAAATTACCTCCAAGTTATAAACAATTTCAAAATTATGAAGGAAGGACAAGGAGGCCAATTTTGCCGAAACTCATATCGCTGAATCATAAAAAATACTATACCATAACTGAATTTTGTTCGTTTTATGTTAAAGAAATATTAATTTATGATTTTATAAATTATGTATTAAGCCACCACGGCTAAACTGGTGGAGCACCTCAGGCAGGCTATTCCAGAATGGCTCGTCGGGCTACCGGCCGCGTTCTCGGGTTGTGGATAGAGAAACGGCCCTTAGATATGAGGATTAGCTGCGATATAAGCATAGAATAAGATTCAAGTGCCGTTTCGTATCTTGCATGTATAATTTGTTAGTGCAAAGAACGACGAATTTTTACAGGTTCATCTCTGACCCAAAAAAAAAAATTGTACATATAATTTAAATTGTTGACACTTTGTTGCCATTATCACATATATTATCATGAAAGATTGTCGAAATATAGCGGTAGTATTATTTAAATAATAATTCGACTGATTCTATAGATTTAGTAAAAAAATGCTTGGTGTTAGTGGTTTCTAAAAGTGATGGCTGGAAACTACCAATTAGTTATTTTTTAGTCTCTAAGTTAACTAGCATGCAAAAGGCTAAACTCACAAAACAAATTGTATACATTTTAAATGCCTCTAGTATAAATGTAGACATGTAGTTTAACAATGGATGGATGTGCAACTAATGTCTCTATAACACGGATTTTAGATTGCGACTTAAATATTTTAATTTAATTATTTTTATTCCTACATTGTAATTTGTATTTTATAACACTACTTACAACAAAATTGTAATGTATTATTTTCAAAAATGATTTAATGTATTAATATAAATTATAATTAAATAGCTAATTAGGTAAATTGGGATTTTGTGTCTAATTTGTTTTCATCGGAAACCAATTTAAATCGATATACAATAACCCAAATAATAGTGTTGTAAAGTTATTTTTTTCCTATATGATTAAAATAATTAATTATTCAATATTAAAATTAGTCGATTGTCTAAACCGATTTTCGGATTTATTTAATGTGATAACAGCAGCGGCTTTCCTGGGGTATAAACCACGAACTAAGATATACAGGACAGGACACGAGATAATTATTATATTTACGAAATGTTATAGGTTGGGTGGGGTACGGGGTAATTTGTCTTTCTATCGGTAGTTTCGCCATCTATCTGGGTATTTTATAAACATATAATGTAACCAAATAATGATAATGATAATGATTTGTGATATGTAATCTATATAGTTCCATAAATATTAAATATCCACTAAGACAACGCTGGTAATGCTAGAAAGGCGAATTCCCCTGTATTCCGCCAGTTCTATGACATTTCATAATCAACCCTCAACACCCTCCAACCTTGTTCGTGTCCAGTCCTGTACAACTTAGTTCATGATATAAAAATTGTTATCACTGTTATTAGCTTTTATTATAATAAAACGTTTTATGCATTTACGCAGTTCAAATCTGGCCGTTAAGTCACGTATAATATATGTGATATATAAACAATCTTATAATAATAATATTAAACCATTGATAGTATATATTAAATTGTTCAAAGACGATGAATATAGAATATAACATCTATGAGGGAAATTAATTTTATTATTGTAGTGATAACAATAATTACAACCAACCAGGTAATCGCTGTTATCAAACCAAAAATCATTGAAAAATCGATTTTAACAATTGCAACTATTTTGTTACTTTAAGATTAAATAACTTATAGAATAGCAACTTTTTTCAAAAAATTGTTCATCAAAAATCTGTTTATGTTACTAATAACATATCTTCCCGTTAGAAAAATAAAAATATGCAAAGTGCCTATTGTTATAATTTATTAATTTTTAATGCATTACCCACAGATAAATAATTTTAATATAGACTATTAGATTTATAAATCTATGATATTGTCTAACTCTGAACATATACGATAATAAACAATATTTTATGTTACCAAAAAGGCTATAATACAAAAATTCATCACACCTTGCATCAACCAAAATTTAAAAGATACCTCCATCGATCTAGGCCATTGAACTATAATATCTTATAGTTCAATGATCTGGGCGAATTCCAGTTATCATATAGAGTTTAGTAAGTATATTTTGTCCTTATTATAAACATATATACTGTCCTTATCATTTATCAATGATAAAAGTAATACAATTTACAGAACAATATAATTTTAGATATCGCATTAATAAATAGTAGTTTAAAAACAAATGATTAAACGATTCATAAAAATGTGTAAATATTAGACAGAAAAAAATAAAATTTAAAACTATAATTTTCAGTCAGTACACTAAAACCATCGTCTAATTTGTTATTGTACTAAATTATTGACCATTTATTAATATGAACTCAAAAAATAGACCCTCTAATCAAAATTACATCAATATCTAATAACTATCAAGATAAATGTTAGAAAAATTAATTTTTATCATTTGTTATAGGTACTGTAAATATCATATTGCCATATTACCTCTTTGTATATCATTAATGTCGTTATTCTCGAAAGCACCTGAAAATATTCTTTTTAGAACCAACCGTTTTTATCAAATACTATATAAAGTAATTAATTTTTGTTTACTGGCTATATTTAAAAACTTTACTATCTTACTAATATCTTTTTACTCATACGAACAGGGAATATCATGAATTTATAGGTTCACTAAAAAATTTTGTTTTTAAGTTTCAACTAAATATTGTCTAATTTTAAATTTTATATGTAGGAAATCGAATTGTTTACTATTAAAATATGTTAGTATGTTAATATGCACTAATTCTGTAATGAATAATGGCAAATTTACTTCAATATGGACATTATTATAGGTGGGTGTTTATATTTTGATCGAAATATAGAGTTTTCAAGTGATACAAAAGCATTTTTTTTATAATAGCGTTTTGAGTTTATACTTTTGAATTAATGTCTAAAATATATTGATACTCACACATCGGTTTATGAAACTCCGAATGGTCAATAATATAGGGGAAAGATATATCTGAAATAAATATAATAAAACTATAATTAAATACTTATTAATTCATTTAAAAATCCGTTGAATTTATAAATTGTGGCGACAATAAATTTAAAAATAAAGTAGTTAAATGATTGTATTATATAGTTTTAATGATTAAAAAACATATGATTTTAATTGAATATTAAATTTTGTCTGTATTTCTGTGCACAATGTATCATGTTTTTTAATAAAAAAATATGCAGCATCTATATTGACAGTGGTATATTTTCAGGGGGAAGGGAGGTCCCGGGTCTCGACATTGCCCAGAAAAAAAAATATGATTTAAAAGTCATAAATGACTTGCTACGAAGGTATATAGAAAGAGAACATTAATTTATACAAAGTAATTTTTTTATCATGAACCAATAACTACCTCTAAAGATGCTAAGTGAATTTGATTTTTATTATTTATAAATCTTTATAGAATCGTTTAAGCATAATTTTAAAGCCATTTTTGAATTTTTACCCTTGCTTCATATACCTTTAATAAGAGTATACTTTTATTTTCCAAATAGAAACCCCCTCCCCCTTTTGAAAAGAAATTCGAATAGAGTGTATTTTTCTAAACATGTTGATATACATAACACTAATATCAGATTTACCGTTTATGGTTATAACTGTTTAAAGTTTAGACCGAAGAAGTAGGGAAGAGTTATCAATTATTAAGAAATTATTGACTAACAAATATAAAGACGTTTACCTTTTTTTATCATAAATTACTCTTGATTTGTATTTATAATAATAATAATAGAATAATATAATTGTTACCTAATTCATATCTTATGTGTATTTTTTTTAATATTATAAAATCACTTATTTTTTAGAAAAATTTGAAAATACGCCATTGTATATATATGTCTATAATTTCATTTTAATTCTCAAAAATTCCAGAATTAAATGTCCATTGCATACCTAAATATATACGAATATATACTTAGGTATTACATATATACGCATACATATATATATATATATATATATATATGCGAGTAAGAAATATTATCAAACGACGTCATGTTTCATTTGATACATGCAATTAAAATATCTTACTAATAATAGATGGAGAACTTACAATAATCTTTTAATGTATTAAAATCTTTCTCGTTTAAAACTGCTGAATCTAAAATCATAATATCTGTTTAGTTTAATAACAGCAGTTTTCAAACAATTTCTTATCAACAGCAAAACACAGTATAATAATAGGTATTTTTAAACTCGATTCACAATAAGATACCTAAAAATTAACATTGTAATAATATGCACATATCAAAAAGAACTTACGCAATAATTTAATTTTTTTAATATCTATAATATCAAAAATATATTACAATATTATTATAAATCAAAAATGAAACAATATTCTTTTATAATATTAATATAATATACTATAGGGAAAAAAAATTACCAAGAGCTGTTATTCTCTTTATATATCTTTCATAATCGTCTTCAAGTTGCACATGAGCTATGTGGAAAATAGGAAAGTAGTTATGGTTAAAACAATTATTATTTCCCGCATTAAATTTACTTAATTACTAATGCATAACAATTTTTAATCTTATTTAATTTATTGGAATAAAACCTTTACGTTTTATTCTATTAATGATGAACCTGCCGTTTTCAATATATAATCCTAATCATTGTTATGTTTATTTCGCTCAAAACTTATTCCATTCAGAAATTGCATAGGTAGTCACTTCCAACCTAAACAACTTTTTCTTTAGAAAGAAATATGCCAATTATATTTTTAAGCATACTAACTGACTTTCTGACTATATTTTTTTTAATGTATTTTCTAAACTCGGAGTTAAATACTACCGTCAGTTAAACAACAACTATCAAGCACATACTAGGCGTAATAAGAGCATGCGTTCGTAATGTCTTTCTAAATTCTATAAATATTCTGAGTTTAGCGAACGATTCTGAGCGGAGATCAGTTAATAGTGATGCTTTGCTAAAAATATATATGTCATTTTATAGTGATATAATTAAATAGGCTTTATATATTTTCTTTAATAATATTTGTATAATGTCGTACCGACATTGCTGGGAAAACTCTTAGGAAAATCTAAAAATGAATTCTCTAAAGTACCTAACTAGTTTATTTAAGAAACATTACTATCATTACATGTTATTAATATCATTAAAAGCTGAAGCGAAATCGCTACTAGAAAAGTTGTATACAGGAAAAAAAATCGTAATATTGTAGTAATATACTTCGTTTATTTTCCCGTTTTTTTTTCGCTTTTTCAAATTTGATGAGAAAACACTTTATAAAACTATAAGCTTCTTTGTTCCATTCAGAGTCTAAAAAGAAAATTAAAAAGAGCTGATACTGGGGACGGGTGCAGCCTCTGTTGTAGGTGGGGAGTTGGGAAAGTAGGATACATAAGGTTATTGCATTTATATCTGTAAAAAACGATAAACAATTGCTGACGAATGATAATTCCGGGCGCAGTTCGGTAATACATAATTTGAAGTGCCGTAATTTTTTTTTTTCGATTTTCGTTTAAATTTGATTTCAAAACGCTTATTAAAAAAAAAAATCGTCCAATGATTTTAGAAATTTGACCACATCTATGAGTCCAATATATGTATTATTACTAAGTTTCAAGTCTATACGTGTATTTATAATCGAATTATAAGAAAAAAAACTCCCAAAAATTAAAATTCCTTAAAAGTTAAAAAGTGACTCAAAAGTTTTGGCGATAATACCGTAAGAAAGCAAATCAAAAAGATGTCTTTCTTTTTCAGAAGAAATCACTTTTCTGGTATAAAAAATCGTCTGTGTTTTTATAAAATAAAAAAATCGTGAAATTGTACGTTTTTTCCCACTTAAATGCTTTTAAAAAATGGCGTCGAAAATCAAAAAATGACCTATTTAAAGTATCATCTAGATAATTTGAACTTTTTGAAAAGTTGTTACACTAAAAATCGGATCAAGTTTACTAGGAAAAAACGTGTCCACACAATAGAAGAAAAAAAAAGAAAATAGAAAGAAATAAACAAAATTTTAAAACCAATAGCCCCCTCGCCACGCTCGAAATCTAAAACTGTATATAACTTTTATTAACTTCTTAAACTAATTGAAAATGATTAAAACATTATCACTTTTTAAAAATAATTAAATATTTTTTTATTTATGAAACTTATTTAATGGTGGATAATCTTGAGAATTATGTTAATGAAATTTTTGTTGCTTTGATTGATAAGGAAATATGTTTTTAGAAGAAGGCAGTTCAGAATACTGATAGTAGCGTCAAATTGTAAATTTGCCTCTGCTTTTCTGCAAACTCATATTTTTCTTAGAATGACGTGGTTTCATTAATTAATTCCTTAAAAAAATATATTTACAAAAGTTATAAAGATATCCGTTCTTTGACGCTCCCTTGAAGGCATTTTTCGGTGTGTCTGGAACATTTATTCAACAATCCCAGTTCTTAAATCGAGTGATCGACCTAATATTAAGAATTATATACCCATTTGCCCGTTAAATTCAAAAGCACCATTATCCGTCTAACTATACTCATCTACTATCATTAACTAGATACTTAATCAATGTTACTCACCTTTTTTGAAAATCTCGAATAATCCATTATCTATTCTTATAAGTGGATTTAGCACTGAAATCAATATTTACTGGTAATAATATAATATACTACCTACATCAAAATTTGCTTGAAGAATAATAGGTAATAATATTTAAACTAAGTAAGTACCAAATTTTAATATTTATTTCAATATGTCAAAATTACATGAACTCTAATAAGTTATGAGTTTATTAATAGGTAACTCACTGTAAGATTTTATTCTATTCATGTATTGTTTAGGTTCTTCAGACAGTTTTGGATATCCTAAACATGGAATCGATTTACTAATAAAATATTGTGAAAATTATTGTATTTTCACAATAGAAAATACAATAGGTACAATAATAAATCATTTTTATAAAAACCATTGACTTTACTATTTTAAGGATTCATTTTAACATGTTTTGACTAGAATTTTTATTTGTAATAATTGTCTTACTTAATTTTAAATCGGTAAATTCGTCAAAATCCAAAGCTTGTATTCCTGGAAAAAATAACATTAAGTAAATTTGGCAATAGGATTTTCATATTAGTAGATTCCTTAATATTGTATTATATTATCAGTGTTAATGAACTCTGATCATATGTTTAATTTGTATAAGTACATTTTCTAATAATATAAGGAGAGCAAATTTAGGAGTGTCATTTACGGGATGCAAATGCATTTTTTTTAACATAACTAAAATGTGTAAATGAAATTAATTTTATATTGATTATATTTTAAAACGATTATTTTGTAATTTTACAAAATTGTTTTGTTATCAAAATGTAACAGTATCAAAACTCAGAAAATAAAAACACCGTTATCTATCTATATTTTTATTACATTATATATATATATATATATATATATATATAAATTAATGTTTGTCTATATGTATCTTATGCCTTCCTAATTGGTTCATTCGATTGCGATGAAACTTTAGGAAATTATTAGACATTTGATTGCGAAGGTTTCTAGCATAATACATCTATTCATGGTTGATATAAAACATACGTAAAACATATGATATTATAAGGCATACACAAGACATACATAAAATATATATATATTTTCTTTAATTTTTCAAATACTGCATCGTTGACAGTTATGCCCCCCCCCCCCCCAAACGGAAATTGATTGATCGATCTACATCTGAAGCACGAATAAAAAAGGCATTATACGAGCAACGAAAAGCGAGATTAGAAAAAGAATATATTAAATAAAAAGAAATATATTTAAAATTGGCATTTGGCATCTATATATTGTATATTATACATAATATAACTGTCCTGCCCGGCATTATCAGTGGCAATTTTTTAATTTTTTTTTTATTTATATAAATATATAAAACAAAATATCATTTTGATGGGTAATTTAATTGGTTAATCTCTGAAACTACTGATCCAATCATTATGTGTGTTTTTTTTAATGATACGCAGTTTATCGTAGAGAAGGTTTTAACCTAAGATATTAAACATACTCATATCTCATTTAAAAATAGAAATATCGAAAAATCATATACACCAAAGCACCTGTAATCTTCTTACTATTAATTTTGGTAATAAGTCAATTTACTTTAACATTAAAACTAGCGGCACAAAATGTGTCCTACTAAACGCACATTTTTTATGTCTCACCTTTGTAAGACGGAGACAGTAGATGTCAGTGTGGTGTCCTCTTAAGGTAAAAATAATATAGTGTTCTAAAGCGCGTAAGACGGTTTAAGTAAAACAAATAATATATACTGCAGTATACAACAGCCAAACAAACTCGTCTATCACGACTGGTAATTGACGCAAACGCCTATATTTTACAAAATTTTTAAAAATCAATTTACGACGAGTCTGGATAATATTTTGCTCGTGATAAGCTGTTATAAATTCACATAGGTTCTAATCGGAGTATACCTATAACGAAATTCAAAATAAAATATGATTAACAGTTAATAAACTCAGAATTGTAGACATAAAAAACATGAACACAGTCACAGTTACTTTAACTTTTTTTTAATTGTTATACACATTAAACATCCCACCCGCTCTTTTAAACTACTGGAATTGTTTTGTTTTGTTTTTTTCTTTCATCCATATCCTTAAGGTAACCTATAAACTAACAAAACTAATTCGGTTTTCATAACAATTGTGCATCCCTCCTCCATTAAGGCTTGACAACGGAGGAAAGGAAATAGTAACCTATTTGTAATTCCTGGTCTAGAACATCTGTGCAAAATTTCAGCTTAATCAGTTCAGTATTTAGGCAAAAAGTGATAACTAACTTGCATACATCCATTTATCCAAACAAACAATCGCATTATAATATTAAAATATTAAATACGAGTACTTATTTGTTAGGTATTAATATTTAAACAAAACTTATACATATTAAAAATAACGGCACAATAAGATACAACATTTTTATTTTATAAACTGTACTTACTATTTATTAGGAAATCTTGAAAGGTATTTTCTGGGAATTTATTCAAAATTTTAGTATTTTTCGTGTAAAATAACATAAAATCTGAAATAAAAATCATTTATAAAGCAAGTTAATATTATATTCTGAGCGTAGCAAGGAATGTACCTATTGATTTTGTGTGCATTTTAGATTCTGCGTAGAGCGAGGAATCTATTACAGGTTTTACTTTGATATGTACCTATTAATCAGTGGCGTCCCTAGGCACCTTTGCCTAGTTTATGTATTAAAGAAATTATTTTTTTATTTTCTGAATAATTATGAAAAAAGATAATTTTACGTAAACATTTCCAGCGATAACTTAACAACGGTTTCTGGTATTAGATTTATAGTGGAGTGAATGATCAATTGGTTTTACTATTATGTGTATGTATTAGATTCGGAGCATAGAGAGGGATCTATTGGTTTTTCTATGGTGTGTGTTTTTTTCTGCCTATAAACAAATTTTTGAAAAGAAAACTTGCTCGTATGTATCAAGTTTAGCAACTTTTCTGAAAGAAAATTCTATCTAGTTGGTGCATTAGAGAGGTTCGATTTTCCAAGGGGTTTTCAAAATAATTGGGAAAAACTGAAAACAAAATTATAGGTAAAATGGCAAATATTTACGACACGTCTCGTTATGGATTTCATTGTTTTTAATTTTTACGCATGATATTTCCTACCAGAAATATTGCTCTAGTAGAAAAAAAACTCACTGCGATTAAAATCGACACAATATGCATTTCACTATTAACTATCAAATAGTAGATATAATAAAATCAAGTATGCATGATAATGCTGCAAGATTCACACTACGTATTTAAATAATATTTATTAAAAATGGTTAATCTAAGATTGATAATACCTTACCAGTATTGAAAAGCGCACTGGATATTCTGTTCGTGTAAGAATAATAACTTTCAAATGAAATTGGTGCGACTAAAATAAAATACCATATTCGTTATTTTTAACATTTTCAAATTTGTCAAGGTATTAAAAATAAAGTTCTAAAATAATAAGATACCAATTAAGCTTGGGCTGTGAGGGGCTCACCTACGGCGAAGAACAGGGAGAGCATAGTGATGCGCCACCCTAAGGATGTGAGGGCATATCGCACTGTCTTCGCGGAGGCTTCCCTGATTCTCGCCAAGATGCCACTAGACGATCTTACGGTGTTCGAGAGAGTGGGAATCGAGAGGTGAGGGCTGCCAACGAAGGACGGGCGATCCGGCTACAACACGTTTGGACATTTTAACCCAAATTTTGACTTGTTAGTGCACAAAATCACAACACACTATAGCTTAAGTATATACTATTTAGTATACACTCATATATATAAATATGTACCTAAGATTTTTATAAAAAAATATTTATGCACAATTTTACTATCGACACAAGAACATACAATATGTAGTAGACGTTCTAATGAACATTCAGTTAAAAACTGCATTAAACAAAAATCAATTCAATTACATTAAAAAATAATTTGAACTCAAAACTAAATACATAACTGATAACTGGAAAGCTTATAAAAAAGGAAATATAACATTAATTCAATATTTAAAAATGACTGGAATTTTATAATATATATTATATACCATTTATTTGATTTAACACCATTATAAAGGTACTCGCGTATTTTATATAACTAGTTATATTATGATGGATTATTATACAGGTACATTGATTTGGCCCGAGTTGTTTTATTTATATATTTATATTTGTATAATATGTATATATGTATCTATAATGTATATTGTATATATTTTATATACTTCTTTAACAAAGGTATACACTTTTTTTATTTTAATGTCCAAACGTACTATGTTATATGGGTTCTGAATACGAAACAGGTAAAATTGCCCAAAATGTGCTGCACCGCCCAATTCCTATGATGGCATTCAGGAGGTAGAAATGCTACACTTCCAACAGGAGCGTTTCGAACACGCCGGGCCAGGAAAAGGCTTAATGTATGAGTAGTGGGCGGCGGATGATCAAATAGGAATCCCCACCCTTTTGAACACAGATTTGAAAAGAGAAGATTTTCTATACATTTTTATATGCATTACACCAATATCAGATATACCGTTTATGAGTTATAACTTTAAACTATTATAACTCATAAACGGTTAATCTAATATTAGTGTAATTCATATCAAAATGTATAGAAAAATAACCTCTTTTCAAAGAGATGTTAAAGAAGTGTTAAGAAAGAGGGGGTTCCTATTGGAAAATCAAAAGTATGTAAAGGTATATAAAGTAGGGGTTAAAAACTAAAAATGGTTTTAAAATAAAGCTTAAACGATTTCATAATGGTTAGAAAATATAGAACTCAAATTCACTTAAAATCCTCTGAGATAATTGCTGGTTCCTGATAAAAAATTCACCCTGTATTGTATTATTGACAAAGCAATATTATCAACTGAACTCCGCTCAGAATCATTTTTTCGTTAGCAATGGTTTATCGTTGCTTACAGATATACATAAAATTCCCGTCTGTATCCTACCTTCCCAACTTCCGACCTACGACAGTGATTTCACTCACGCAAAGTACATCCGTCCATTTTAGATACCGAGCGTAGCGAGAGAGCTATTAGTTTTACAATGCTGTTTATTTCTTTCTTTTTTTTTTCTAGTCTATGGACACGTTTTACCGTAGTAAACTTGTTCCAATTTTTACTTGTACCAACTTTTTTAAAAGCTCAAGTTGTCTAGACTGTACTTTAAACGGGTTTTTTTTGATTTTCGACGCCATTTTTTAAATAAAAGCACTTAAGTGGGAAAAAACGTAGGAAAACATACAATTTCACGATTTCATTTTATTTTTCTATAAAAACACAATCGACGTTTTCCACCAAAAAAAAATGATTTAATCGAAAAATCGCAAGATACCTTTTTTGTTGCCTTTTTAATTTACTTTCTTATGGTGTCACCGCTAAAACTTCTGTGCCACTTTTGAGTTTTTAAGGAATTTTAATTTTTGGGAGTATTTTTACTGTAATTCAATTATACATATACGTAGAGACTTGAAACTTGGTAACAATACTTATATTGGACTTATCTGGACGTCATAAAATTTCCAAAATCATCGGGTGACTTTTTTTTTTTTTAATAAATGTTTTGAAATCAAATTTAAACGAAAATCGCAAAAAATATTACTGCACTTCAAATTAAGTATTACCGAACTGCGCTCGTAATCGTCTTTCGTCAAGCAATGGTTTATTGTTGCTTACAGATATTAATGAAATAACCTTAAGTACCTTATCTTCCAAACTTCTCACTTACAACAGTGGCCGCTCCCATCCCCAGTATCAGCTTTTTTTGTTTATTTCATCTGTATCACCAAGGTAACCCGTAAATCAATAAAAATAATTCGATAATTGATGTTCAGTTCTACTGTCACATGTTTCCATAACAACACCAATTTGATACAAATATATCTTTTGTCTGACTTTATTATATTTTTATATTTACCAAAACTATGTTCGACATCCCATGACTTAATTTTTGCGTAGGTTTTTAAATTATTTAATTTCATCTGGAGTTACATTTTGAGGGAAATTTTCATTTAGATTATTGTAATTTAAAATATTATTACGTTTTATAAACAGATTTTAATCCACTATTTTTTCTGGTACATTTTTTAATTTTTCATATACCTTTTCATTCGTTATTTCTCCATTTTGACAAAATATATCATGATATTCATTTTACATAAGATATGTAAAAAAAAAAAACCATCACCAATTACTTCAACATGTGGTGAGACATTACTGATATAATCAGACTGATTTTATCAGTTACCAGAAAATACAATAAAAACTTATCAATAAATATAAATCATAGACCTATATATTATAATCTACTTGAATTAATGTTGATGCAAATCTCAATCATCAAAACTTATTTATAATAGTTCAACATGTATAATGTATAAATTGTACTTATATTTATAGGTAAGTATTTAAATTGTATCCATATAATTATGAAATAACTAAACTTAAATATATTATACTTACCCAATTGGAAACGTAGATACATAACTTCAGTAAATGCTTTGAATGGTCGCCCTTTAAAAAATATAACCAAAAGCAAATGTATGTATTATTTATAAATTACGAGTATATTAAATACTGTTTCATAAAACTTCTTATAAGTTATTATTTATAAATGGATCAATATAAGTAATGTATACTAAAATTGCCACATTACACGAAAAAATCATTAACACTTATCAAAATAATATACATTTAAAAAATGTATTTTTGAGTGCTTTGTTAATTATTATTAAAACAATAATAACTTGTGTATTTAAATATATTACACCTATACTTATAACAAATTGTTTAAATCAATAATAAATTATACCTTAGTGTAAAAAAATTATGTACAGACTGTCCCACGAAGATATCCCCCTTAAATATCTCCGAAGATAATAAAGATAACCAAATTATGTTTTTTTTATATTACACACAAGGAAGAAGCCTACAAATGTATACACTCGAGTTGCGATGACTCGATTTTAGATTCTAAGTGTAGCGAAGAATGTATTGGTTTTACTAAGATGTGTATTTATTTATTTATTTTTTGTACTGTGTACAAAAATTCTACCAGAAATTTTGCTTAGGTATAAACGAGACCATTTCTAAAAGGGAATTTTGTCCAGATGGTACTTTCGGAAAGTAATTTTTTGGTTTTTCAAGTGGTTTTAATACCTGGGAAAAACCAGGATAAAACGAAAGAAAACCCGAAAATTTACGAAAATAATGTTTTTATTATTTTTCAATTTTGTTATTTTTTGTAATTCAATTTAAAATATTCGTAGAGACTTGAAATTTGAGCAGAAAACTTATATTTGCCTTTTGCCTAGACATTGTAAATTTGTCGGAAACATTTTTGTCATTTTCAAGCTTTTTACAAACATTTTAATATTTTTGTTAAAATTTAGTTAAAAATATTCGTATAGACACAATTGACTTAAAATTTGGACAGAAAATTTATATTTACCTTTTCTAGACGTAGTCAATTTTTTAAAAATTTAAGCCATTTTTGAGGTATTTATGAACTATTTAATTTTGCGAGTTTTGTACGTAATTTTTATTCGGTAGGTACTCTGTGGTAAAATTGTTAGACTTAACAGAAATGCTTCAAAATTTACCAGGATGTTCATTAAAAGTCTTACTTTGTGGTCAACAAAATAAAATTTGAGTTTAAAGTAGTATTTTTCTATTATAAAAAAATGTTAATATCACATTTTTAGTAAAAAAATATATGGAACAAATAAGAACATTATAAGTCTTGTTAGCTCGAATATAAAATTGTGATAAATAGCTTAGTCGAAGTATATTTTATATTATACAAATATATTTCGTACATTTTCCCGTTTTTTTTTTTTGGTTTTTCACATTTGATGAGAAAACTCTTGAGAAAATCGAAAAATGATCTCCTTAGGGAGATACTTTAGAGTACCTCACTACACCGATATTTTTCTACTGTATCTAATAAATAATACATATGTTTATACTTATAATACCATTGTATGTATTTTAATTTTTGTATAATATTTATCATAAAACAACGTTTTTTATTATACAATTTTAAAATTATATTTCATTACCTAACTTGAAGTTGTAATTTAATTTTGATAAATTCTAGTTAAGCATTTCGAATAATACATTTCTTAAAGTGAATTTGTATCCCCCTTCAACTTCGAGTTATCGCGACTTAACTTTATTTTATTTATTATTTATTTTTTTTTTTCATTAAAAAATTAACTTTTTATTTTATTATTTTCGGAAAATTATATAGTAGCCATTCTATAAAGATTATTTTTCTGACAATTTTAATGCATCACACATTTATATTCAATAAATAGTTTCTAAGTAACAGCCATTTTAAATTCTACTAATCTGTGTGAAAACCGATGTTATCTAGGAAATAATCAACCATGTTACTTAGAAACTGTTCATTGGATAAAAATATGTGATACATTTTACATTTTCAAAAAAATAATCTTTATGGAATTGCTATCTTCGAAATTTCCGAAAATAATAAAATAAAAAGTTATTTTTTTAATAAAAAAAAATTAATTTATTCAAATATAAATATTTTTAGTTCTCTTCCCTGTGGGTAATATAAAATTAAAAAAAAACGGAATTTGATTATCTTTATTTTTTCTGAAGATATTCAAGGGTTATATCTTCGTGGGACAGCCTGTACACTGTATAGGTATATATAATATTATATGAAATTATGAACTCAACTCAATATTAAAGAATACTAAAAATATGTTAATTTGTATTTTAAGATAAAAAATCATATTCAAAAACTTACAATTAATATCTGAGATATCCAAACCTGTTTTAAAAATATTTGATATAAATATATTTGAAACTAAAAAATATTATATTAACTTACTATGTTTTGCAATTTCGTTCAAATAAGTTTTGTAAGGCTGATTGAGTTCTCTTGGAACCACTAAAAAAAAAAAAAAAACAATACAAATTTATTTTATGGTTCATACTCAATAAATATAAAAACCCCAAACATTATATACATTATATGCATTATATACACATATTATAAGTTTGATACTGTTAAAAAAAAATGTAAGAAAAGAATCAATAAGATATTATAGTGTTTTAAATATTTCATTATTATAAACAGATTTTAGATATATTTTATAGATAGATTTATACTGTCTATCAAATAATTTTAAATAGATTATTTGATATTCATTTACTTAGAATAATATTAATAAACTAATACTATAGCATATAGTACAATAATTGGATAAAATAAAATAAAAACGGTTATAATTTACTTTGTTTAAAATATAATACAGTTTGATTTTCCATTGGTTCTATATCTTAAAATGTAAACAATAAAAAATGTCAATTGAATAAATTATCAACATTCATATTATTATTATCTACATTATCTATTTGTGAAATAAAATGTTATTTGCAAAAATACTTACCTAGATTTATCATTCTAAGCAGGTAATCCGTAAATGTTTCCGATTGTCTAATAAAAACTATAATATAAAATTAAATTATTATAAAATAAAACTAAACGAAAAACATTAAAAAAATTTAATTTTCACCAACATCAACAATATTTAGATCTAAATTAACTACTACATTATATCATACGTATATACGACGGCGGGCTGATAAGTAATACTACAATAAACAATAACAATAAACTAAAAATAGATATATAATAAATGAATCACTTTATTTACATATTATTATTTGTCAACATAACTGCTTTCTAAGGCGATACATTTTTGAAAACGATTTACAAGTTTATAAATGCCGTTCAAATAAAATTCTACAGTTTGAGCATTAAACCATCAGTTTAACTTCAACTTTAACACTCTCATCAGAATTTAATTGTTTACCCTTCCGATGTTCTTTAAGGTTGAGAAATAAAAAACAATTGTATGGTGACAAATCTGGGCTGTAGGTTGGATGTAAAATGACTTCAAATCCTAGTGATTCAATTGTTGTTTGAACCGTACATCTAAAGGGGCTGTTATTTTAAATTGCATAAATAATAAAATAATAAAATTACACAATCGCGTTTTCACACACACTAACCAATGATCGATAACATGAACTATTAACTGTACATCAAATAAAAATTTTATCGTTAATCTAAAAATAACTACGAGTTAAGAGATAAGAAAGTCATTACTTATCAGCCCGTCCTCGTATATGATGCAAATTCGAAAATTCAAATGTATAATTGATAAAATTAAATAACCTACCTCTTTTGAAATCATAAAAATCATATTCACTTAACGGTGTAACGCCAGCTTAAAACAAAATGTATGTATTAGACGATTATTCGATTTAATTGAATTTTACTAATTGTATACATTATATTTAAATTATATTATATTTTAAGGTACGGTCTCCAAAACGTGATCGGTCTCGGCAGTCATTCAGTCATTGAAGGCTGAATGGATTCCTAGGCACAATCGGTGACCAAGACCAACTATCTCGTTAGGAGTTTGTAACGCTTTCAAAAGTTGAGATCATTCTTAAGGACTTCTCCAAGGCATTCGTTACATTCGACCACGATTAATCATTAATAAGCTAGAATCCTTATGCCTTAGAAATAGGTAATCCTCTTCTTCTTTGGCTTAAGTCCTACCTCTCTGACAAAAAACAGTTTGTAAAAATTCGTGATATTTATTCTGATCAATGTAACATCAGGCATACCTCTAAGTGGTCACTTAAGTCTTTTTCTGTTTAATATATATGTTTATTAACTCTATTTCTAATTATATTTCCAGAGCAGAGCTCGGAATGTACCGGAACGCAGTTCCGGTTCCTTACTCATTTAAATATAGCATTTCGGTTCAAAAAAAAAATTAACTTTAGCATTCCGCTTCGTTGAAAGTTTGATGTTTTAAAAATAAAACTTGGAAATTGTATACATTTGAAAAACGGCAAATCACGCTTATCAGTTATTGGCTTATTGCCTATTGCTAATAGGTGATAAAATATTATCTATAATAAATATAATATTGTATTACATAAATACATATAATTACATAAATATAATATTATAAATAATATTAATCGTTAATATTCCCCGTAGCCGCAATCATTTATACTATACATTTTATCTGCATGCTGTAAAGTACTAAACGTTTTTCGCAGTTTTGGCCCGTTAACTCGATTACTGTGCTTTCTTTAATCTAAATCTGTTAAAAATATAAGTTCATTTTTACTAAATTGGGTCAAAAAACGCCATAATGACGATGATGATGATTATTTTTACAAATAAAACAAATGTGTTGAAACTGTTCATCCAAACATTGTACCCAACGAAGAACCAACAGGAAATGTGGAAAAAACTAAAATACAAATCGAGAACAAACCAAGTGAAATACCCGATTGTCGGAATATAGGTCAGTATAAAAATTTTAAAAGTTCAAATGATTGGTTGATCGTTAAAAATAAATCATTAGGTTGTTTAGTATGTAAAAACATAACTAATTTAAGACTATCACTTGATCATAATTTACGCATTTCCAAACCATAGCATGTTGTTCTATATTTTCAAATGGTAATAAAGTGACGCAAATATCAAGTCTGAGAAAAAAGATATTAGAACACAAAATATCTGACATACATTTCAAAAGCAGTAGAAATATATATACACAATCTGAATTTCACCATTAAGAACTTCACTATCTATTCAAACTGTTACTGCAATGTTATTTGTCAACTGCGTAGGACCACCTCTATCAGAATTAAAGTCACAAAAGTACATAAAGTCTTGGTTATTAAAAAGTCGTCATTCCGCTAATAACACTTACAGCCATAAAAGAAAAAAAATAAGAGAAAATAAGTATGAATCATTGTGGACTATACTGTAATAAATTAATAATTAATACTTAGATTAGGTTATTTATATCATAGTTAGGTAATTAAAATTTTAATTATTAACTACCTAACTAAAAATAATTATTTTTTGTATTTTTTTGAGTCTTAACTGTGTAATTAAATAATTATTTATTGACGAAAATTAAGTACAAAATTAAATATGTTGATTATTGTAGTGTTACAACCGTGATTTTAACACAAAATTATTTTTAAAAAGATTTTTAAAATTCAGCGTCTTGGAAACTATACATGGTATAAATAATGAAAGCATAAAAATAAAATTAGAAGTGTTTGAGGATAATTTATAATTTTTAAAGGAATGGAATTAAATACCTACATGATGAAGATTTACTTACGGATATTTGTTATAACTCGTACATAGTGTTCATACGATTCATAAGCTACTGGCATTTCTAAAAGCAAAAATTATATATTATGTTTAAAATGTACCTAGGTATAAGACGTCATGTTTTATCAGTGGCATAGCTACCACAGGGACAACCGATGCAGTTGCCTCAAGGCATACAGTTTTTTGGAGGACTTACATATGTGATATAGGGTGCTAGTGCTGGTGATAGTATTTGGTAGACAAATTATGGTTGAATAAATATAAACGTGCCCGTGAAGTAGGTCAAATTAGCTATTTGTTCTCGCCAACTTAATTAACTGCGATTCATATGTCATCTGATAAAGCTAATAATATTATAACCATACCAACCGTATAATTAATTTTAATCAATAATAGATATTATATACTAAACAATTTCTATAAGAATTATTTCCTATTTTCATAAATATTTTATTTTATTATTTTTATTTTAAACGGGTCAAATGACCCTTTGGTCCAGGTGAACTATTCAAGTGGGTACACTCATTATCTTGAAAAGTATTAACTTTTTCCGGAATATGTTTTTCAGAACATTTAAGAAATAATAACCTGTTCTAAAATTGTATATTTATATAATTTTTTGTCACCCTTGTTTTTGGGGGTAAACTTACTACCTACTTTTAATTTTCAAATGACAACCTATATTAAAAATTCCATGAATAGATGGAATATTAGTTGAAATAAATTTAAGTGTTGACATTTTTAATTTCCGTCGATCCGTTAACGAAATATTCCACTTTTAAGTTCGGGTTGGAGGAAAGTAGTGGAGAATCATTTGTGTGGCGGTACGGCGCGTAACATGTGAATAATGCACCCTTCTCCAACCCAAACTAAGAAATGGAATATCTCTTCAATGGTTCGACAGAAATCAAACATTTCAACACTCAAATTTATTTTAACTAATATTCCATTTATTCATGATATTTTTAATATAAGTTGCCATTTGAAAATCAAAAATAGGTAGTAAGTTTACCCCCAAAAGCAAGGGTGAAAACAAATTTCATAAATATACAATTTTAGAACAGTTTATTGTTTCTTAAATGCTCTAAAAAACTTATTCCGGATAAAGTTAATACTTTCCAAGATAATGATTGTACCCACCTAAATGGATTGACCGGTAATATAAATAAAATGGGGCCTAGGTGTGAACCTTAGGGCACACCAGAAGTAACTAAAAAATCGTTTAAAAGTTTAAAAGACACTTTTACAGCGTGAGTGAGAGAGCTCATATAGAACGGATACCATATAGGAAGAGTTTACTTATAGAGTAAAAACTGAAATATAATTAAATAGTTAGACCTTTTTACTTAAAAAGCCTTTAGAGCATTTAAATTTTAAATCAGTTGGTCTTAGTTTATGGATTGAAATTGTTTTAATGAAACGATTAGTTTTAAAATCTATGTAAAATAATCATCGCCCAGTTATATGACTGTTATAATACGAGTTTTAACAAGATTTATATTGATCGACCCACAGAAGTTTAGCATAACAAATAATATAGTTAGGTACTTAAATCAAAACCATAACGTACTTTTTTTCAAATTTTCACAATCATTCACACTACCTAATGTCAATTCTAAAAAATAATTAATATATTATGTAAGTATTAAGTTAAGTTTTCTTAAAATATGATGTAATATGCAATGTTATAGAATAATGATAAATATTATTATTATTTATTATTATTAAATTATTTATTTTACCGTGTTCATATAAACTGCATACTGTCAATTTATTATTTTGTAATTGGAAATTTCCGTAAATAAATTATTATTATAATTATATTAGACCAGTGCTTCTCAAACTAAAGGCCGCGGAGGCCCTCAAAATTGACTGTCACAGGGATTCAAAATTTTCTAAGCTGGTCATGGATATGATACAACTCAAAAAAAATAAAGTTTACAAGAAAAATATGTTTAATCATTCATCTTTAACTAATAATTAAACAACTCTACCAATTTAAAATTTTTTTATGCAAAAATTCAACAGCATAGTAAAAAATACGTATTATTAAAGGTCTCGATACCGGTAACCAAATTTTCTCCGATTTTTTAAAATTTGAAAATTATATTTAACTTTGTATTGGCCACCTTAATAACATTAATGATCAAACTTTTTCACTTACATACTACTCGACAACCATTTAAGAAGACTGGGAGGAGTACTCAACTTGTGAAGTATGTCCGTAACTTTTATTATTTTTTTTAATTTTATTCAGTTAAAAATATTCGTGATGACATAAAACTTATATTTGCTTTTTCTAAACGTGGTAACATTTTCAAAATATTTCAGCCATTTTTGAGTTATTTATAGACATTTTTTTTTTTAAAGTTTTTAATTTAAACTTAATTATTATTTGGTACTTTATGTCAATATAATTCTCGAACTTAATGTTTAAAAAAAAAATTGGGTTTTATGTAGTATTTTTTTTTTTTTTTTTTACATAAAAGTTTTAAAATCAAATTTTGACTAAATATTACGCCCTTTTAATACATCTCTAACCGAATTTCATTCAGATTTGTTTTTCGTCATAAATGGTTTATTGTTGGCTACAGGTAAAAATTAAACAATTTTATGTATCCAACTTTCCCAACTACAACAGTGACTGCACCTGTCCATTGCAGTATTAAATCGATTTTTCTTTTTTCTTTTTTTTTATAAACAACATTATAGAGATAATATTAAAATCTGAATTTTTATTTGATTTAAAATAATGATGTAAAAAATTCTGTAAAATAAAGTGAACAATTGACCTTTTTTAAATACATAGTCATTATTAGAAAATTAAAGATAACAATATTGAAAAACGGTATTCAATGCGGACTGTTGAACGCCTTCCTATTTCCAACAAATAATCATTGAAATTAGACAACTAGCATAAGAATTTTTTTCCATTAGGCATGATTTTAGACTAAAACACACCATAGCACTAGTCCTCTCGCGCAGTATTTATTTCAGGGTGTGGCCAGGGGGTATTACCACGGCAGAAAAAAATATACCTCCCCCTACAAATGTGTAACATTAATTCATAAACTACCTGTGATGTGATATGTGAAATGAGTTTTGGGCCGATTATGAGTCATTTTGTTGACAATAAAATAAAATAAAAAGTGTGTTTTATAAATAACCGTATTTTAATGAACTACAATAAAACTTCATCATTGAGCGTGTATTTTCATGATTTTTTCCCTATGTATATAAATTCCTATATCCGGCTCTGCCTTTGGCATGGTCTTTTGAAAATGTACATTACTCCTTATGGGATAGGTGTGAATAAACACACATAGTAGATATTTTGTAGATGAATCAGTAAAAAATCAACATTATTGTTTTATAAGTATATATATAGAATTTTGCGATAAATATTAGGATTATGGAATATCTTATTTTAAAATCTTACCGTGGGAATTCTCATATACATTTGTCCATGTGACCAGATTTTTTGTTTCGAACTCTTTTCCAAATTGAGGATAATCTGTATTGTAGTTAAAAATAGTATTGTCACCATTTACTGAATATATATCATATATATAATATATAATATATATATACAATATAATATATAATCAATTTTACACCCTTAACACTATTGATTAAACCAGTTGATATGCGAATTTATTAAAATATTATTGATCATCACATGATACATACAAAACCAGGATATAACACGAAGATCTGATACCTGAAATGACTTTAATTCTATTCAAATTTTTAAGTTTTTTTCTTGTAATAATTTACAGAACTTTTCACTATAACAAGTGTGGGTTTCGAGGAGAAACTAAAAAGGCGATTATTGAAGTTTACGAAATCCAACACAAAACTATTTTTCATAGAAAAACTGTTGAACCATTGATATTATTTAGTAATGGCCATGAAAACTATCTTAATCTTCAAAAAATTATAGAAAACTAAAGATTCATTATTAATAAATATTTGTAATATATTTATAAAATGAGTCACTAAAAAAATTATAAATTCGATTTATCGAACAAAAAATTTAAAAGATTATATTTTTAATCCGCAAGCAAGAATATATCAGTATACATAATAGTTAAATGGCATTTAATAAACTAGGTGATCCATTTAAGTGGGTGCACTCATTATCTCGGAATGTATTAACGTTTTCCGGAATTTATTTTCTAGAACATTTAAGTAACAAACAACTATACAATTTTATAACTATGCTACTTTTTGTCACTCTTATTTTTGTAGGTAAAATCACCAGCTACTTTTGATTTTTAAATAAAAATATACATCAAATAGTAAAAAAATAAAGTATATCTTCTTAAAAAAAATTCAAGCTGATAATATAATATGGATTAAACCGCTTACTATTTTTAAAAAACTTAAATAAGTTTTCATTTAATGGATTTCCCATACCTAAAAAGTTAATAGTAGGCATTAAATTACATTTAAAAAAGAAGTCCTAGTATAATGGAGACGGAAGCAGCCACCGTTATAGGTAATTTAATGTATACCTGTAAGCATCGTTAAACCATTGCTTAGGAAAAAAAGTTTCTGAGTGGTGTTCAGTTGATAGTGATGCTTTGTTAACATGCTTTATACCATATTATAATAAAATATTTAAATGGGCTCTGTATATTTTCTTAAATAATATTTATTTAATGTTATACCAATTTCCCCAGTTTTCGTACGTTTTTCCTTGTTTTCCCATGATTTTTCCCGATTTTTCGCATTTCCTGAGAAAACTCCGAAGAAAATCGAAAAACGACGTCTCTAAAATACCTTCATAGAAAAGTTTCCTTTTAGAAAAATTGCTATCATTAATATTTCTGATAAAAAAGTTGTCCACAGATAAAAAAAAAATAATAATAAACATCTTTGTAAAACCATAAGCTTCTTCGTTCCACTCAGAATATAAAATGTGTTAAGAGTATAAAATCAAGCAATGTAATAGAGCAACATAATAGAATATTTAGGTAAAATTTATTAACACATTTTAATCAATATACATGGTGATCAACATAACTTGAGACAGCTATTATCTCGGAAAGTATTAACTTTTAGATTCTGAGTGAACCGAAGAAGCTTATAGATTTACAAAGATGTTTAAATTTTTTTTATCTGTAAACAACTTTTCTATAAACAATTATGTTCTAACTTACAGGTATATTGATAGCAATGTTTCCAAAAGGAAATTTCATTAGGGAAGTATTTTAGAGAGGTCATTTTTCGATTTTTTTCAGGAGTTTTCCAGCAAATGTGAAAAACCGTGATAAAACATGAGAAAACCGAGAAAAACGTAGAAAAACTGGGAAAATCGGTACATATTGGAAATAGCATACATACTGTTGAAAAAGCATCACTATCAACTTAACTCCGCTCAAAATCGTTTTTTCGTAAGCAATGGTTTATCGTTGCTTACAGATATACATCAAATTCTAGTTTGTATCCTACCTTTCCATCTTCCCACCTACACCAGTAGCTGCACCCAGCCCCATTATCTTACCTTTCTTAGAATTTGTTTTTAGAAAATTCTAGAGACAATCCGTTTTAAAATGTTACATATTTTTAATTTTGTAATTATAATAACACAATTTTTATTTTTTCGTTTATATTGTTAGGGTTAAAACCTTGAAACCAATTTTGATTTTAAAATAATAATCTATATACAAAATTGCATAAATAGATAAAGTTTTAGTTTAAACCTTTTTTTTTAATTTCTATTAAACTTAAAGTACTTTACTTTTAAGTTTGCCATGTTGTGGGTAGGACTGAGACAGATTAGGGGAACTGAGGAAATATATTGAAGCACTATTTAAATACCACTCGCAGGACCGCCACATAAATCTACTCAGTGATCACCACAAGGATAATAAATATGATTAAAGCAGAGGACATGTAACTTTAAAAAAAAAAAAACGAAATATGCAAACATTTATACAATTACAAATTCTAAAATATGCACAAAAATAGGTTCCTTTTAAAAAAAATGTTTATTATATAACAATTAAAAAATAGTAGTTATTTAAAAAACAACTAGAAAATAAGAATAAAAATTTCTTACCTAATTGAATTATATGCCATACCATGGCCAAATTAATAAAAAAAACTCAATATCTTAATAAAATGTTAACATTTAATTTGAATTGATTAAATTAAGTAGACATTAGTGCATGACATTGATTGATTGATTTTTAAATATATTTAGTTTGAAATTTATTCCACTGATACTAAAAAATAACATATTTAGTATATGAATTTATAATTTTATCAATCATTTTCGTTTTGATGATAGTTATTAATCGTGATTGTGGAAAAAATCTGAAAAACCTACAAACTTTTCAAAAAACAAAAAGACTTAAACATGCAACATACAATTATAGATTTGGTTTTATTATAACATTAAACAAATTTCTTTCAAATTATTCTTATTTTACGACTACGGGAAATAAATATACAAATGCTAGAAGTCTTCTGCCTTAATTATGACTATTATAAGAAATCACAAGTATCTATTACCATTTAGAATCTATAATATAACTGATAAACAAATAGGTGCACAATAACATTATAGAGAGTACATAATAGAAACCGCCTTTTCATGGTGTTCGCTAAATAGCTTTATTCAAATATTTTAAATAAATAGTAAAAATAAAAAATACCTACTTAAGAAACATAATTATAACTCACTCAGTTGGTTGGTAAATCTATCAAAATACGTATTATACGACTCCGACATTTTCGGGTAAACTGAAAAAAATATATAAGATTTATTCCTTTTTCTCTATTGTTTTATATAGATCGTACTTTCGTAATTAATATTATTATTTTCGAATTTTCCCCAAAAATAGACTATTGCGCTGTATTGTATTTGTTATACAAATACCTACTCATATATTTATTTACTGGTCAAAATTCGGCTCTAGTGACGGGTTCTACTGCTTATGTGTTTTATTATTATTATACAGACAATGATTCAATAAGCGTGCTTACCCCATTTTTTTTTTTTGATTAAATGTTGAATGTATTCGAATTCTAATTTTTAAAAATTTTAAGTATAATTAAAGCCGATTTATATATATTGCTCCAATACTCTCTCCAAATTAAAATTTAAAAGTAAAATATCTCGTCAACGGGTTGACGGAAATCAAAAATGTTAACACGAAAATGTGTTTAAAGTAATACTCCATCTATTTATGGTATTTTTAATATAGGTTCTCTTTGAAAAAATAAAATTGTTATGGCTACAGGATACTCCTCAAATGTTGTGAAAAATCTAAGTGTTTAAAAACATCGGCTTTAATTATACTTAAAAATTCCGAATATCAGAATTTGAATTCAACCGAAAAAACGCTTAGTGAATCTCTCTGTATAGATATTTACAATATATCAAAATTTAATAATAATATTAATAATAAATGGACATTTATCACCGATTTGTTTTCATTATTTGTTAATAGTATACGTAGTACACTAGTAAAGCTTTGCCTTTTTGTAAACTATTGTTTCGCAGATAATATGAAGCTCTTTATTAAAATAAATTCAGCTGTTGATTGTGTGAATTTACAAAATAGCCGTGATTTTTTAGTAATTGGGGTCATACAATAGGTTTTAAAATTAATACTTCTAATTGCCAGGTCATGACGTTCACTCGAACTCGTACTCCTATTCCTTATGACTATCATATCTCAGATACGGAAATTAAACGCGTTAGGTTAGGTATCATAATAGATCTCGCTTTTAAATGACACATTGCAATGATTTCTTGTAGAGCATTTAGAGTCTTAGGACTCATGGTGCGTCTTTCAAAGGACTTTAAATTAGTAACTTACTGCGTTTTGCGTGGAAGTATTCTTTATCGGATACTATGTAAAATTGTATTCGGAAACAAAAATGTAAAATACATTAATATAATTAATATAATTTTATATAACTCAGGACCTGATTAATCAATAGGCTGAAAAATCTGCAGCCTAAGACATCATTAAATAAGGGGGGGGGCGGCACAACAAAATAATTTTTTTTCAAATTTATGTCTCTGTATATCAGTGACCATAGGCGTAACCAAACCTTTTTTTAAGAGGGAATATGTACACAATAATTTATTAGGAGAGGACCGAGGATTCGGTGCCTACTGATGGTAAATCCGTTAATCAGGCCCTGTATGTGCTATATTATTTTATAGGATATATAAGTACTGCTAATTTTTTTTAACACTCGTAAATATATTTCTTAGGTATATTATGTTCAACATTTAATTTACGAGTATTATTTTATTCTATAATCTATAAATTACAAAAACAAAATTAAAAAGACGGACATACTTTACACGTAGGTGCAGACACTGTTGCATATGGGAAGTTGGGAAGATAGGAAATAGACGGGAATTAATTGTATATCTGTAAGCAACGATAAATCATTGCTAACGAAAAACCGATTCTGAGTGGAGTTCAGTTGATGGTGTTGCTTTGTTAACAATATATATATATATATATATCATATTATGATTAAATGATTACAACAATGATTGTTTACAAAAGATTAAAATAATAAAAACTTAATAATAAAAAAAAAAAAAATAAAAACTGTTGCTAATGATAACCGTATTTTAATCTTTCAATCTTTTTTAACCTAAAGAACCAGGTTTTCTTCATTATCTCGAATTTTAAGAGGACGTTATACCTGTATCTACTGTCTCAGTTCAACTACTGAATAACATATAAAAACAATACTTACGCAGAATAAGTAAAACCAGCTTAATTTTGATTTTAGAGTAAAAGTACTTATTATAAAATGTTTAGAGAACAATTTTTTTAGGGGGAATATCATAAATGTTTTTTTAATTATGAACTATTAAAAAAGTTTCAGTTATTTAAATAATAAAAATTAAAGTTTTCGTAACATTTATATCGATCTGTATATTTTGAATAACACAAAAGTCCTAAAACATTCCCTCCTCCAAAATATTGTTCTCTATAAATTTCACAATAAGTACTTTTACTCTAAAATCAAAATTAAGCTAGTTTTAATTATTCCGCGTAAGCAGTATTTTTGTATGTTACCCGGTAATAGTTGGACTGAGACAGTATATGTGAGTCAGTCCTATATAACGTCCTCTTAACGAGAATTTAAAAAATTTACCTCTTTAAAAACCACCCAGAGAACATTTCCTTTCAAAAAGGGTGCTATACTTGATAATCAGAGTAAGCTTTCTGGTAGAAAAAGTATTCATATAAAAATAAATAATAACAATAAACATCATTGTAAAACCAATACATTCCTCACTCCGCTCAGAATCTAAAATGTCAAAAGATTTAAACAATATATTTTTCATAATAATTTTTAATTAAAAAAAATTGTATAAAGAATTCCAGTGAAATACAATACAGTAATCACTTGTTATCCACGGAGGTTTTGTTTCAGAAACGTTGCGCGGATAACAACCGTGGATAATGAACCAAATAAAATTATATACAATTTTAAGTTGAGAAGCCAATTTAAAAAATTAAATCATTAAGTTAATCAGAAATGTATTTCTAACTTAACCGTGGATAAAAAGGAAAATAAAACAATTACCTCCCCAATACACCAACCAGACAAAATTTGTGTTCAGAATCTACCTCTGATTGTATTAATTGGAGAAAAATTTCTGGCCGAAAAGTTATTCAGAGACAAAAAAATTCACAAATTATATTCGAATAACTTAAAGATTATACTTCTCAATGCGTAAGAGTTTTTACCTTAAATTACCTATATTTGCCTGAGTTTAAAAATAAATATTCCGTGATATTTCCTGAAAAGTAGGTACTCATACGTATGGATATATCACATAATTTTGCAAAATTATTAATATCGACCGATGTCACCAAAATAGATGTGGTAAAGTGTTGCTACATGACCTATTTATATAAGAATTATATAAAAAATATCCCCGTGTATTTTATCCAAAATGGAACATACGTGTTTATTAATAGTACGCGGAATGGACCTACGATTTCCATCCCCCCTTTTAAATTAAAAGCTAATAAAAAAATTACCAAATTACTCTCAACTTATTTATCACTAAATACAACTTATAATAAACCTTATTGTATCAATCTTTCGCGGGTTTTGGAGAAGTGAAATTATTTCTATTCGTATAAATTAGAAAATCGTACAGCAAATGCTGTGATTTTTAACAAAATTTGAACTTAACAATTAAAAGATTATTAAAAAAATGACGGACATACTTCACACAATGAGTAGGCCGTTATTTTAGGTGAGAAGTTAGGTAGATATAGAGGAAATTGAATGTAAATCTGTACGCAAAGAATAACCATTGCTAACGAAAAACGATTCGGAGCGAAGTTCAATTATACATGTTTTGAAAGGCCATAATATTTACAATTTTCGTGGATTAATATAGTGTTGCTTTGTCAAAAATATATACATAAATGTCATATTGTGATAAAATAATTACATATGCATAATAGTCACTTGTACTTGGCTGTATCAAATGTTACCCCAATTATAAATCGGGGAGTGTCTTAAGCGCATAAAAAGCTAACCTCTAAAAATTGTACAACACAACTTCTTAATCCCAACCATATCGAGCAATCGTGTAAACTGTAAACATTTGATTCTTTACTCCATTTTCCTGAATCTTGGTCGAAGAGACGAATGTCCGGAAGGATTTTGACCAACAAAAGTCTATCCCGGAGTGGCTTAATAGATCTGGGGTCAGAGCCCCCAACTAAATTCTAAGCAAAGAGAAGTATCTAGTTTAAAAACGAAATGTTAATATGTAATGCACACGGTATTATTAATTTTTACTTGAAAAATTGAATTATTATTAAAAAGACAGACAAACTTCTCACGATGGGTGGATCACTATTATAGATGAGAAGTTGGGAAGGTAGGATATAGAGAGGAATTTAATGTATATCCGTATGCAATGATTAACCATTGAACCTAACGAAAAAGCGAGTCTGAGCGGAGTTCAATTGATAGTGTTGCTTTGTCAACAATATTTGTCATATTATGGTAAACTAATTATGTATGCATTAAACATCTTTTTTGATAAATTATAGATTCATCCCTCCACTCAGAATCTAAAATATTTATAATTATAGCCTGAATGTTTTAATAAATTACTTAAATCTCCAAGAAATACGTGGATACTCATCCGGGTTTTATATTCACTTAAATTTTCAAATAAGATTGGAAGTCCTGCAAAAATTAAAATGAAGTACTTAAAATCTTAATATTATATTATACTACTATTTACAAGATACATAGCTATTATTTGGTACTATATAATTTACTGTTATCGCACTTACTAATTTTCATTCTATTGTACCCATCTTCATCTAATGGTGATACGTCTGAAATGATAATGTTTTTGTTTAATTCATAGGTATCTGTATTAAATACCAATATACATCATTAAAAATGTATATTATGTTACATGTTATTTATGTAATTTAAGATTAAATTTAAAATTTAGATAATGTTTATCAAGCTATATTATACTATATATATATTAAATAATATACATTAGTTATTTATATAAATATTCAATATACGAGTAATAACTAGTTTATGGATAAATATTGATTTCCCATTCGTACTATTTGTAAGAGTAAAGAAATTGGAAATATATTTAAAATGTAATTTTCCGTTTGACTCAAATACTTATAACATTTTAAACGATATTATGTAAGAGTCATATGATGAAATTAACATGCAATCACCTGTGCTCTTATTGACGATAGTGAACTCGTATATACTAGTACTGCCATCTATCAATGACGTTTAATAATTTATAAGTTTAATGTCAAGGATGTAAACTATACAATTTATGGATATTGTTTTTTTTTTTTTTGCTTTAATCAATAAATTAGATTTTTGGTATTCATGTCAAAAGCCTAATTTATTATATATATTATATATTACGTACCTATTATTTAAAAATTATAGCCAAGTGTGTTAAATTTAATATTGTATACGATATACGATATACCTATTTTTTATAGTATAAAGTTTATATAATACTTAATATGAATGTAATTAAATTATTATATTTTAATATATTTACCTAGGCTAATCATTAATTCAGTAGACCTTGGCATTTTACTGTATTGTTTGAACCCCTCACCAACGTGTGGAAATACTGAAGAAATTAAATTATTATATTATTTACTTTTATAAAAAATAAAATATCTAAAACTTGTGTCAAAATTATTTCACGAATAAAGTAGATTACTTATTTAATACGAAATCGACTGATAGGTATTAATAAGCATTTTATTTAAAATATTGATAATACAGTGGATATCGCTTATAAGACTTACTTTGGGACCAACACTAAGTGAATCCGAATGAACCTTTTAGGCGAAGTGGGGAAAGAATAGAATGTATTTGGATATGTCCGGACCATTCTAAGTGATTTTGAATCTATTAAGTGACTGAACCTTATAATTATATCCATGAGTCTTACAAGCGTCGTCCACTGTATGAAGTAATATTCTTTACAAAAATATTTCCAGAAACTTAATAATAATATTTGTATAGTATTTAAATTGTATAAACATTATTCTGGTTCATTTATCTAATATAAAATATTTCATTCTTAATTTGAATACAGATTAAAAATAAGAAAGTTTATAATTGTTTAAGTAATATTTTGTAACGAAAATATCATATATTGGTACTGGAATATTATTTTTCGATCAACTAAAACAACTGTTTAGACAAAAAACGAATATTTGTTCTATGTTATTTTAAGTTCATGAAAAATATTAACTCACTTTAATCTTTAAAGTATAAAAAACAATGAAATATTATTCATATTGTATTTTTGTAATCATAATATGTACATACAGGTAACACTAAAAACTTGATTAGGTACTTATTCATTATTGAATAAGCTTTGTAAATAAACGTTGACAATTTAAATAATAAAAATAAAAATAACTTACGTTGTTGATAGACACTGAAAGAGTCCTTGGGCATTCCAAGAATATCTGATAACAGAATTTCAACCGTTTATTTTACTTTTATCCATACTATACTTCTAATAAATTAATTTAAATATAAAATACAGTCTTGTATTTCAAAAAGAAAATACATTAAAAAATATTTAATCATGTGATAAATTCTGCATAAAAGCTAATATTATGGACAAATATAGACCTAATAATTGGTACTTATACCTAAAAATACCATCATTGTATTTAATTGAAGACTATATTATATTGATTCAAATTAAACATGTATTTCATAATATTATTTTAATGTACAATAAAATCTTACTGATTTCATTCATTCTGGTTTCATATTCTTTATAATATTCACCGAGTTGTGGAAAAACTAAAACAATTATTATAAAAATGTATTAGACGAAATTAGTAATCTTAGAACAGAAACATAAAAAATATTACATAACCATAATAGGTATCTAAATAGGTAAGTAGGTTTTTCTGCCCTAAAGCGAAAATTGTATTATCATCTATTTTTACTGTTATTAATTTAATTTCACCACTTCAATTTCTTTAAAATTGTATGCCTATAACTTGGGTAATTAATGCCATCAACTAGTCATTGAATTATTTTCTAGAATATAATCGTATTTTGATAGAAGCTATTCGATAAATAGTTGAAAAGTAGTACCCAATGACAAGTTTCAAAATTAACGCATCTATTTATTTATTACTAAATGTTTAAATAGTATTATCGTGAATCGTCAAATATGCATCTGTTACAAATTATCGAATAGCCCACAAATGTTTGTTCCGAGCCGTACTGATGACATTTTTTTATTTTTTTGTTCATCGAACTTTTCTAATCTAATCTAAGTATCTAAATCAAGTATATGTCTAGTAGCGCCACTGCGTATACTCACTAAAAAAATTACGACTACGCTACTGGTTAATAAATATAAAAATATTACTTTATAAATGTTAAGTGTACGGATTACTATTAATGTATAAACACATTAAAATATTTAATTAAAACTAAGAATGTTAGTTTAAAACGTTTACGTAAAAACTTCGATAAAACAGATTAAATTAATATTGTAATTTGCCATAATATTTTAGCCCATAGATACGTATTTTCTCAAAGTTAGTATAGTGAGAAGTTTTTAAATTTTTGAGTTGAGTGAAGAATGTTTTAGTTTTAATGGTTTTACTATGATGTATGCAGCTGTTTTAAAAATTCTATTCTAATAATATATAGATTTTCAAACATTAATCATAGATTATAGGTAATTTATATTGTTTCTTTAATCGTAAATTAAATTTATTGACTACAAACGCTTGTAATTACAAGTATATTACATTTTCTTTTAAATAATTCTATAATCAATCTATTAGATACCTAATATTCTAATAAAAATTTAAATTTAGATTTTAAAAAGTCAGAATATTATACTTACAGTACTGTAATCCTCGGTAGTTATCTGCTAATTTACACTTCCATTGTTTTTTTTTTTCCACTAAAATAAAACATAGTGCGATTCATTATAATTGTTCATACTGGCCAATTCAATCATTAACTAAATCTGAGATTATTTTTTTAGATACCTACACAAAACTCATAATAATTTTTATTTAAGATTCCTTATATTAAATTTATTTATGGTATAAGTCGCATATTACACTTACCTTCAACAACTCTGACGGAATAATGATCTAAAGATTCTCCTAATTTAGGATACACTAAACAAAACATAAAGGCAATTCATAATTACAAATCTTACAATTATCACACGATTTGAATACATGCAGTGGGAAACTATCATTTTAATAAATGAAAATATCTTATTTTCTATGAAACATTCCTTGTCATAATTTAACATGAGAAACCGCATTTTACAAATGATTTACGTTTATTTTTGACATACGAAAATAAATAGTAAGTAATTATTGATTTAAACAATGTAAAACAGTATTTAAAAATTATATAATTTTAGATTCTGAGAGAAGCGAAGAATGTTTTGGTTTTACAATGATGTATATTTTTTATTATTTTTTATTTTTTCTGTAAACAACTTTTTTGCTAAAAATGTTGCTCCAATTTTCAAGTGTAGCACTTTTCTGAAAGACAATTTGACTCGAGTGATGCATTAGGGATTTTTTTATTTTCCCGGGGGTTTTCATATTAAATTGGAAAACCCGAAAAATTTACGAAATGTATTATTATTAAATCATAAATATTAAGACCTTTCAAAACATGTATAACCGAACTTTGCTCCGAATCGTTTTTCGTTATCAAAGATTAATTTTTACATACAAATATATATTAAATTTCCTCTCTCTCTCCCAACTTCTCACTTACAACAGTGGCCCACCCTTAGTGCAAAATATATCCATTTGTTTTTAAAACCGTTTAGATAATAATATTATTATTATTTTTTAAATAGGTAATTATTTTAACTCAAAATGAAAAAAAAATATATGTTTATGTATAGATAAGAAATCTATTATTATTACTTACGAGAACGAAACGATTCATAATCTGTTTTGGTAAATGGTAGTAGTCCTAAAAATATAATACACCATTTCTACTTAATAAATAAGTTTAATACACCATTCATATTTTACAGAGTATATTATAATTACGAATTTATTTTATTTTTAGCATTTCACAAATTAATAAAATATTATATTTTTGATTATAAACCATAAACTATATTGGTTCAATAACCTGGTTATTGAGTATGATAAAATATTACAATATTTATAATGACTTGAGTACCGAATGTGTTTGACATTTTGCTTTCGTAATCATTATACGTTTCACCGAGGATTGGACAAACTAAAACAAAGATAATATTAAATATAAACATGATATTTTCATAAATATTATTAGAAAAAAAAGACCAATATAAAACTAATAGATATTAAATAATTTCTATAGTCTTATTTAAAAAAACTATTAAGTTATTATAAATTATTAGTTTTAAACCTTTTCAGGAATAAAAGTATATTTATTTTTTTTTGGTGACATCCACTCTAAAAAAAAAAACTAAAATCCTATTGAAGTATTTTAGATACTAAGTGGAGCAAGAAAATGTATTGGTTTTACAATAATGTTTTTTTTTTTTTCTGTGAACAACATTTCTGCCAGAAATTTTTCTTCGATTTTAAAGTGTAGTTCTTTTTCTGAAAGCAAATTTAACTGAAGTGATACTTTAAGAAGATCATTTTTTGACTTCCTCATAGATTATCATAGTAAATGAAAAACACTGGGAAAAAACGTAGGAAATACGGGAAAATGTATGAAGTGTATTATTTTTAAATCAAAAATATTACGATCTTTTAAAAGATATATAACCAAAGCTACATTTCCATGCCCCCCCCCCCACTTTGATATTTTTAAACAACCTTTTCACCACTCGCTTGTAGCCGGTTTGTATCGTTTGCAGAGATTTCGTTCAATTTCTAAAAATAGAATTTAATGGGGGGGCTGAATAAATGCCCAGAATTTTCGAATATTAAAATACCAATTTCACCACTCGTTTGTAGCCAGTTAGTATTGTTTTGTAACGTTATTAGTTTCGTTTGTAGAGATTGTTTACACACAAACATTTTTTTTTTTTTGTTAAAAGCTCATCGTGTATTAAAACATATTTATTGAAAAAAAAAATAATAATAATAATATATTTAAAATAAATTAAATCAAATCACATAATGTTGATTTATTAACTTCAGTATTAAATTTGTTAAGTTTAGTATGTATAATAATTATGATATTTATAATAAATGTCAATATATGATAAATATAATAAAATATTTTTTTTTTTAGACTGTATAAAATAAATATTTTAAACCTGAAAATTAATAAATAATAATTTATTACTTCATCATTAAAAACAATAAGATTAAAAAAATATTTAAAAAAAATAGATCAGAACATTGTAATAAATATCCAACAAATTATTTATGTGGTCGATACTCAAAAAAATTATTATTATAATATTAATGTATATCAAATACATATATAATATTTGTTTGATTAAAAATAATTAATTATTAATCATTTTAGATTATGAGTATAACGAGAAATGTAGGTCCATTTACCTGGCACCTCTACTTAACTTAAATTGTTCAAACTATTATTATTACATTATTGAGTTGCCTTTTTCATAAATTAAAAAAAAAAATCCAAAAAAAATTAAAAGGTACTGTAAGTTTCCATTCATCGGTCCCATCAGAATTTGCACTAGCTTTTTCGCCATGTGCTCTTTTAAATTTTATGTCGTGTCTTACTTTCCACCTAGATAACCAACCTTCGGTGGCTTTGAATTCGTCGTTACCAAATTTTCTAGCAAGGTCTTCGGATTTAGTTTTTAATATTGGACCTGACACTTGAACGCCCCGGCTAGTGGCCAGTGTAAACCACTGAGTCAGTGCCTCATCTACATCTGAATCTTTACCCTCTCGTTTCCTTTTCCGTGTTGTCACTTGGCTAAGAGCTTGTTCTCGCAAAACCTGTTCTTGAAGTTGAATTCGTGCGATTGTTGATTTCGGTATTCCTAANGACATCGTTAATACACGCGACAAACACGACTGATGCACCAAATAACATTCAACGAATTCAACGAAGAGGAAAAATTTCCTTTGTGAACATATGATAAGATAAAATTTAATCTATTAAACGATTACGCGAGTCGGTCGCGATTTTCGAACTACTGATCTATTAATATACTCGATAAAAACGTCCCAATTATCCGAATTCGTGGCCCAGATAAGCGGTGAACGTTTACCCTACAAGTATACATTTGTTTTCGTAATTGAAGAATTGTCCCTATTAAGCGGTTGTCCTTATTAACCGGTGTCTCTATTAAGCGGATTCGACTGTACTTTCCAAGATAAGTATTTTCAGTTGAGTGAATAATCCTGTATATAAGGTGTCCTACAATTTTTTATGACAAACATCTGTTAATATTTACATTTTTTTATAATCCTATTAACTTGAAAAAAAACTGAGAGAAGTTGTAAAAATAGTCATTGTTTGACTGTATTACCTTGTAATACGATTATGATTCCCTATCGGGTATCCATTATTTTCATACCCCTTTTTTAGAAATAGATAACAAAAATATTATACATACTAATATTGACAAATATAGGACTTATAAAATAAACATTATATGATTTTTATTTTTTTATTTAACACATTATTATTGTTATTTTTTGCGAACAATGTATTGGTTTTACTATGATTAGTTTCTTTAAAAATATAATATTTTTATGTGCAGATAGGTATGCAAAACACCTATCTAGTATGTCAGTAAGTAAATTCTGTTAGTATAGTGTCCATAGTACATATATTTAATAATTTGTTATGATGAGTAATGCAACCTCCCTACAAGTGAAACTAATAACATTAGACTTAATTAGGATACAAATTATATTTTTATAATTTTAACGAAATTTCTACAAACGAAACTAATAACGTTACAAAACAATACAAACCGGCTGGTACGAGTGGTGAAAAGGTTATTTAAAAATACCAACATGGAGGAGGTGCCAGGAAAATATACCTTATAATCAAACTCCACTCGGAATCCTATTTCATTAACAAAGATTAATTGTTGCGTACAGATATACATTAAATTCCCCTCTATATTCTACCTTCCAAAATTCTCATCTATAACAGTGGCCCACCCAACGTGTGAACTATGTCTGTATCTTTTTTGATTCGAAGCATAACGAAGGATCTATTGGTTTTGCTATGATGTGTTTTTCTTTTTTTTTTCTGTCTGTGAACAAATTTTCTAACTTGTTCCGAAATATAGGCTGTAGCGCTTTTTCTAAAAGATAATTTTTTTTAGATGCTGCATTTTGCATTAGGGATATCATTTTTTTAATTTCAAAGAGTTTTTGAAATAATTGAGAAAACCCTGGGAGAAAATTATAGGTAAAACGGCAAATATTTACTGCGCGCCGCGGCGCGGCGTTACTATTCCATTGTTTTTATAATGTTTATACGATGTTTTCTACCAGAAATATTGTTTCAATAGAAAATCTTAAAAACGTCTAAAAATCTTTTTTGTTCAATTCTTTATCTAGTTGGTGACCAAGATATTCATTTTTTGATTTTCTTTGTAGTTTTTTTTATTAATTGGGCAACACCGAAAAATGGGGAAAATACGAAAATAATTATTTTATTACTTAAATTTTATTCAGTTTAAAGTATTCGTATAAACTTAAAATCTTGACAGAAAACTTATATTTAATTTTTCTAAACGTGATAAAACTTTTAGAACATTTGAGCTATTTTTGAGCTCTTTATAGACATTTTCATTTTGTGAGTTTTTGTACGTAATTTGTATTTGGTAGATACTCTGTAAATAAATTGTTAGACGTAAGAGAAATGCTTAAAAATTTGATGGAAGTTCATTATAATTTTTACTTAGTGGTCAAAAAAGAAAAATTTAGTTAATTGTATTTTTTTTTTTTTATAAGAGTTTTAAAATCAAATTTTGACGACAATTGTAAATATTACGACCCTTTAAAACATATAAAACCGAACTTCGTTCCGAATCGTTTTTCGTTATCAATACTTTATCGTTGGTTACAGGTATGAATTAAATAATTTTATGTAACCCACCTTCCCCACTACCCAACTACAACAGTGGTATCACCCGTCCTCAGTATCAGCTCGTTTTTTTTTTCTTAGTTTTTATTTGAAAACAATATATAGTCTGTATATAGTTACAATCGTTCGATTTATAGTAGGAATAATAACTATATGAACTTAAAATAAAAAATATTAGATGCGTATTTTCGAGAAGAAGAGGATTAAGGGCTTTCCAAGTCACAAATATTTTCAATGCAATATTGATGGACTTGGTATGATTTAAGAGCGAACTTAAACGTCTAAACTGTGTAGTACACCTCCTTCCCCCCTAAAAAAACAAGTCTTAAAAGAGCCACTGCGTGCATATAAACTTTTGACTTTAAAATTCTACATACATGTAAAATTTACATATATATATATATATGAATATAATATAAAGTATTGAAGCATTTAAGTATATTAGCCTAACAGCTAAAGACGTTATGCCACTTAATTTAACTTACATTTTTTTAAACCTGTGAACATGGCGAAATCAAAGAGTTTCGGTAAACCTAAATTAAAACAAATAATTATTTAAATTTTTATTTAAGTTTTCACCTACTAACATATACACAAAAAGCTCAAGATAAAAAAAATTACTGTAAAACTATTCAACTCAAATTTTATTTATTAAGTATATATTACCAATTTATTTCTTGAAAAATTAATGATTGAATTGTATTTTTATTATAATATTAATATTATTATAATTTTTATTATAAGTATTTTTTATGGGTTCTTATATAAAGATAAAAACCAATTTTTTGTGGGGGGGGGGGGGGGTAAAAGTACAAACATTTCTTTCTCCCCCTCTCCACCACAAACATGAAAAAATTACACCACTATTCGTGAGAACGTGAATATTAGCCGAGAAACTGATTAACTTCAAATTAGTTTTACCATTATTTTGGATTCTTTCCGTATACTGATCAAATGATTCATATAAATATGGATAACCTAGAAAATCAATTACACACATTAATTATTTGTTATTAAATTCAGCTTAGTTATCTAGAATCTGTAAATCAGTAAATAGAATAGAATTTCAAAAATAATAAAAATAATATTAAATAAAATAATAATAATGAAAAAAAAAATACAATTTACTGAAAAATTTTGATTAGATACTAAAGTTTTAAGTTTTAAATATGTAGTACTGTATTGTAAGTACGATAAGAATCTAACTATTAATTGTTATTTTGTATCACTTAATATTGTTCCTAAATTTATATCATTATCAGTGAAATTTCGAAATAAAAGTAATGAGTGTCATGTACAGAGGCGTTGTTTGAAGAAGTAGGTTGTATGCGTTTGCCCAACCCTAGATTTTAAAGTAGCTTTGAGTCTACATGGGCCGACTGGCAGATCCACATGAACCACCTATAGAGATCGTATTACATATTATTATCGTAGACACCTATTACGGATCGTAATTACATACAAATCATTACAATATAATCATTACATACAACAGGTAAACATGATCTATCAATAATCTACGATAAAACAATTATAAAATACAATTTTTTTTATTATTATTATTTTAAGTGTTATAAGAGTTGAAAAAGATATAACATTTGAATATTTTTCTTTTTCAACGTAAAATTCATTATAGGTAATTCATTATATATAAAGCCAAATTAAGATTATTTATATTCAAATAAGTCATTTATTAACAAAAGCAGATAAGGTGCTTGATATAAATTCTATACTAATATTCAATTATAGTTAGTATACTTAGCGGTCTAAGCGAGCGTCTTTGTTTTTTCCAGTATGGAGTTTTATAATACTCATGGGTGACATATATATAGGCACTTAACTTACGTACAGTCAATAGTGACATATGCTTGTAAGACATGGTAGACAGCTCAAAGAGATGAGGAGAATCTTCTTATTTTTGAGAGGAAGGTGCTAAGAAAAATATACGGACCTGTGAAAAATGAATCAACTAAGGAAGTGGGGACTATAAAAGAAGAAAAAATACCACATTAGAATCCCTATATAATAAACCAAATATTAAATTTTTCTGAAAACTAAGCTTCTAAAATAGGCGGGTTATGATTGGCAAATCGAAAACCTGCCCTAGAAAATATTTAAATGACGTCCGTGGCCATGTACAATATTTATTATTGTTCTGATTTACCAACTTAACTCTAAATAAAATGTATAACTTAAATAATGTTTCAAAAATCAAAACATATTATAATATGTAACATGCATACAAAATCATCAATATACAATTCAATTTTAAAAAATACATTCTATTTTGAACTTTGTGTAAATTATTAAAATATATACATTCTTCTTCTCCTTCATCTTCATCCTGACTATTTAGGATCATTCGCCCTAATTCTAAACTTTCACTTGACCCGATCCATCTCTTTATCCACCCACACTTAATCCTATGTTTCATATCATCGTGAAAGTTACCATGATTTTGTACAAGAGATCCTATGTATTTAAAATTCTCAACCTCGACTATAACCGCTTATATTGTTAATTGTACTGTCCTATTTTTTCAAACTAATACTCTGGTTTACTTCTACTAATACTTAGTCCCTTTCCTTCAAGTACTAATCTCAATCATTTCTCAAGCTTATTGTTAATTTCTTTCAGATTTCTCCTATAAAAGCTATATCAATATATCATCTGAAAACATTATGCACCATGGCACTTCTCCCACCTGTTGTTAAAACTCCTCAAACCGTTTAACAGAATTTTACAGAGATTGTTGATTTGATACGGTCCCACTTGTCACTTCGTAAGACAGGTAGTGATACTGTGGGAGTATTCTGATCTCAATCCGCAGAGAAATCCATTATTACAATAAAACTTCCGTTGACGGTCACCTCTATGTAAAGGTCATTTTTTTGGTCCCATCTAGTGCTATGCCTTATACGACACCTCTAAAGGAGGGTCACTTCTAAATAGCGGTCATTATTTCCGGTCCCTTCGGTGACCGTTGTATAGAAGTTTTACTGTATTTAAATTAAATAAAATAATAAATTGTTAATAACTTCGACTTACATTTATTTAAATATTTAAACAGTTTCGGTGTATATATTTGTTTTTTGAATTCTAAAAATAAAATATAACTAATTTATCATTACAGTATTACACTAATTCAAAACAAATTTGACTGTAAAGTGTAAATAATGTATACTAAGACATATATTGTAATATCAAAATATGATAAAATGTCAAAAAACGTAAGATGTATGTTCATATGTTTTCCAGTATAAATAATCCACGGTCATATTTTTCATTTTCTCGAAGCGGTAGACATATGATCGCCGATACATGACTAAAAATAATTTTACCATAGTATTTTTAAATGCTCACAAAACGAACTAAAAAGTAAATAATAATGGAAACTGTTAATACAAATATTTCTCGCGTATATGTTGTACATATGATAACATCTAATTTGAATAAGAATACTTGAATCATAAATGATAACATACATTCATTTAAAAATGGTGTGCTTTTCACATAGTAAAAGAGTCCCACTTGAATATTTAATTCATTCGTTTTTAGATTCCGAGCGTAGCGAGAGAACTATTGATTTTACAAAGATATTTATTTTTTTTTCTAGACTGTAGACACGTTTTTTCTTAGTAAAATTGATCCGATTTTTACGTGCAGCAACTTTTCTGAAAGCTCAAGTTGTCAAGATGGATAAAAAGGTAATTTTTGATTTTTAACGCCATTTTTCTAAATAAAAGCACTTAAATAGAAAAAAATGTAGGGAAACATACAATTTCACTATTTCATTATTTTATAAAAACACGGACGACGTTTTCTATCTGAAGAAATGATTCGATCGAAAAATCACAAGATACCTTTTTTGTTGCCTTTTTTATTTACTTTTTCATGGTCTCGTCGTCAAAACTTTTCCGCCACTTTTGAGCTTTTAAAGAATTTTAATTTTTGGGAATTTGCTGTAACTCAAATATAAATACACGTAGAGACTTCTTTTTTTGTTTTAATAAGCGTTTTGAAATCAAATTTAAACGAAAATCGCAAAAAATATTACGGCACTTCAAATTAAGTATTACCGAACTGCACTCGTAATCGTCTTTCGTCAAGCAATGGTTTATTGTTGCTTACAGATATAAATGAAATAATCTTATGTATCTACCTTCCCAACTTCTCACCTACAACAGTGGCCGCTCCCATCCCCAGAATCAGCTATTTTTTTTTTCTAAAAGCGCCCAATGTTTAGATGTATATATTTCATCATTTACTATATTCTTATTTCGATATGTTCATAATATATCACGAAAAATATTTGTATCAACATTTTCTATTATTGTTTACTTTTTAGTTGGTTTTATGAATAGAGAATATAAAAATTAAAAATGATTAAATGATTTTTAGCCATATATCTGGTATTCATTTGTCCACATCTTAAATATAACCACGGATTATTTATAGTAGAAAACATACAAATTAAAGTTGTATGAATCGTTTTTCGATGTTTCATATTTTTTTCCGAAAGCCATATAAGGTGAAAACCATTTTTGTTTTATCATTGCTGATTATTGTATTATTATATGAACGCATGCAAAATTTCAAGTTGATCAGTCCACGGTAAGTGAGTTAAAAATCGATCACGTCTTATGCTTTTTTTTCTTCACATTAATTCGCATGTTACTTAGTATAAAGCATGGTAATTATAAAATTGTATTATTTAATATTATTAACTACCTTCATTCTCACTATTTCTTTTATTGACTGATTCCATCGTTTCATATATTCTAGGAATGCCTAAAATATTAATTGAATAAAGTTTAAATTTGTATTAATAAATTATAATATATTTTAAATATTTTTTTTTTTTAATACCATATTAATATATTCATATAGGATGCAATTTTAAAATCAAAAGTTGTTAGTGTTAAATAAGAGACAAGGAGATGTGCATTACTTAAGATTAAACACTCAGTATAATATACAATATAAATAAAATATATTTTATTAATTTTAATTTAAGGAATCATACAAATTTCTTAGTTTTCAATTGAAATTTTAAAAATCATTTTTTGAAGAAGTTATGTATTTTAGACTCTGAGTGGAACTTATGGTTTTACAAAGATTTTTTTCTGTGGACAACTTCTACCAGGAATTTTGTTCCGATTTACAATTATACACTCTTTCTAAAAGAAAATCTGACTGGGAAGGTACTTTAGGGAAGTCATTTTTTGATTTCCGCAAGAGTTTTCTCAGTGAATGTGAAAACTGGGGGAAAACATGGGAAAATCGATGCAATATAAAGCAAATATTATTAAAAAAAAAAATGTAAAATGGCTATTTAATTATTTTACCATAATATAACTTATATATTGTATAAGCATCACTATCAACTGAACTCTACTTAGAATCGTTTTTTTGTAAGCAATGGTTTATTGTTCCTTACAGGTATACATTAAATTCCCTTTTAATCCCACTTTCCCAACTTCTCAACAACAACAGTGGCTCCACCCATCATGCGATATATGTCCATTTTTTTTTTATTTTTTATTTAATCAAAATTAACTATAAAAGTATAATATGTATAAATATTATAAATATACATACTGTCCATTAATATTTTAAATTCTAGTTCAGTAATTGGTTGAGTATCTAAAACAATATTATTTAATTAAGCAAATCTATTCGCAAGTTGTCCAAAAAATGTATCCAAAAATAAAAAATAAATATTTACCTTCTGGCATCGCTTGTTTCAGATAATCACTATAGACTTGACCCACGTGTGGCAAACCTATAGCATTGCAACAAATGGTGTAAAACAGAGTAAATATAAACTCATACATTATTTACTAAATGTCTTTATAGAGTATGAATTTGAAGGAAAAGGACAAGACAGCTAACGACAATAAGCAGTTACTGAATAGGCACTATTGAGAGTTTTAAATAGTTTCTAATTTAATTTTTATATTTATTTTGGTATTACTGATATTCGTTTACTATATACATACAAATTTATATATTTAATAAAAAAAATTATAATACAGTTTGTGTAAAATATTACGTATTTTACATAATATATACAATCTGTGTAAAACAAAAAATATGTGTGTAAAGATGTTAATTGACGGAATTTGATTAAAAATACCGGAAAATGAAAAAACTAAAAAGGAAAATATGACTCAAAAAGTCAAAAAATGATCTTAAAAATTAAAAATGTCAAAAAATGCAAAATAAAAGTTTCATAAATGAATTTGTTGTTACTTAATTCAAATTATGTACCTAAGTATTTAAGCTTTCTAAAAATTAACGTATTTATAACCAATGGTTGTTCATTAAGTTCTAAAATATTTGTATACGTATAATTGTTATTATGGTTAACCTCACCAGTAAGCTCATCATTCCATATAACACTTCTTTCTCTACACACCATATACTCAGCCGTTGTTTATAGATTTTTAATACCTCTCCCACTTTTATAAAACATATTGTTTACGTTAGGGAACCAATGTAATATTTACATTAAGAATAAATACACATCAAAATAAAATTATGATATAAATTTTGAATTATTATATTATAAATATGACAGTTATTATTTTTGTGGGTAGGTAGATAAATCTAATATCTCATACAAATCTACAGTATATTGGAGTAAATGTTGACAATTATATGGTCATACCTTTTTCTTGCATTCGCTTTAGATATGTTTCGCTTGTCATATTGAATTTAAATATATCTAAAAAAAAATATTAAGTTAAAATCAAAAAAAACACAGATATTTTTCACCCATTTACAGGATAACCTGCAGGAAAAAATGAAACGTTTTTAAAAGTCTCTACCAGCTTTTATTGTTTATGTTCACTGTATCGAATAAATATTATCATACGTAGATGGACATGTATATAATAAATAATAATACATTTATAGGCTACCAGAATACCATGTATAGGCATGGGATATAAATAAGTACCTACCAGAGAAATCTTTGGTTGAACTGGACATATGTAGTATCATTAAAATAAAAAAAAGTAAACGAAATTTTAATATTTTTAACATCATAATTGTTTCACGGTTTATCAAGCAATAGTAAGAGAAATATACATTTATTAAGCACACTTGGAAATAAATGAATCTTCAAATGTGCATATTTTTTACGGTCTTTTGGTACTATCAACGACTTACATGAAAACATTAACTAGGTACTTATCGAATAAACTTCGGATAATTGTACCTAAGTATTTTAAGGTGTAGGTAAGTGAAATGTACCGATCTATATATGTTCAGGTGAAGATTAATAACAACTGTTTTTATTTATGCATAGACATATGTTTAAATAATATTACATGACGATAATATATATATATTACGGATACACATCCATACAAAATAAGCACACATCTTTACAAGTCAAACATACATACCAAACCAAGTAGCCTACCTACATTATTATTATTATGCAATAGCATGCTCAGGGAGGGGTTAGGGGTTATATCCCCCAATTGGCTTAAAAATACAACAAAATACATATAGTATTAACCATTTTAATAATTTTGTTTTTACTTTGCTGTTTTATTAATAAAATATGAGTAATCTAATACCGAAACTAATAAATGTCGGCCGATTTCCGAAAAAAAGCTTGATGTATTGATTAAAAATTAGCTTTTTTTTAGAATCCAGTTTTTAAATTACCAATTTATATGGTCGAGTTAGGTGGAGAAGAGGATTTCACTATTTGTTCATGATTTTTATTTGTTAAATCCCCTCCCATTAAAAATTTCTGAGCACGCCACTGTTATTATATATTAAAACTTCCGTTAACGGTCACCTCTAAAAGACGGTCACCTATCTGTGCAACGGTAATTATTTTTAGCCCCGTCAAGTGTATTGATGCCTCTATAGGAAACCTCTAAAGGATGTCACCTCTAAATAACGGTTATTATTCTCGGTCCCGTTATATGGAAGTTGTACTGTATATGTATTATTGATTACTAAACGACCTATCTATATAGGTAAGTCGGTTCCTATTTTGCTATCTAATATCGTATGACAAAGAATCTGACAAATCCTTACTATTTAAATTAATTCTGTGTAGTTTAATTTTAATTGCATAGGTAGTATAGGTACATTATTTCATAGGAGCCGGTTTCAATTCCATATAAAATTATAGCCTGAGAACGAGTTTAAAACAACAAAGCCTTTTGCACATGAAAACATAATGCCTATATGTGAATAAATAAATGCATTTAAAATAATATTGATAGTGTAAACATAATTAATAGATAGGTCGTAGGTAGCAACAGTTGTACAAACCGGTGAAAAATTTAGAATTTAGAACTAAACAATAATTTCCTACAGAATATTTTATGTATTGACATTGAGGTGTAACCGTAAAGGTGAATATCCTAGGACGAAAAAATCATGTTAAATCCAAATCAAAATGCATTTGATACCATCACCAATTCAACAGAGTATTTAAGAACTGAAAAAAGAAGAATGAGCCTTCTAAATTCCGATACTTGCCTACTTCACAGCACGTCAAAATATTAATTTTCTTTAAAAAAAGATCTTAAATAAACATCAATTTTTAATTTACACTCAACAAATATTCTTTGATATTAAAGTCTACTATAATTATCTTCCTACTAGAACTACCAATAACAAAATAACACAAAAATAATAGTTTCAACAAGGTATACATGGGTCAGTTACTTAATGAGAAGTTGAGAAGTATATTTTAAATAAATAACTTAATTTATGCATGTACGTCAGTGGCAAATTGGGGTCTGGAAGTACTTCTGCCCGACTGGAGAAGATTTTAGCGGCCCAAAAGAACGCTAGATATATTTGTCTAATATATTCAACAAATTTGCCGCTGGCTTATGTCCAATTATCCATCCATTCAATATAATTTTCAAAGCCTTCAACATTTATAAAATCTTTTTTTTACATCAAATAAAATTATACCACACAGATTCCTCAAAATATTTATAACCACAAAACAATTAGTTACTTGGTTTTACATTAATAGTTTATAATACATTAAAGAGTAAAAAAAATTAAAAATAATTCAATGGATTTTGGGCAAAAATGTGTCATAATAAAATAAGTAGGCAATAAAAAGTGATGGAAGATTAATGCCAAAATGTATAAAGGGTAATAGTGATTACCTAAATCAGATTTTTAGAAAAATATTGTTTATCATGAGTTAATAGTGTAACATATTCGGTATTTTTATTAAAATTTAAATATATTTCTTTATTATGAATCGTCATTGTTATCATCACGGTTGTTAACACACATTCAGTTACGGATCGCTCTTAATTTCTACATAATATTCACGCGCTCATACTAAATAATAAGTTGTATAAGACAATAGTGTAAAATTATATAAATTATAAATGAATATATATTATTGTAGATAAACACACTTATTATTTATATAATTTTTGAGTTAAAATTCTTCCCTACTAAACTTAAAGCATTTTAATGTATCTAAAGGTACCTATTAAGAATTTATTATGTTTGTGAATAATAATTATTATATTTATTATTCATGTGTTTAACATTTTTTTGACTACAATAATAGCCAACTGGTATTCTCTGAACGATGTTCTAGATGGCTTAGTGTCCAGTTAACAAATCAATATAATTTGCATTTGATACAAATACGAAATTTGTTGAATGACGATGGTAGGCATAGCATAGCATAGCGCGTATATTTATATTTTATTATTTATAATTATTATGATGATATATTATATTATGTATTCATGATAATGTATAGTATAAATAATAAATAAATATTACCTACTATATCATTAAATAGTAGGTAACTGATGTACGTAACGATAAATCATTGAATATTGATTAAATTCTCAGCGAAGTGTTCAGTTAAACATGTTCTGATAAACTTAAATTTAAAATGTTATTAATTTAAAACTAGAAAAAAAATTCTGAATGGAGCGAAGCAGCTTATGGTTTTACGATACATTTTTTTTTTATCTGTGAACAACTTTTCTACGAGCAACTTTGTTCGGATTAACAATGAAAGCACTTTTTCTGAAAGAAAATTAGACTAGGGAAGTACTTTAGGGAGATCATTTTTTTCATTTTCTTAGGTTTTCTCAATATACTGGGAAAATGGAGGAAAACGGGAAAATGTACGAAATATAGGTGTTAGATTAAAAAAAAATGATGTCCTAGGATAATGGAGACGGGTGCAGCCACTGTTATAGGTAATTTAATGTACAACTGTTAACAACGATTAACCATTGCTAACGAAAAAACGATTCTAAGCGGAGTTCAGTTAATAGTGTAGTTGCTTGGTCAACAATATATATATTCATATATTATGGTAAAATAATCACATAGGCATTATATATTTTCTTTAAAAATATTTGTTCAACATTATACCTATGTTCTATTTTTCAGAGCGGGCTCTGACGAATTCTGTGAACAATGATTCTACTATAATAATGCTAAAAATATGAACAAATGTTAAAAAAAAAACCCTCATTAATTGCTCGTTAGCAGCCGTCACTATGCTCTTGAGCGTTACAATATCCACGGACAACCGTCGGTCGTAGTCGAGAAGGAAATCTTGAAGGGTTGTCCCCAGTGGTCAATGTTATGGAACATCATCTTTTATGATTTACGTAGTACTCCCATGTCCGAAGGGGTTACCATCTTCGGTACGCAGATGACGGAGCTGTCGTGGTGGAAGCCGAATTCCGACCAGAGATCGAGCGAAAGGCCAATCAAGCACTCGCTACGACACTAAAGAGGGGGAAGGAAACCCCAGGAATTTTTTCAACAAATGTGAAAAGCCGAAAACAAACGGGATAAACGTAGGAAAAACGGGATCCATTTTAATTTTGAAATTGGAATAATTGGAATTTTACCATAATATTATGACTTATACATTGTTGACAAGGCAGCACTATAAACTTAACTCTGCTCAGAAACGTTTTATCGTTAGCAATGATTTATCGTTGCTTACAAGTGTACCTATGACGTTTTTTGTAATAACTAGTACAACATTTTTTTATTACAATAATCATATTATTATTATATATCCATACAACTTTAAAAACTAAACATTATCTGATATTCATTGTATTGTAATAAACTGGATAAACACAAAATAACTGCGATGACGATGCAGAAGGTGGTGAAGGTACATGCGTTAAACCGCCTTCAAAATAATATATATTTACTTCTTACACACTGAGATTTTTTAATAGAAGCACGATTAATTTTAAAAATTCCAATGCTTTGATAACATTTTACTTTTTCCCTGGTTATGTCCAATCTTGAATTTAGGTCAGTTGTTTGCTCACCGCAATATTCTTCGAATAAATCTTGGCGATGACATCTTGCGACTTGAGGATTAATATTGTGGATATTATGTTTATACGAGTATGACTAATTAAATGGGTTTATTCATTTTCCGGAATTACTATCTTCGATTGGTTTTAATATACTCAATCACCAATTACGGAAATCCAACTTATTTCATGTTCCTCTTTATAAAAACAATAATTATACTTCCACCTTGGTTTTCCTTGTTTTGTCATTGGCAAACTGTATTTCAGATCATGTTGATATTTTTACGTAATATAATCAGACAGAATGTTTATATTACCTTAAATATACTAGTTTAAATTAATGTTTGAATAACTAGTCATTTTTCTTGTTTGTTATACTGTTACTTTTATTTTTATAATATTAATTCTTACTTTATTATGCTTTCTCATTTTCCCATTTTAAATTCTGAATGGAACGAAGAAGCATATGGTTTTAAAAAAGATGTTTATTTCTCTTTTTTATCTGTACGCGACTTTTCTACTTTTCTATCGGATCGCTGTAAATTGTGTCCGATTTTAAATTCTGTGTAAATTGTAGCCCGGGTGTTTTAAACATATGTGAACTGCGACCCAGGTATATTTTATATACACGTAAATTGCGGTCGGGTATATTTTGTATAATATATAAGCCTAAATACTTTTAATTTAAAAAAAAGAGGTGATACTGGGGATAGAAGCGACCGCTGTTGTAGGTGAAAAGTTCGGAAGGTAGGATACGTAAGGTTGTTTCATTTATATCTTTAACCAACGATAAACCATTGCTTGACAAAAGAGGACTCCGAGCGCAGTTCGGTAATACATAATGTGAATTGCTGTAATTTTTTTTGCAATTTAAATTTAATTTCAAAACGCTTATTAAAAAAAGAAGTTGTCCGATGATTTTGAAAATTGTACCACGTCTAAGTAGGTCTAAAATAAGTATTATTGCTATAGTATTATTATATTAGTGAACATAGGTAATATTATCTGTTTCGTAGACTGTAGAGTATTACTAGGTAATCTTTCAAATTGTACAGTGGACTGATATTTTTGAAATGTACATAAATTGTAGCCCGGATATTCCGATTTTCTATCAGTCATACAATTTAAAGTTTAGTTATGATCTACAATGCAGATAATATTATGTTCACTTAATATGTAATATTACTAGCAGTGTACATTTGATCGTAGCTTTGTATGTGTATTTTGTTCAATTTAATAAAAATTAACGTTATGAAAAGCGAATTATTTAATTACACACATTTTTACCTGACATAAATTACTACTAATTGTTAATAATACATTTTTAGACACAAAAAAAAAACAAAACCAATATATTTAACCATACCAATGTTAATAACAACAAATATATTGGCAGTCCTATAAGTTTAAAAAATGGGAAGGAAAATATTGATTTTGCAAAAAAGCCTTAGACGTAATTTACATATCAATTAAAAATATTTAGACATATATTATATTTATTTAATATAAATTTTACAACAATTCAAGACATTTAGTTAAATGCCAAGTCATGGAAATAATAAAAATAAAAAGTTTTTTACCTATGAAAATTATTATCTTATTATATCTTATCTATATTGAACACCGAATAAATTATAATCTTATCAATAAGGACGAAATTTTGATGTTACTGAAAAAAATAGAGAACGTGATTGAATTCTACTATAATTTAGTTTATACGTGTATACTTGTATACTGTCTATGTAACTGTAATATTGTGGCCAGGCTATTTTTTTTTTGTATATTTTAAATTTTTAAAAAAATATTCCAACATGAATAATATCTGCTACAGAGTTTACCAAGTTGGCACAGCAGTTGGTATAAGTATTCAAAAATTGGTGTTCCAGAGAAAAACTACAACTAGTTTCAAATAATGGCTTAGAAGATAACAGAGTACCCAAAGATAAATTTGTATCCATACTTGAAAATGTAGCAAACTTATAGAATAGCAATAAATTTTTAAATGATGATATACATTTGTTCAATGCATTTGTATTATTTGACAGACTTGAAATAGATATTTAGTTAAATGCCTCGACGTTTAACTAAATGTCTAGGCGGATAGTAAAATCATATAAAAGTTAAACTGTCTGACTATTTGCCTAGACATTTGGTAAAATGCCAGATTTGACTATATGCCTGACATGTAAATAAATAAATCAAATATATTATACTTGAACTTAATACTTTCAACCCTTGATAATTATTTATTACTGTTATGACTAGAGGGTGAAATTCTTAGTTTTAAAAACTTTTCTAACGATTTAATAAAACTTTAAAATAATCTTTAACTGTGAAAACCTAAAACTGCACTCTTCATATTTCTATATGTAAATATATGGAACATGAAAAAAAAATATATTATATTATAAACAATAAGCTAATAGTAATATGTAATATCATTGATAGAACATATTATGGCATAATAGCCAAAATAGAAATATTTAGATAAATATATATTATAATGTTTATTTTTATATTTGTCATTATAATAACTTAAGTTTGAAAAATAATCTCACCACAAATATTATTATATTCAATTTAAAATGCNACATGAAAAAAAAATATATTATATTATTATAAACAATAAGCTAATAGTAATATGTAATATCATTGATAGAACATATTATGGCATAATAGCCAAAATAGAAATATCTAGATATATTATAATGTTTATTTTTATATTTGTCATTATAATAACTTAAGTTTGAAAAATAATCTCACCACAAATATTATTATATTCAATTTAAAATGCATTGACATTTTATGAAAATTTTGTTGTAGATTATGACAGTCTTGAATTTTCAAAGAAAAAAGTAACTCTGCTAAAGGTATAAAGAATACTGACCACAGAGTTTGTATGTAATAATACACAGGTATAAGTCATATTGGTTATAAAATACTGCATTTATTTACATAAATGACTAGTATCATTTGTTTGTATCGGACAATAAAATCACTACAAAGGGCAGTTAGCATCTAATTGGTCAACATATTTTGCAAATTTTCATGTATATATTCAAAAATTAACACTATGCTGTATGAATTTAGGGTAATAATAAGGAATCGGAATAAAAAAAAAAAAACGTTTTTATCAAAATTAATTAAGATTTTCTTGAAATTTTTACTGACATAAACAATTAATTCTTCTTGGTACTATAGTAAGATAACATTTGTATGTAATATTTATTATTGATGTTCCTTAAACATAGACAAAAAATGTATGTTAATCCAATTTTAATGTCTAATTGTTCAAATATTATTAATAAGTAATAGCATACAAAACTACAAAACTATGGACATGATAAACATGTATTACAAGTAAATAATATATTTTTAAAGAACACTAGTGATTTCTTTGCTTAATATTTGTTAGAAATTTTAATTATTAAATATTGCCAGGAAATCTGCATTCATCAATTTGTGTGTCCCATTTATCAATCCATGAATTTGGGCAAATGGATTTAAAAACCCGTTTGTAATACTGGCAGGCATCAAAATCTTCACCTCTTATTTTCTTGCAACGGTTAAAATCTAAGTAACTTTGATAACAGTATCTGAAAATAAATATCATAAAACCATACCAATTAGTATTATACCTTAGTTAAGACTTTATTAAAATCCTATCTAAGATTTGTGTGGTTTGTTTTATAGTGACTTACTGGGCATGATATTAGTGATAGGTAGATCAATTCGAAATTCGAATCTGCAATGAAAAAATTTTGAACCAAACTATTTGGTATCTGATGCTATTCGAGAATTAAATTTGAAAACATTTATCAAAGTGTTCGCTTTAGTCTGAAGTTTAACTTCAATAATTTAAAAAAAATTTTTTTTTTTATCTCTTCAAAAATTATTTTTAATATAATATGGTAATAATATTGAGATATAAATATTATAATTAACCACGTGTATCTATTTATTTTTGTTTTGAGAAAGCTCAGTAGAAGATACAGAAAGAGCAGCTCAAGTGCTATAACAAGCAGCCAATCACATCGGCTCATCACTTCTTTTATTTATCGAAAAAGTATTAATAGTTTTTTTTCAACCTTTTTATTTTTTACTCATAAAATGCCAATAACCCTGGTTTATTATCATCATAGATTGTTTAATAAACCGATAGTTCAATAAACTGTACGTTAGTTTTAAACTGTCAAATAACTCAATAGTTTCAAACTATAGAACAAATCTAGTAACTGGTCAATGCAAATTTTTAGTTTTTTTTTTGTTACAGTCGTGCCCATCAATAATTGTAGAAACACAACTTATCATAAAACTTAATTTGTTCCCATCAAATAGCTCTAAAACTTCTACAATTAACCACAAAAAAAAGAAAATCTCAGAAATAATCAAGCTATCAACTATATTCAATAGTAGATGATGAGGGATTTAAAAATTTGATGAAAACTGTTTGCTGATTGCAAATACCAAATTCCTATAAGAAAATATTTGTCTATAAAAATAATCCCTTAGCTTTTCAAATCATTTATGTAAACTTCAAATAGAAATTAATACAGATTTAATAATGTTCAATCAATTTCATATTTGGACAAGTTTTTTATCAACATCTTTACATATCACTTACCACATATTATATCACCCCATAAATGAAATGAAGGCGAAGAAGTATGAAATATGTCAAGATAAAATTAAGATAATTAATCTATCTGATATTTTATTTTTAAGGAACCATACAACAAAATAGATAATAGGTTATTTATCCTGTATTATAATATATAGCAATATAATTTTTAAAATATTACTTGGTTTGGTTGGTATTGGGAAAACGAGGATCCCATGGTGCAGTTTGAAATATGACTCCATCTACTTCGAGTACCATTTTGTCTCAATATGCTAAACAAATTAAAATTATCTATTAATTTTTTTTCCTCATACAAAATGGCTATATAATTCCAAGAAAAAAAATATAAAAATTATACCACAATATAATAAACATTTCAAAGTGTTCATACATACATTAAACTATAAGAAATCGTTAATTAATTTGGTTTCTATTAAATTAGAAATAGGTTTACAACATAGAATATGGTTTTAAAAAAATATTTTTATTTTTATGCTAAATAGAATAATTTATTCAATTTAACATAAATATATAATATATTTTAAAAATGAATATACATACAACAGCAGAGATGTAAAACAATTATAATTTATTATTTCATTTTTCACCAAATAAACCATTTAGACATTTACTGTGTATTTGAAAAATAATATTTTAATTTAAATAAATAAAAATTATCCATTTAATACTTACTACTATTACTGCATTCATGGATATAAAATAGTTTGTACGAGTTATTGATTATTACTCAAATACCAAAGTATAAAAGATTCTTCACATTATTCAAATTATAAACTTAGTTGATAACAATAGGTTAAATTTGTTCTTGAATCATTTCAAAAAAAATTGCTCATTATTGAAATAGTATAACTATAAAAAAAAATATGTGGATACTGATTACGCAGAGTAAGCCGTTATATAGTCAGCAGCTTCTAAAAGATGCCCCCCAAAATTGTAAAATTTATATGCTAAACTTAGGTCATTAATTGCTATAAACTTAAAGCGATTTTTTTATTTGTATTTTCGTGAGGAGGCCCTATTATTCTAATTGTACAACCTGTGAATGAAATCTATGACTATAAAAGAACATAAATAAAAGTTTTAAATTAAAACAATAATTAAAAATATTAAAGTTACTTTTAAGAATTTTTTCACTAAAATCTTTTTAACAAATATGATTATTAAAATAAACTTTAATTAAACTCCAATTTCAACATTACAACAAGTTTTAACATTTTTCTCTACAATATTTAAGATTACGGGTAAATTAAATAACAATTGAATCTCAGCCAATGAAAAAATATGTATTTTTTTTAAATTATACAAATTAAGATATTGTAATCATAACCACCAAAATAATCTCAAGTTCTAGTGATTTTTTTGATATTTATACAAGTTGGAGTATAAACTAAGAATGTAAAGTTGCATGCTAACAATTCTGATAAATACTTGATGTTAATTAACTTAAAAATAAAACATAAATACTAACACTAAAATTTTAAATAAATATATTTTTTAAATGGAAAAATACATTTTATAAAAGACAATAAAAAAATTACTCAATCTATACTTGAGACTATTTCATAACTTTAACAAAATGTAAAAATAGAGTTAAAAAAAAAACCTACCTATGGACAATGTCAGTTATTATTTCTAATTAATTAAATAATACAGAAAAATAATTTATTTTATTAATTATAGGTAATTTAAATGCAGTATTAATTACAGATGTTATTTACATAGAACTTTATAAATAGGTATTACTTATTTCACAAGGGGTCTAGTTTTATTATCTTGCTCCCCGACCGTTTCTTGGTAGCGTTTAACTTCTTCTAAATACAATGACCAAGCATCTGTGGATTTAGATGGTTTTTTATCATCATCTTGCTTAACTTTTTTAACTATACCAGTTTTTAGTGCTTTATTTTTACGTTTGCCAACAATAGGCAATGCTTTTAGTGGCTCTGATCGTTTTTCTGAAGCAACAGCTAAAGTAGCAGCAGCAGACGATGGAGTTTGTGAAACTTGTACTTCAGATTTTGATTGTTGTGGCGTCTGCTGCTGTTGTTGTTGAAAACGTTTAAATACTTCAAGAAATGATCCATCATTTTTAAATGCATTTTGTGCTAGTTGACTGTCAAAATTGGCCATGATTGCAAACACACTTTGTAATCAGCGTTTTCACTCGACACCTATAATCAAGAAACTCTCGCACATCACATTACGGTTCCAAAATCATAAAATTTTACTTTAGCCAACGGAAGGTAAAAATTTCCGAAATTATAAAATATTTACTTCTTCAGCTTAGTAGCCAATAATCAAGTTTATACACAAATTTACTACATAATATTTTATTTTATTTATTTACCTAATTAAACATGAAATATTTCAATAGAAAACCGATATATTTAGCTAATCATTTGCTTATGTTTTGACACTTTACTATAAACTTCAAAATAACTTAAAATACACATATTTAATAAATAGATACCTCAAACATATTAAGTGTATAACATAATTCATATTCAACTGTGTTGACCTTTGAAGGTCTATTAAACTATTTTGTAACATAATATATTTTTAACAATATGGTATTAGTAGTATACAAATATTTGTGTAGAACCAAAAAACTGTAAATGTAATAGAACTGTTTTTAGATCATGTGCTTATTAATAAACAATAAAATATTTTACCTAATTTATTACCTAATGCATTTACTAGACATACTATGTACAAATTACATAATACCATTAAAGGCGAGGTATAAATATATATAATAATCTGAGCTTTAAAACAGTATTACAATATTATTAATATTTATTTACCTGAGTTTTTTTTGTGAGTTGTTACGTAAAATCAAACTTTTGACAAAATTCAGCAAAGAACGACGAAATTTAAAGAACAAATTACAAATGAAGGAAAATGATAGAGTACTAGCGTAAAGAAAAAATCAATCCGCTGATCGTCTGAGTAAATGATTTAATGGAAGAGAATATTCAAACAGTCAGTGCTGACTTATGGAAAAATAATAATTCTCGAATTCTGTGATAAAAAATGGTCGTGATGAGCACATTTCAGACCTAATACTACGGCTATAGATACCATAGACGTATAAAAAATATTTATAACTACAGATGTATAAAACAAAAAGTTTTTGGCAGATTCTGATCCATGGATTATTGTCGCGTGGCTTAAGATCGGGTGGTTAATTGTCGGATCTCGACATAGATAATATAAGGTTCAAGCTGGGTTATATATACACCTAATTCTCTAGGTGTGATAAGAAACATAACCTCAACAAAAAAAAGTACCAACTATCTAAGTTTAAAATTAATGTCCGTACGAATTGACAGCCCTGAAGACTAGTGTATTCAAAATGTATTTACACTTGAACAGATGAACATTGTTTTTTTCCAATATCCTATCAACATTATATTTTTCCGTACCGTATTAACACAATTTAAGATATATCCTAAGCCGTGCGTAATATCATAAAATAAAGAATACGTCAGTCAATGAATTACGACATATTAAACATAATACAACTATATAAATAATGATTTCGATCATGGTATTAGACACGAAGAACATATAAAAGTATTTTATTTTATAACCTTAATATAAGAACCTATTTATTTTAATTCATACGTGTAATATATATTCGATATTTTTAAAATTTATGATACATTGATACATCAAAAAACTATCCAAATTCAGTTAGCCATAAATAAAAGAAAAATTACAGCACAGAATAATACATAAAACAAGATCAAATAGATACAAATTAAATACATAAATAATTTCAACTACGTGAAGTTTTTAGGTTTCTAAGTTGATGTACTTGGATTTCGATTTTTCGGTCATTTGCGGTTTTATTTCTTATCATACCTGGGGAACTAATATACGCCCGTTCGAGCTTCACTCATCACACATTCGTTCGATATTCTGTATATGTTAATTCGTATTCCATGGTTGGGGGAGAGTAGTGGAGTAACATGTTTTATGTAGAGGCAGAGCGCGAGGCGTTTATACATTTTTAATAATGCACCACTTCTTTCTTCCGACCAAAACTTAAAAGTGGATTATCTCGTCAATGGATTGTCAGACGTCAAACTTTTCAACACCAACATTTATTTTAACTACTTATTACTCTATCTATTTTAGGAATCTCGAAATCATTAAAATGATACTTATACCCACTGAACATAATTTTTTTTTTATGAAACCTGGGTAAATCAACGTTATAAAAATATTGATATACTTTACACGACGGGTGGGCCACTGTTGTAGGTGAAAAGTTAGGAAGGTAGGATATTGAAGGGAATTTAATTTAAATTTGTATGCAACGATAAACCATTGCTAATGAAAAAACGATTCTGAGCGGAGTTCAGTTGATAGTATTGCTTTGTCAACAATATATATGTCACAATATGGTAAAATAAGTACATATGCATTATACATTTTCTTTAATAGTATTAGTATTAGTTTAATATTGTAATACCTACCTATTTTCCCATTTTTAAACCACTAGGAAAATCAAAATATGCGCCCCCCCTAAAGTACCTTCCAGTCTGATTTTCTTTCAAAAAAAGTGTCGTCATTGTAAATCGGAACAATATTTGATTGTAAAAAAGTTGTTTACGCGGGAAAAAAAAATCATCGCTCCACTCAGAATTTAAAATTACCATTTAAAGGTAAAATATAATAAGCGTAGGATCGTGTTTAAGATGAATTAATTTAATTTTTAAACAAGATATAATCATTTTTGGAATTGTGATATTTAGCATTCTCATTGCTCATTTAAAAATATAAATATCGAAAAAACATTAACGCCAGAGCATATATAATCTTCTTACCTTTAAGTTTGGTAATAAGTTAATTTGCTTTAATATTAAATTATTAAATTAATTAATAGTTCATTATGTGTCTTACTCAATGCAAATTTGCTATGCCCCGGGTTTGTAAGACGAAGACAGTAGATGTCGGTGTGACATCCTTTCAAGTGAAAGGATTGGAGAATTGCAAGAACAGAGGTCAGAGATTACTAATATTTTTATATAGATGATTTAAAGTTTTAGTGACAAATATAACTAATGTGTTGGTAAGTTTTTTATTTAAGGTTTGCTAATATGTACCTCAGCAATTTACCGAGTACATTTATTAACGGAATATAGGTTATGGGAGATATCTTTAGGGCTGTTGGAGTGACAACACCAATTTAGATTTTTGGCATTAAAGTCACCTCCAACAATAAAATTATAACCAAAAGTGAAAAAGCATTGTTCAAACTCAATAGAAGATATGAAGTGTCTAGGACTGTACACAGAGGTGAAGGTAATAAGAATACAATTTGGTTTGACTTTTAAAGAGGTGGATTGAAGATAGTTTAAATTAGGAATAGGGATATGACTTTAGAAATAATTTAATATTAACTACACCACTGTAGACTGAGTTATCAGGGTAATTAGTATGTATTACACAGTAGTATTTTTTGAAATTCTCATTAATATTCGAGATGATAAGGAAAACCTGGTTCTATAGGTTGAAAAAGATTGAAAGATTAAAACAAGGTTGTCATTGGAAACTGTTTTTTTATTATTTTTTATTATTATTAAGTTGTATTATTTTAATCTTTTTTAAACAATCATTGTTGTAATGGTAATGCACATTGTTTGTAATTATTTTACCATAATATGATAAATATACTGTTGACAAAGCAATATTATTAACTGAACTCCGCTCGAAAATCATTTATTAGTTAGCAATGGTTTATTTTTACTTACAGATATACATTTAATTCCCACCTGTATCCTACCTTCCCAACCCTCCAATAATAGTGTTGCGCACGTTCAAAGTATGTCCGTCCTTTTTTTATTTATAAAAACAACTTGAATAATTACTAAATTAAGGTCAACTTTTATTTTTTTGAACATTAAACACAATAAATAATGAACTTCGTGTTAAATTTTTTAGTACTCCTGTTTGGTCACACAATTTTATTCACATAAAAACTAAAAAAAAATTGAAAATGCTAAATGCCTATAAATATTTCAAGTGATCCAGGCATACATAATTTACACTACAGTAAATAATATGAAAACCAGTAGGTCAATTCAACCACGCTTAAATAACAAATTGAATGGACAAATGTGAGTGTATTAATTTACGCACAGCTTAATATCAGTTGTAATTTATAATTTGTAACATATTTTCGATAAAATAACATTTTAGAAAAGAAATCAAAACTTAATAACATAAATCATTAAAAAATGTACACAATATAATAATTACTTGTTATAAGTAACTACAAATTAAATGTATCATGTTTTATTTTTAATTAGAAAAAAAAAATAATGAAAAAACTTGGGTCATTTTACATATCTTATTTCTGGCTAAAGTAATTGTTCAATGTAAAATTTTACCATATTATTTTTAAGAAGTAAAAAAAAATGTATAAAGAGAAAAAATAGTTTATTATTACATTGTTTGCTGGTTACTGTTATATATCTAATAATTAAAATTGAATTCTACTTTGACTAAATAACGAAGTTTAACCTGTGAAATGTCATAGACAATAAATCTGTACGAAAAAAAGTTAAAGAATTATACATACATCTATTAGAACAATATAATGTTAAAAAAATATACAAACTTAAAAAAAACCATTTTATTATTTGTAAAAAAAGGATACTCATTGTATAATAATGCGGTGTTATCAACATTTGAAGGAACTGGTTTGCCAAGAGGAACTTCAAGCTTGCTTTCAATCAATAATGATTCAGTAGGATCAGGCATTGTCCTACCAATTCCCATACAGCTGTGCTTGCCAGGTGGTAATTTTTCAATGTATATGGATTGTTTGTGTTTATCCCTGTTCAAAAACAAATAATTGGTTCAAATTTTAAATGTATACAATTTTAACATATTACACTTACATGTTGCCTAATGCTACTTCACACAATAGTAATAAACCAGTGTTATTGCTATGGGAAGCCATACAATAGTTGGCGGATTTAGATACCATGTCAGCAAAATATATACCTTTTCCAAACATGTATCCTGTTACAGGAGCATCTTTTGGAGCAATACGTAAACCCTATAAAATAAATTTAAAATTAATTAATACGCGATTACAACAACAATAAAAAAAAATTAATAATATTATACTTGAGAAAGTATAGCTGCAAAATTGGTAATACGAGAACCATGCCACAATAGTTTACGATTATGTAGTTTTTTAAAAGGCTTAAACTGTTTTTCTTCACCAGCACGAATAACTTTAAAAACATCTTGTATTTTTAAAGAATAAGTACTATGGGTTTCAGCGTGGGTATTCTTTACATACTGTTCAATAATACTGAATTCGTTTGTATCAAATTTTAATACCTATAGAAAAATAAACAATATTATTTATGGTACATTGAAAACTAAAATTAATCACTGATAATAATTTAACTTACATCAATATCACAATTTAATTTCAAATAATAGGTATCAAGGGGATGTACCATAGAGTCTTCTTGTGTTTTAACTTCAATCATATTATAAGCAATTTGTATTTCCATTAGACTTCCAATCATTTCTAATTTTGTCTAAATTAATACATTGTAAATAGATTTGTATTTCATATTAGGTAATAACAAAATATTTAGTTAAAAACACTATTTCATACATTCAGAATTTCTTTTGAATCAATAAGCTGAAGTGATTTAACACCAAAGTTGTGTGGTATCAAATTATAAAATTTATTAGTAGCCATGATGATATTATGTGTTTTATTTTCTACATCAGTCAAATCCATTATTTCATTTAGTTCACTCAATGTGGAATAAGCACGTTGTAATTGCTTGTGACTCAGTTTTCCTAATGGCATTTTTTCTAAATCCAGCTAATATATTATCAAAATAAAATTTAAAATAGAACAGTTTAAACAATTAAAGATATTAAGTAGTGTTATCCAAATAACTTACTTCAAATTCGTACATAACTTTTTTCATAGATTCCACATCAAAAAGTAAACGTATCAAATGTTGTACAGGTTCTGATAACTTACATGGTATACTATTAACAGTATCAAGAGTTTTTGTTTCATCCTAATATAGTTAACAAATGTATAATCAATATGTTTAATGTGTATTCATGAACAGTTTTGATTTAAAAAATCACTAAAAGATAATTGCAGTAAAAAAATAATACGCGACTATGTAAAACAAAATATTAAAAAATGTACAATAAATCAATAAATTGCATGTACAGTATTAAAAGTAAATATTCTTAAAATTAATTAATTACTAAGAGAAATGTTCACTTTAACTTACAATATAGTCAAATTTGTTTAATTTAAACTTTATTAACTCAAAATCATTGATACCTTAAACTTGTTTTACGGTCCTAGATTGTCATATTTGAACATAAAATAATCACGTTTAACTCGAACATTTTATGAATAACTCAGTTTTAATTTTATTAGGGTCAGTGATATATGGGTATTTCCATATGTAGGTATGCACATTTACTATCAAAAGTTAAGTTTATTAATGTTATGGTTACTGATATACATCACTTCAATTTATAAGCCTGGTTTACCACTCAGCAATACGACATGTTATCCACTTATAAACGTGTAAACTTTAGTGCTCCGTGAAGTTTTAATGTTTATGATTTAAAAATAATTGTAATAATATTAAAACAAATAAAATTATAATAAAACAAAAATTAGATATCTTGAACTTTTCCACTGGCCCCTTCAACTTAGAAATAATCAAGTCTGATTGGATTTGTTAGTAGATATGTTAAATATTCAATTTACATTTATCAAAACTTATAGAATTATTTTAACTTAAAATGTATTATTATTAATTTTAAGGATAAATATTAATAAATTTTAGTATCCTAAATTTAATTGGTTTAAATATAATTAATATTAAATATTATTCATTGCTTATAAATTTCTCACGTTACTAGAAATGTAACAAGATAATAAAATCAGAAGTCAATATATTTCTAGAAATTTCTAAACACAAGAATAAATAATGTTGAAAAAATAATTATGCAAAATTGAATGAACTATTTAAAAAACAAAAATAAAGACTTTTAATAGAGAAAAATGGATTGTTATTTTGTTATAAATAATTCATACATATTTTATTACCTGTCCATAATCAGTGTCAATTGGAACTTTTTTACCAGGTATTTTAACAAAATTCTTATTCCCCCACAAATTTCCAGTCTGATCTAAATAAAACATTCTAAATTGATCTTGAGCTTCCTCTAGTGAATCAAACTTATGTGTTTTAAAACTACCTATAGTAGTACCGATTCTTCCCCATGAACGGAACACCCAGTATCTGTTAAAAAATAATGTGTACTGTATTAAATAATTCTTTTGATTTAGTATGAATATAATACCTTTTGTTATTATCGGACTCTAGAAGTTGCAATTTATAGTAGGAGTTTTTATCAGTCTGTACATCAGACAAACATAAATTTGCATTCCATACTTCATTTTTGTGTTTATAAACATGTGCTTTATGTTCTAACCCTGATTGTGGATCAACAGGAACACCTCCTTTTAAATTCAACTTAACACTTGTTGGTGCACTTTTTTCAAACATACTTTTTCCATGAGATTTACTTTTTAAACTACTTTTATGCATCTGTTCTGTTTCCAATTCATTTTGCCTTTTTTCTATTCTCTGTTTTGCCTATATTAAAAAAGAAAAAAAAACGAATTAATATATTATTAATAAACAAATTATTATAAAAATTGAAATTATAATATTTACATTTCCTCCCCAAGGTGCAAGATTTTTTGAAACTATCAACTCAATTGCATTTCCACCATTAGCTATAGCATTAAAAAATGAAGTAGGTTCAATAACTTCAATATTAAATTCCTCGGCATCTTTTACCCTGACACTTTTTTTCTTAATACTATCTGTAAAAATAAAACAATAAATGTAGGAAAAATTATCTGTTAACTTGAAGTGTTAAAATTCTAAAAACTATAAATGATATCAGTAAAAAGATTGATATACTTCGCACAATGGGTGGACCACTGTTATAGAAAAAAAGTTTGAAAGGGTAGGATATAGATTCAAATTATTTTATATTTGTACGCAATGATAAACCATTGCAAACAAAATACAATTTGGATCGAAGTTTTTGTTTTTATACTTTAAATTTTCCAGTTTTTCCAAAGTTTCTCAACTATAAAAATTGTTTAGAAAATCAAAAAATGACTTCTATAAAGTACCACCCAGATAAAATTGTCTTTCAGAAGAGATAATACACTTGAAAATTGGAGTAAATTTTTCGGTAAAAAATCATTCATAGACAAAAAAAAACATCATCTTAACATTCGCTACACTCCGAAATTAAATATTTAAATGATACATTTTTATAAATTAGCAAAGTTTACAAAATATTTTATTATAATAATGTATTTTAAATACTTTTATGTAGGTGATGTATAATATAAAGGTTCACCACACTCCTAGTCCATTATATGTTAAAGAAAAATATTATTTTTTATACTTCAAATATTAACATTGGAATATTTAAAAAAATAATGAAAACACATTTGTTAATATTATGGTCCACCGACCTTAATGACAAGAAGAACAAAAATTTTATTTGTCAATATCACCAATGACTACGAAAATATTTTGAATCAGAGAGAACCGAATAGGTTTATCTAATATTATATTATACATTTCTATTATAGTGAATCTAATAGGTACCTAAATATTAGAAATAATATTAGTTTATTCACCCTAAACATGTCTATGCTTGTTATATTTTATAAACAAACATTAATTAACAGATTTGTATGAGTTTTTTTTTTTTATTGAAAATGTTGGATGTAAACTGACAATTGTGAAAATATCAAAAAATAGATTACGTTATAAGTAGGATCTAGATGTTTATGCACTTAAAATAACTGTAATATGCATGCATTTATGCACTAAAAAATTACCAAATATACAATTTAATTATGCACTAAAAATTATAAAATATACCATTTTTAGTTAAAAAAAAAAAAAAATATGCACAAAAAAAATGTATTTTACCTTAATTAGGGTTAAATACTTATGTTTTTAATTGTTTTAGTAGTTATTTGAATGAATTAATTTACAACAAAAGTGTAACACTTTGATATGTACAATGTTTTTTTTAATGTGTATTTGCTTTAAATTTCGTTATTAATTTAAATTTTTTTAAAAAAAGTTTGAAAATACACTGAAATATGCATTTAAAATACAAAACCATAAAATATGCAAAATAAAAATAGTATTATTTGATTTAGTATTGATTTAGTACAAATTTGTATCCAGGTCAGCACTGAATTGGATAGACAGAAAAAAATATGCAATTTCATAAACATCTGAACCCCAGTTATTAGTTACTGGTGATAATGCATTTTATGTACGAGTACTAACAAAGTGATTTGTCTAACCTATAGATACACATAAATGCATCACTTATAAGTTACTCCCCCTACTTAAACTTATAAGTTTAAGTAGGGGGAGTAGTGGAGTACCATACCGTCACACAAATGATACTCCATTACTCTCCCCATACCTAAATTTAAAAGTAAAATATCTCATCAATAGGTTGAAGGAAATCAACAATTTTAACACCAAAATTTATTTAAAGTAATAATTGATCGATTTATGGAATTTTTAATATAGGCTCTCATTTGAAAAATAGAAGTTCATATCACCACAAGATACTCCTTAAATGCTATGAAAAATATAAATATTCAAAAATATCGGCTTTAACTACACTTTAAATTTTCAAAAATCAGAATTTGAATATATGCAAAATTTACCCAAAAAAAAAAAATTAAAAAAGTTGAGTAGTGAAAACATATTAGACTATATTAATTATTAGAAGTAATTAAAGAATACCCGAATTTGCAAGAACAGCAGCAACATTTTCAGTACATTGAGTAACTATTGTACCACCAAGTTTTGCCACTTGAAATTTTATATTTTTTAACTCTGTACCCTTCATTAATGTTGTAAACTCCATATTTTTTAATGGTAGAATGCGTGTAACTTTAACTCTGAAATAAATACATAATATACAAATGTATGTAAACAAAAGTAAATTTTTAATTTTAACTTACATTCCTTTTTCATTTTTAACAGCCGATGATTCCTTTAGTTGAGTTTTATCAACTTGTGTAAATATTCGTTTTTGTATTTTGGATTTATATTTCATACTAAAATAATGGAATGACCCTTTGAAGCAGGAAAAAAATTCAAATTAAAATAATTTTTACTTACAAAAAATTGTCTTTTTCAAGAAGATTAGTAGGAACTTCAAACTTCACACGGGGTGGATCGACAAAAATTTTTCCACATTTTAACCATTCATTTTTATAACCTAAACACTGATATCCCAAACCACTTCTAAATACCAACTGACCATTACATTCATCACAGGGAAGTAGAGAACCAAAAACCATTAAATCTGACAATCTATCATAAATCTAAAATATAGATCAAAATGATTACTTAATTAATTCCATAAATATTTTAACTTGTTCATTTACAAATATAACATAATAATAAAATAAAATCAGAAGACTAAACTGTATCAGAAAAATAATTAATTTTGGAAGTAATAAGGTCATTATACCATTATAGGTGCGAAAATAAGTTGAATAAATTAAAAATAAAGGTATAGCTATGTGGATAGTTGATCTTTAATTTATGGATTACAAAGCTTCCTTTTTTTTTTTGAACCAGTTTTAATCGAGTTAATGACTGTCTAATATACAATATGGGTCCAAAAATACTTAAATGTTAGCTAAAATATTGTTAATTTAGGTAGAATTCCCTGATTTGTGGAAAGGGGTTAACAAACTAATTTTTAGAATGTCCGAGAAAATTGGACATAAAACTCCATTGATTTTTGAAAAAGTAGTCATATCAATATCATAAGCCTGAATTCAAAACAGAAATTGATAACCCATCAGGACCGTAAAGTCTTTCTATCACATCTATATACATTATAGTTCATTAAACCTAGTTCAAAATCAGAGATGGTATAAACTAATTAAATTTGTATAATTAAATAATATACTATTTTATTGTATTATAAATATAGAATTTCATCTACACACCGCTCCAAGATTTGAATCTGGTATTTCTTGTTTGTTGTATACCAAAAGCTCTTTACATATACTACTCTTCAATGATTTCAAATAATCTACATACTTAAATAACAATTTATTTTGAGCTTTCTTCTCAGACTCAAGTCTTGAATTGTCACCATTCAACTTTAACTTTTTACTAGCGCTGGGTCCATCAGTTAAATCTGAACTACTAGTACTAAAGAAGGGTATGGTTTAATTATAAACAGTTACAAAATCCAAAAATCACTCACTTAGTTCTTTTTGCTGTTAGGATAGGTAATAGATTTTTAAGGTTATTTTTATCTTCTGCATTTAAAATATTATATCCATTTAATGAAGAAGCAAGACCTGTAAATTCTAATTCTTCTCTAAGTTTAACAAAACATTCCACGTGATACCATCTATTTAAACCACCAAAACGTCGTGCTTCTTCACTTTCATAATCCATTTTACCAATGCGGACATCACTCTACAAATTTATAAATAAAATGATTACATTAAAAAGCTAAACAAAATTATTTAAAAATATTTACCAAATATATTAGGTACAATGTATAATACAATAAAATTGAGAATAAAATAAATCATTAGAAGTAATAGTCTATTTTAGATTTTAAGCAGACGAGGAATGTATTGGTTTTACATTGTTTTTATTACTATTGTTATTATTATTATTATTTGTGAACAACTTTTCTCCGATTTTTAAGTATATCATTTTTTTGAAAAGGAAATTTGATCGGGACGGTACTTTAGGGAGGTCATTTTTTTTGATTTTCTCAATGGGAAAACCAGAAAAAAAACAGAAAAAAGTACAAAATGTATTAGTTAAAAAATATTACGGCATTTTTTTTCCAGTGAACAACTTTCTACCAGAAATTTTACTGAAAAAGGCAACATTATTAACCAAACTCCACTCGGAATCATTTTCGTTAGCAAGAGTTAATTGTTATGTACACATATAGGGTTAATTTTTTATCATGAACTAGTAATTTCCTCTGAGGATTTTAAGTGAATTTGATTTCTGGTTTTTTTTTTTTCTTTTTTTTTTTAATCATTACAAAATCGGTTATAGGTAAATTATTCACTATTATTGTTGTTTCCTATGAGATATCACTACTGTTACTGGATAATATAATAAAACAGTATAAACTTGAATTAGTATTTATTGAATAAAAGTCAACCTGTACAACTTTTACTATGTATTTAAACTAATATTAACTTTTAAAAAAAAAAATGTCTTAAAATAATGATTTTTTAAATTATTTATATACCTAGAATAAAGATGCTGCAATACACCTTTATAATAAACATTTAACACTTAAAATGTATTATGTTGTATTAATATAAAACTAGTTTTTAAGATTAATTCAATGTTTGTAAATAAAACAGATAATTAAAAATTAAAAAATCATACTTTTACAATTTTTTCTTGGCATCCACAACAAACAGCTCTTCCAGATTTGGCATATTCCACGTTAAAATCTAGGTTTTTCTTTTGTGGGCCAGATTTTTTTTTTACAGATACTGGTGTAACAGCAGTTCCAACAAGAGAAGCTAAAATGAATTTAGTTAAATAAATTAGCACAGTAATTTTCCAATAAATGAACAACCTAAATATAAGGCCAAACTACATTTTAGTATTATTTTGCTATAGATCCACTATTTTACCTAATTCAATACTAATATATAGTGATCATTGGTAAGTATAACGTAATATTTCAAGGAAGAAGGAATATCAACTTTTTTAATTTTTTTTTTTATTGAAAATTTAAGAATCAAGCATCTGTATTTACAGAATTTTTATCACTTAGATTTGGGATCGAAATTACTTTTTATACTTATATTTTAAATGGTTTTAACAGTAAATATTAATAAAATTATATTTAAATAATTTTACAGTTTACAGATTCAAATTCCAATGAATCATGTCCGAGACATACCTCAGTCAAATAGATGAATTTGTAATAACTAGTAGTGTTGAGTAGTCAACTATTAAACATAATCTTAAGATTACTGGATGCATATTTAGATAAGGCCAATAATTTATTACTAATATTATAATAATGATGTTAATAAGAAATACCTAAGTATTAAATTAGTTATTGCAAAATTAATTGCTTCTGAAAATCATAGTGTCTCACAATGCATCACTATAACAAATTACTGACGCAAAAATAAAAATGTCTAAATTAAATGTTTTTTATAAATACTTGTTGATGAAAATTAATGATGTCATTTAAAATTCAAAAGTATCTAGTGATTTTATCCCTTAACATAAGGGTAATAAAAAATCAGGCTAATATAATATTTTAGAGCTGTTTATTTCAAAATGTTTAAAAACATAAAAATCTGAAAAATATTAATAATTTCTAAGATAACAAATGTCTTACAGAGAATATTAATCACCTGTACAATATTTTATATAAATTATTATTATATTTTGTATTTCACAAAGATACACTTTGAGGTTTGAGGTTAGTACTGTAAAATCCTCAAAATGTAATATTGCATTATTATTTTTAATTTTAACACAATAATTATTACTAAAACCCAGATTTAACTGTGTAAAACCATTAAAAGATACTTTGAAAATAGCAGAAATGTCATAAAATATTTTTTTTAAATTTATTTATCCTAAAAAAAAAAAAAACTGAAAATTGCAAAATTTGCCTAATGCTGTTATCAAAATCATAGATCAACTGACGGCCTGTATGGAAAAACCTATCAAACTAAATATCAAGTAAACTATCTTAGAATATATTTTTAATTAACTAAATTTAAACTATTAACTTATACAATATACAAATATTAAAATAAAACAAATTTCAAAAAAATGCAAAATAAAAGTTTTGCTTTTGAAGTATGAATTACACAAAATAAATTATATAATTAGAAAGTAATGTCTAAGATCACCCATCAAAGATGCACTTTACATTGAAATCCAGGTCTTAATTATAATATTTACTAAATAATATCAATTTTAATAAAAACAAAGCAGCATTAATATGTTTAATATGGATCAATCAGTATAACTTAATTTATAAATAAACAAATATTAGTATTTTATTAAACAGAGAAACCTGTCTTAACAATTGTGTATAAAGGACATCTCTCTTAACAGACAAAATAATGAAGTCCCGACAAAAAAGATAAGTATTTCTATGTATTCCAACTTGTCTATAAAGGACTCTTCTTACAACTTGCTGAACAATTAAGCATCGAGGAAATGCAAGTAGCTAAACAAAGTTGACTATAAAAATACTATAAATAACCTTACTACAACGGACATTTTTGATTGTCTCGTGAGTGTCCCTTATAGGTAGGGTTCACTGTATATATAAATAAAAACCTATCAAAGAGATAAGTGTATGTTACTAACAAAATATATAATATATTTAGGAAAGGGAAAATACTGAATAGAATTCATTGAGAACGGCGTACTTGAACATGCATGTTTAATACCAAATGTTGTTAATTTTCAGAGTACTTAATGTAACTAAATTAAATGCATAAAATATATAACTTCAACAAGTTTTATCAATTTATACATTTTGAAAATATTGTAAGACATATCGAGCTATTAAACAAAGTTTTCATAATTACCTAATTTAGTTTTTATTTTTTCTTGGTCTTCCCATCGAATAGACTCAAAGTGAGCAATATCTGTAGTATCTTTAGGCCTCTGTTTTATGAAAAAACAATTGAAATGGTACCAATTGGGTACTTTACCATCAAATAAAGGAGACTGAAAATGAAAAAAGGAATAAATTTCAACAATATTATCTAAATATTAAAGTCATTAAACATTATTAAACATTAATTATAATTTATAACTATTCCATCAAAAATAGCTCACCAAATAAAAAAACAAAAAAAGATCAGCTAAAATATTTAATACATTGATTATTTATATAAGTAATTTAATACTTTGGTGTTCTTAGTAATAAAAGCACTTATACTGCTTAGCAGTGTTGGGAAAGGACAGGTATCTTTCATAGAAACGAAGAACAGGAAAAGTTCTTATTTATGTGGAACGTGAACTCAAATTTCAGTTCCTTCTATTAGAAAAATGAAACACATGTTATTTTAGTGATAATATTGTTTAGAAATTGTTTGGTGTTGGTATTACTTTGTCAATTATTAATTTAGTTATATACAACTGTGATATAAACAGTATCTTGATGATGATGGTTTCAAATGGTAACAAACGATATAACTTATTTGTTAATGACAAACCTCAAATTTACAAATAATTTACATTAACCTTTCAAGTAATATGTTTTTCAATTTTTTAGAGTAGCAACTAGAAAATTAATTTTATTTAATTTATTAGGATTTTTAACATGCAGATTCTAATAAGAATAGTTTCCAATTTTAGCTATCCTACTTCTCAATTTCCCACCTAACAGTAGTTACACCCATTCACAATATATTTTTTGTTATGTAATCGGTAGTATCACGAAAAAAAAAAAGGAGTAAGGAACGGAAAAAATTTCTTTTTAAAAGAAACTTTCCCAACACTGCTGTTTAGTAGTAGCTAAAACACTGTTAAAACTAATATATTAGTTATGAGACAAATGCATGTTGTATTTTTCATATTCTATTTGATTTAGTATGGAAAGTATTCATTATAATAGTATTTTAGACCAGGAATGCAAAGAAATAATTAAAAGAGTAGGTATTATTGACTCATTAAATAAATTTAAATTTAGTTTTATGTTATTACTTAGTAACATAAGCCATTTATAATTCTATTTACTATGGCAAAATAATGCCATAAGTCAATTTTACTATGAATGTCAAAAATAAATTGTACAGTACCTATTATTAATTATTAATTACAAATTGTCTATAAATAAATTTATATAAAAATAAAACACAGTAAATAAATTCATATTAATAAAGATATGATAATTAGTCTAGGATTGGGGACTTTAAGCATTTGCATATTATTTGTGAAAGATTAAAAAAATAGCAGTCAATCATAAATATACTATTCATCATGTAAAGAATCTAAATCCTAAATTTTATTTTAATATAATTGCATATTTTACAGTTCATGCTGTTTATAGTATATTTTACCAGTACCTATGTATCTTTTAAGTGATATAAAAGGATATACACTTGTGTTATTGTATGTTGCATATTATATACGCTTATTTTAATTTACATTGTTCAAATTCCAAAGTATTGATGAGTGTTATCATAGTCCAATAGACTGTCGTGAAATAGTTAATTTGATTAACATTGAGTTTAATCAATGACTCTTAAATTATTAATCTCAAAACACAAACGATGAAAAATTTAACAATATAAAAAGTCTTACCTATAGGGAGTTGCAAGAACAAATGACTAATTATAGCATATTATTGGGAGAGCTAAGAAAATAATGACAAGTTATCGACACCCGGTGCAGAGAACGAATTCGTTTTGTCGACAACACAGACATCAGAACTCAAAGTGTTAACGTATAACTTCATCATAAATTTCATAAGCTTATTTCTTAAATTGTAAAAAAAACTTTTTAAAGTCAATACTTTGCATATTGAGCATTTATGTTAAATGAATCACTCTATAGGTACACAGGATACCATACAATGTTTTCCAGATGCTAATAACTATTATTGAAATTAAAATTAAAATTTTTTTTTCGTAGGAGGGGGTACACTACATTTATTATGAGAAAAATTAAATTTTCAATATCACCCATTAATCACTAGAAAAAAATATTTTTTTATTTGTTCACTTTCAAAATTTTTAAAATAGATCATTACTATTCTGGGTAATAACATTATTAATTTCAAGAGAAAAAGTGTGAAAAAGTTGTATTCAATAGACTACCATGTTATGCAATAAGAAACCATAATTGTAATGCAGTTAATAAAACTGTCAACTGATGACTTTTTAACAATAATTTATTTTATTATGTACCTATGTACCTAAAAAGTATGTATTATGTTAGAAACTAAAATGGCTATTACTAAGAAACTATCGAATAGTAATAAATGTATAGTACATTAAAATGTTTAAAGTAATATTTTTGACAAATTATATCCATGTGAGAGGGGAATCAATATACTCCCACAGTACATCTATCTGTTGTAAGAGACGACCAACAGGGTTTTGTCAGGTCAATAGCCGATGTAAAATGTTTGTCAATGAGTTTGAGGAATACTAAACAAGACTTGGGTTAATTGTCTTATCTCGGATGTATGCAGAAACAAAAAAATAAAACAGTATGCAACATAGAAATAAGTATAGTTGAATTAAATAGTGAGAAGCATCAGATGTTTTATATGACAAAATAATTCCAATGCGACTTAATGGTAAGTTCTACAAGAGTTAGGTGAAACTGAATATGTTGTATAGTCCGGAATATTGGGCATTAGACAGAAAAATACAACAGATAAGATAAAATAGACAAATATGAATTAGCCATGTCATGAAGAGAAAGGAATTATAAGAATGGTAATGAAAATAAATATAGGAGGAAATAGAAGAAAAGAAATCCTTAAAAATAAGTGATTGAATATGATTGTGAACGATATAAAGGCAGCCAGTGTATGTGAAGTGATAGATATGGTCAAGTGGAAGTTTAAAATGAAGGTAGAACAGGTAGGCAGAATAGCTGGAATAAAGGTAAAGAAAATCTAGTGGTGCATTGTTAAAACACTAAGCACAGTGGCACCACACAAATTATGCTTTACTTCTCTCCCACAATCATAACTTAAAAGTGGAATATCTCAACAGGTTAACTGAAATCAAAAATTTCAATACAAAAATTTATTATACTAATACTCCATGTATTTATATAATTATTAATATAGGTTGCCATTTAAAAATCAAAAGTAGATAGTGATTTTACCTCAAAAATAACATGAATGTGAAATTGTTGAGCTATTTGTATCTAAAATGTTCTATGTTAAATTACGAAAAAAAATTAATACTTTCCGAGAAAATGGCTCTTAAATTGATAAATTGAATAGCTTATTTATAAATCGTTATCATTAGTAAGCAAACGTGATTGCATTACTGTAACTAGAGACTAAACATAAATTAAATTTGTTCGCATATTCTTCAAATATTAACATAAACTAAACTAAGTATAATACTACAAACACCTATTAATCTAAAAAAATTGAATTATAGGTAAGTTTAATAGACTATAGACAATAATAATATAAAATTTAAAATTTAATAAAACTAATAAATTAATATTATTAATTATATTAAGCTTACTTGAATCATAACAGCAAGCCTTAAATGGTCTTTTTCGATACCGAGTTTACATGTTTTACATTTTGATCGATTACTTTTAGCATACTCGGCTCTATATGGACATTCGACTTCTTCCATAGCTGATGTACTATGTTATAGGTAACTAAAAATCAAAGTAGGTGCTCCAATGCAACAAAATTATTTCAAATTTGCGAATAATCAAAAAATAACAGGAAAAAATGAAAAACAAAACATTTCAAACACGTGCACGTCTTACCGACAATAACCGTAGTCTGTAATCAGTAAGAACTAAAATGCATGAACCATAGATAATACAAATACAAATGTAACATTTATTACATACTGGACTAGAATCTGGAAACCATAGGCAGGTGGGTGACGGGGTCTGTGATGGAGGACGAGTAGAAAAGGGAAATATACATGAGGCTAAATCTAGCGCAGCCTGGCGTACCACAAGGATACTATTCCTTCAAAACGTAATGGCGGAACGGCGCGCGGTTTTTTGATAACGTACCACTACTCTCCTCCGATTAATACTTAGTCTTAAAAGTGAATAGAATATATCGTCAAAAGTTTGACGGAAATTAAAGATTTCAACACCAAAATATATTTTAACTATCCATTAATGAGATATAATAGATCTATGTTTATATCACTACTCACCACGATTAAAGATATCACTATATCACATTAAGATAGTACATAAATATCCCACTGTGGTCTACGAATGCTACAAAATTGTTTTATCACCCGAGTAATATTGTGGTCACAATTTCATAACCCGTCGGTAGCCAGTATATTTTTGATCGTGCTACTCACCAATAAAATAATTCATTCTTATCAATATCTGCCTACCTAAATTAAACGATACATTTATCTTACTTATTAGAAATAGCTAAAAACTGTTTTAAAACATATAAATACCTACCTAGGTTTTAATGGTTTAATGTAGACATAATAATTTCATATAGTTGTGGTAACTAGACGTACTCTTTTTCATAGGACTTTTTTGGTACATTGTCCTATGTCCTTACAATAGTTTTAAATACATGATATTATACTCTTTTTTTTTTTTTTTTTTGAAAATTATAAATAAATATGAATACGTAGGAAACATATATTAATAAAATTTTGTATTTATTTATTTAAATGTTAACCATTAAAAATTAATTTAAATATGTATACTTTATTTATACCTGTGTACTTTAAGTTGACTTAAAATTACTTAAATTTTAAAGTGTTTTCATCACAAAGACACAAACCAAATGAGTCAACATTATGATTTCAAATAATTAGTTTTTATAGTTGATAATAGAAAAAATAATAATAGAGTAATCAGATAAAAAAAAATGAAGATATGCTATGGGCGAAATGAGTAAAATAATATACACAATACACATTGGCCAATTTTTTCAAGGGAGTGGTTTTTTGTACAATGAAGGACCTAAATTTTAAAATGTACTTTTTTTGGATTTTTATACTCGGTCACCATAAATATATTATACCTCAACATGTCCTCAAATTTTTAATAGTCACTAGTCACAGCTATAGTAATTAGTAGCAACGTTGATTGAATATTCCTATTTCCTATCAACTATTACTGCTAAAAATTACACTTAACCATCGTTATGCATAGATAATAAAGATATGAATAGACTTATCAGTTTAGATAGGGAGAGAGTAATGGAGTATCATTTTTGTGGCGATACGGCGTACGTTTTGAAAGTGCTCCACTACTCTCCCCCTACATAAATTTAGAAGTAAAAAGTAACTTAAAAATTCCAAAAATCAGAATTTGAGTGTACGTTAAATTTAATCAAAAAGATGGCGTGAGCACGTTTAGTAAATCACTGTGTATATACAGAGTATCCCACTGTGTTCGATGGATTTTTTTAGAACTGTTAATATTCATTATCGTTTAATTTAATTTCGTTATAGACACTAAAGGATAGTTGTTATGAAAACACCTAGGGGAGGACAATTCATCAATCAATACCCTTCCTCCCGAATATCCACAACTGACTAGTAAGTATGCATTGTTAAACTAGCTAACCAGGGTGCAAACATATGATTAATGGTGTTTTTTTTTTGCCTATATTTTGCATTTAAATAGTTTAAAGATTTAATTAAAAATGAATAGAGATTATTAAGAAAATTTAAGTATATTTAAATGTAAATTCAGAAATTAATTAAATATTCATCTGGTGACATTGTAATAGGTCAATTTACTTATATCAAAACCACGGATACACAGACTAACCGTGATCAAAACTAAAAACAGTAATAATACTGCTAAATGAAAATTTGCAAAACGAAGACAGCACATGTGTGTATAAACATCGGGAACGGATTCAGTGGGGGGCTTAAGGGCCCAGGTCTTTCCTAGACCTATTTATACAATTTTTTTTCTAATTCTTATAGGTCCTGGTTTAATTACTAATTATCTAATTACTATATTTCAATCATAGATGTGAACTGTGATTCCAATATTGTAATTTCGTAATTACGTGTTAATTGTTGACATCACGAGAGTGTGCCACATCGCCATCAAAGTTACTCCCGGGACAATCACAAATATATTGTGGTTAATTAAACTTTGGTACTATAATTAGAACCATAGAAATTGTAATTGTATTTGTATTTTAAAATATGTTTACTATTCTTCGTGAATAATAATAATTACCATGCGTTTATTATCAAAATGTACAGGCGTCCTACTCTAAATTAACAAATTATGATCACGTTACTAATGCGTGAACAAAACTGTGTATTTTCACTAACCGAAATAGAAGTTTCCGGGAAAATAAGACTTCTTTTTAAAACTATTCAGAATACTTTTAAGACGAACATCAGTACTTCGCCACGATCGTCAAGCCGCCATGCATTTCGCCGTTAACGATTCGCCGTGAAATTATTATTTTTTGTTTAAAACCTATCGCCGTGTCTTGGTTATTTTTCAACGTACGCTATATGTGATTTTCACTATTAGACAAAGGGATAGCCCTTTGAGGCACTTCATAATAAAAGTACCCCTCCTTCTGATTTTTGGAACAAGTATATCTCGACGGGATTTAGTGATAGGTGAGTAGTCTTAACGCCAAAACGTTTGGCTTCGTACCTCGCACATGTCCCCTCAATAGTTTAACTCTTTAAAATCGCTTCCAAAGGAACTAGCCTGGAATTCTTCCGATCACTATCAATCATTGGAAATGATCCCTAGATCTCCTATCAACTACCCTCGTAAAATGTAGTGTCAATCGGAATGGATTGAAAAAAGGAATTTTGCTCCAAAGTAGTTGGTGGGTCATTAAAATTTAACGAAGTTACCTCCCCCACTAATTTCTGTAAAATAAACAAGAATAAAAAATAAAATTAGGAACAGTAATACAAAGCGTCTCCCCTCGGACTATTTTAGTATTTTAATCGATATTAAATTCCGATTTATTGAGCAAACTCTCGTCGGGTGACAACTGACAGGGAATGAAAAAATTTACCTACGAGAAAATAAATAAATTTTCGAAAAAAAAAATTCCCCAAAGATTGGTGTTGATCGGACGAATTCCGAAAATCATAGAAGGGATTTTACAGTGTCAAACTATGGAGGGGACATGTGTGGGATACGAAGCCAAGTGTTTTGGCGTTAAAAACACTCTCCTATCACTAAATCCCGTCGAGATATACTTGATCCAAAAATCAGAAGGAGGGATACTTTTAAAATGAAGTGCCCCTAATAACCCTAAGTGTAGTAGTGGAGATCACATTATAGTGTACGATGAAAAAAAACCAAGACACGGCGCTAGATTTAAAAAAAAAAAAAACATTTCGCGACAAAACGATCGTGGCGATGTGCACTAGACCCCTTTTAAAGTATTCGGAATACTACCTATGTAATATAATCGCATTACCGTGTATCTATATAATATATATTTATACTAATCATACCGGGTGAGCTTAAACAATTTTATTTAGCACCCACCCCTAAAAAACATTATATCGGGCGTGCCTTGATCCTAATTATTGGCGCTAAAAAATAGTCTCTCAAAAAAAGCATACCTACCTACAGCTCTTACACCTAGTATATCTACCTACATAAAACATAGATGTATAACATTAATACATTAATTTATTTTTGTTAAGTTGTTTTCATATTATAATAATATACCTATAGTTTTCGGTGTTTGCCTAGTTCGTGGCTTCGTAATCTAATAATCGGATAATTAAATAAATAAAAATTTCCATCTTGCATTTTACATGAAAGCACGTAGGTAATAGGTGGGTATATACTATGTTGTGTATGGTTTATATATGTTTTTTGTATATAGTTCAAATAACAAAATGTTTTTGTAACAAATTATGGTGAGCCAAAGGATTTTCAAGATGAGATCCTAATTAATTATGCATAAATCACATTTACACGTATTTACGATACAGTGGCCGTGACTCTAAAAACCTAGACATTTAGATTACGATAAATTTAATGATTTGCAATTATTTTTTCATAGTAATTACATAAATCAAGAACAACTGCACTAGATCAATATGTTAGATAGGTATTTTTATTATTTGAATGATCAAAATGTTGATAAATTTTGTTATCATTAAGTTGAAGTAATTTTTTGCAATGTTGATCATAATCGCAAAAGATTATGCCACGTAGATAATATGGTTGTGTTCAAAATAATAAATATTAATAAAAATAATACCTTTCGGTAGTTTAACGTGAGAAATATATAATTAGGTAACTTCAATTTTCGTTCGAATAGCTAGTGTAAAATGTTCTTANTACCTTTCGGTAGTTTAACGTGAGAAATATATAATTAGGTAACCAATTTTCGTTCGAATAGCTAGTGTAAAATGTTCTTATTTTGTATAATCATACATGTTGTCGTGCACGGTATACCTACCCGTTACATCTAATTTTTTTTTTTTAAAAAGTTCCTCAAACTTTCCTCTTTCGATTTCTAAAAATCGTGTTTAAAATACTAAAAATTTTAATTGTTGGATATTTTTTTTTTTAAATGTGTTGGTATTTTTGATTTTAATATTTTGATGATATCAAAATTTACTGATATCAGTTATTGTTAATAAACCATATAAACCTAACTATTCAGTATTAAAAAGTAAATCACTTTAAAATCTGTAGCATTGGAATCTTAGGGGTATATTTATTAATGTTTTTGTACAATGTGTCCTAATACAAATAAATATGTTTTATTTATTAGGTTAATAATACCTTATATATTATTTTAGTTTTAGAAATAATTTGAGTAAGTATTAGTAAAATATTCTATTACTTTTGGCCTTCTAATTTAATTATGAATTATTAAATTTTTGAGTCATAAATTAGAAATCTTATTAATTTATATTTGTATAATTTTTTTAAATTATTTATGTTTAAAATTATTTTTTCATTGTTTCAAACTAATTGGTTACATTATACTCAAGAAAATGATTAAACCATAAACTAAATATTAATTAATATTATTAATATAATAATATTATACTTTTTATAAATAAATAATAATTTAAAATTAATGAATAAGTATATGTGAATTAAAGTCAAATTGAGTTTATTGACATTTATAAACCATTAAACCTTCAACATAACAATTAATAATTTACTTTTATAGCTCATGTGAAGTACATACATACTGATATTGATTTTAATAGTAATTCTAAGACCTTTAGTTAAAAAAAAAAAATAAAAAAATATACATATTAACAATAAATAGCAATATCACTAGTAGTAACAGAAGATGTAAACAACTCATGTATATGTAATTGTAGATATACAATACTTTATAAAGGTCCTTAATACCTGGAAAAAAGTCAGTCAATTTTTTAAGTTGGAGTATTAAATATTTTTAACTATAAACCAATACCTATTTATAGGAAATCTCAATTATATATTTGACATTTTTTGAAATTGATATTAATATATTTCAATAAATTTTGTTTTTGATAGGTGTGTGAAGATTAACAAAATTGTTTAAAATGGCACCATCATTGGAAATAGATGACAATAAATCCTTGTACAATGATCTTAGAGACTTATGCAAAGAAAATATTACTTATTTTACGACTGATGAAAGAAATTGTTCAACTGCTATAGCAAATTCTTTTGAACAATTATTTGAAAATGTTGGCATTATAAAGCCTTTAGTTGAAGAATTACGTAATGTATGCCATTTGTATGATTTTGATCCATCTATACCGGGCAATGGGTATCGAAGTTATGTGCGTGTTGTTGATTTATTTATTGCTCATTGTATTAAAGTTTGCAATCAAATGGCTACCAATCGTCATTCTTTTTTCTTCCGTAAATCATTTTATACCAAGTATATACCTATAATATAAATTGTATCCGAATAATATTGTAATTAATATGAATATTTTTACAGGGAAATAGAATCATGTAACCAAGTGATGAGTGCATTGGTATTATGTATAGAAAATTTGTGTCTTTTGATTGGTTGGAGTGAACCAGGCATGTTATTTGCTGGGAACGATACTGCAGCTTTGGAGCTTATGATGAAAATTGAACCATCTAAACTTTGCCCTTTTTATGGCCGCTGTTTGGCTTTTCAAGTAAACATTTTAAATATAATAATTGGGTTTTATTAATTTTGTTCTTCAACTTAAAATTTGTATTAACATTAACATTCATCTGATTATTATATTTTTTAAATTAAATACATCCTAGGTATATATTTCCATATATTTGCTCATTATATTTTAGATAAACTAAAAATTGTATAATATATGTTTTATAACAGAGATGATCTAATTTACTATTCTATAAGTTTATGGTGTATGGTAATAAAATTATTTATAACTTGCATGTGTAAAAGAAGATTATGTGTGCTCTAGCATTGATGTTTCTTCAATATTTTAATTTTTTAAGCAAAATGTAAGTATGCAAAATATTAAAATTTAAAAATGATTGTAATATAATATTAACATATTATATTGCTTAAAAATTAAAATATTAAAAATAAAACCTCAACTCTAGGGCACATACAATCTTATTACATTTATGAAATTTGGTAATTAATCAATTTGCTTTAGCATTAAAACTAATGCCACAAAATATGTCCTAATGAATGCAAATTGCTACGTTGTGCGTTTGTAAGATGGAAATGGTAGATGTCGGTACATCGTCATCTTAATTGAATTAAATATTCTGTCATCTACACATTTATTGATATCTTTTTATCATTTTTAATCTCTAGTTTATATTTAATTCACTTTGGCTTCTATACAACCATTATTATTTCATATTATTGTTCTGGTACATGGCAATTTAATATTCAAACTCAAGTAGTTATGCATTTAAAATTTATTAAAGTACTTTAATATTCTATACAATTAAATGGCATTGAATTTTATTTGATACTTAATAGTAAATAGAAAATACATACATTTTGACAACATTGTGTAATCATAATTCTTTATACAATTCATAATAACTAGGGTTTAAATTTAAAGGAAATTTAAACAATAAAAAAAAAACATTTAATTTGTATAAAAACCAATTACAAAATTAACTAAACAAATTAATAGATTTCTGTGAATTGAATTAGTTTGCATTAAATACAATTTACTACCATGTACTTAAACAAACTGTCTTCTGAAAAATTTTGATAGTTTAGTCTAAAAATATTTAGATAATAATCGTTTTACGTCCACCAAAGTTACTGTTATGTATTTTATACATAAATAATTATTTAATTTAAAATTACTATTTTTTAAATTATTATCATTTTTTGTTTCCTTAATTAATAATTTGTTGAGTTTATTCAAAATCAATCTAGAAACTTCGCCAATATAACTTTAAATTTAATACACATAAAACATAAACAATATATTTTAATATTTTATTAGTAAATATATAGGTAGATATTATTTGTATCTCGAGTTTCTAGTTTTATAATTGTGTAGAATTTTTGGCAAAACTACTAAGTAGCGTTTATCAAAGTATCATTTCCTTAGTGTTGATTCACATAGAATATTTTTGTTCATTATTTTGGTAAAAGATCTAAAAACCTCATTGTTCAATTTATTCATAGCGATATTTCTGCAATCAAAAGCATAGACATTAGATCCAACCTTGAAATCACAGACAACTAATACAAAACACTGAACCCATAAAAAGAAAACTCTTAGAAAATTTTCTTTTCTTTAAAAATAAACATATACAACTAAATTTAAACAGTATTGAATCTAAACTCTTGTAACTTGTGGTTAAAACTGTATCACTAATAAAATAAATGTATACAAAAAAATGCATAATACATTTAAATCCATTTACAACTTTTAATGTATTTAATAAAAAAGTTATTGTGTTAGTAGTAATTTATAATAGTTATTAATTTTGTTATAAAGTTTAATGAGTCACTACAACCCGCTTTGAAAACCATTGCTATAATGATGGCAGCTTTTAGTGAAGTGTACTATAATGAAAATGGCATGATGGCTAAGGCAAATACTGCATGGAATTGTAAGTTTTGGAATTTTTTAATCATAGTGAATTATTTGAATTATTTTATTTAATATAATTTATATTTAGGTAGTAAATATATGTTAAATCCAGAATTGAGAGCTCGCAGAATTATCAATGTTATTCAGTATTCTTCAATACATTTTTACAAAGCATTTTTGTTCCTTGGTGAAACAGGTAATTTTTAGTAAATATAAAATAAATAAAAGTATTGTCTTCATCTTCTCTTTTGCCTTCTGTCCAACTATTATAGGTTGACTACCCTTAAACTTCCACTTGATCCAATCCCCCACATCACCTTGACATACACACGCCATCCTCATATCATTCTCAATAACATCCAACTACCTATCTTTTAGTCTTCCACTCATCCTCTTTCCTCCAACATCTTTTTTCATTATAATTCTTACTGTTTCTGATTCTTCTCTCCTCATAACGTACCCAAACCATATCAGTCTATTTTATTTTATTTTGTCCACTATCAAAACCATACCTAAGTCCCTTTTATGTATTCATTCCTTATCTATCTTCTCTTGTCACTATACTCATCCATATAAATATTATCATCTTTGCTATACTCTGTTCTACTTTTTTGTTTACCACCCAACACTTAGACTAATATAACATAGCCCGTTTCACTATACTCTTGTAGAACTTACCTTAAAATCTCATTGGAATCCTCTTTTCGTCTAAAACACCAGATGTTTTCCTCCACTTAATCCTGTTTCACATGCTCGTCAAAGTCACTGTTCCTTTGAAATAAAAAATTAGTAATTTTAATTTTTTTGATAACAATTGCTTTTAATTTCAATTTATTACATTACATAACACTATAAAATATAAATATATTTAATGAGTCAAATTTATTAGTATTTGATTATGCAAGTTTTAAAAATAAATGTATATATTTAGGTTTTTTTTATAGAATATACTATTTTTAAATTTAATTAATTAATTGCATTAAGGGGAGTAGTGGAGTATCATATTTTGTGTGGTGGCAAGGCACCCGGTATTTTATTAGTGCTCCACTACTCTCTCTTCCGTTTGAAAAACCAAAGTTAGTATCACCACAGGATACTCCTTAAATGTTATGAAAAATTTAATTATTCGAAAATATTGGATTTAACTACACTTAAAAATTCCAAAAATCACAAGTTTAATGTATGCAAAATTTAACTAAAAAAATGGGATGAGCACCTTGAATGAATTACTCTGTATATATATACAAAACTCTCTCTTTTTTTTCGTTCGTGTGTTCAGTACATTTATTTAAGTTTTTTCTTTGTCTATACCTTTTTGTGGAAATTTAAAATATATGTATATTAAAAAAAAAGTTACACATTTTTTTGTGAACATTAATCATTTGATCATTGTTTTTAAGTTTCTAATTATACAAAACTAGACTTTTACCAAATTGATAATAATAAAACTATAATGGTCAATGTTTTAACTTGTTGATTCTTTTTAATTTCAGAACTGTTAAAAAGTTTGCCTAATTTAGTTTCACCTGCAGTGGCTGTAAATCGATTGGTAGCTATTCCCAGTAAGCCAATTAAATACATGAAACCAAATGGAGAGTTATTTGAACTCCAACCCTCTATATGTCATACTGGACCAGCTTCTTTAAATGTACGACTAATTGCAAAAACTAAACGTGAAGGCATGGTAAAGTTTTATTTATAATTATTTTTATTTTATTCACGTATAGAATATAAATAAATTATTTTTAGTTAGCAGAGAGTCCCAGTAATGGGACATTACCTGAACCTTGTGAAAATCTTATCATACATTGTCACGGAGGTGGTTTTGTATCACAAAGTTCAAGTTCCCATGAATCATATTTAAGAGATTGGGCAGTTCGCTTAGACATTCCAATAATGTCAGTTGATTATTCTTTAGCACCAAGAGCGCCATATCCAAGAGCCAGGGAAGAATTATTATTTGCTTATGTATGGGCTTTAAATAATGCAGCGTTCTTAGGTTCCACTGCTAAACGTATCATAATGGCAGGTAAAAATAAGTCTGATAAAAAATTTAAATTGTACAACCTATTACTTTTAACTTTATTTATTTACATTATTTTTGAGTTTAATATTAACTAGTTATAATAGTAAAATAAAAACACAATTCAAGTTCTGTATTGTTATCTATAATTTTTAGCTATCTAATAATAATTCTAGATTGTAGAATAACAATTTGAATTCATTGTATTATATCATTGATTATAATATATTTTTACACAAAAAATAACTATGTTCAATTTAGTTAATATAAAATAATCATTATTAATGTACATCATTATACATTTAAACATCTGAAACTGATCAATTTTATAAGTATTATAATTAAATTTTTTTAACAAAATAAGTTATATTAAAATAATTTTTTTTTAAAAGTATTTTATAAATTATATATGTAAAAATGAATAAATTTTTTTTTTTATTTAGGCGATTCAGCAGGAGGAAATTTAAGTGCTTGTGTAGCGTTAAAATGTATAGAACTGAATATTAGAATACCAGACAGCTTATTTTTGGTATATTTCCCATGTGCAATTGCTTGGTCTCCAACACCTGCCAGATTTCTCAGTTTAATAGATCCACTAATACCTTTAGGCTTTATGACTAATTGTTTAAAGGGTAATTATTACTTTATAGTTACATCTTAGCATCGTATATATATATATATTTATTTATTTATTTATATTATGTTTAATTAAAATACATTATTCAGCTTATGCTTGTTCTCCTGACATTTACCAAGATAATTTATACGAGTATAAATTAAAAAATATTGCTAAACCAAAAAATGGCCCAAATGAAAATATTACAGAAGAAGTAGAATCCAGTGAAGAAGCTTTAAAGCTTATACATGATAATGAAGAAGATACAGCTACTTCAGTTGAAAAAACTATTTCTACAAATGAACAGCGACAATCTAAACAATTTTCAACAATAATTACAGAGACAGCTGAAAATATAACTTCTACCATAACCAATACATTCATGACATTAACAGGAGGAATAACAGAAGAAGAGATCAGGTAATATAACATTAAAAAAATAATTCTTTATTCATCTCCCCACTGATATTTTTTGACAACTATTCTTATAGTTATTAATTTGTTTATAAATTATAGAGGTGATGCAATAAAATAAACTTGTTGAAATTATTATTTTTATGTAGTTTGCGTTTTTTAACAATTTATTTATATATATATATATATATATATATATATATATAGGTATATTTTAGATAATATAAATAAGTAAATTCAATATATTTAACTCAATTTTAAGCCTATTTTGATCATATTTCCATACATTTTATTTATTTTTTTTTTTAACATAGAGACTAGTTCACATAATTTGTATTTACAAAATTATTACTTTTTTTGTTTAGTGATAGTGAGGATGCTTTAAATGAAGTAGTAGAAGAAAAGCCCTTACCAATGGATTTGCCTAAGTTACCAGATGACCCATTTTTGTCACCATATTTTGCTAATGATGATCTTTTTAAGCATTTGCCTCCTGTTCATATTGTGGTATGTTATTAAGAAACAAAATAAATTGGTAAATTATTTATTTTGTTGAAACTTTAATTTTATAAATTTTTTACTTATAGAGAATAATATTAATTACATTTTTAACTACCTAAAATACAAATTATAAAAAGAATGTTTATAACCAATAAAATAACAAAATATATAGATACTGTATTTTTTTTTTAAATCAACTTATATTAAAATTATTATTTATTAAACAATTGACAATTTTGCTTTTAGATTATATATATTATATTAACACATTTTTATTTTCATCAAAGTTGAATTCTAATAAATACAACCAAATTATTAAAATTAGTGGTTACTCATAAAATAAAGATACTTTAATTTTAATTGTATTGCATTTTGTTTACTTCAATTGAAAAAAAAGCTATCCATTTCAATAGATAATAATAATTACATTTTTAAGTTGACATATTTATTTGTATACAATTTACAGACAGTGCATATGGACCCATGTTTAGATGATTGTGTAATGTTTGCAAAACGATTAAAAGGACTTGGAAAAAAAGTGAATATGGACATTTTAAAAGGATTACCTCATGGTTTTTTAAACTTGGCTATTGTGAGTTGGAATTTAATACTTATTTCACATTATGATTTAACTGATATGTTTATATTTATTTATAGACATGTAAAGAAGCCCACGAAGGATCAGTACTGTGTGCAGAGCGTATTGCTGAACTGTTTAAAGAAATTGAAAAATCTGAGTCTTAATATTATTTTTTAATTAAAATTGAGAAGTTTTCCTAAATTACATGTGTTCCAAAAATTATTAAATTAATTCTATCAATTTGTATTAATGTACTTAAATACATTTTTAAGTGTTAGTAGGTTTTTTTTGTGTGTACTATTTTAGTTATATGTTCTATACAACAGTAATAAGGAATTATGAAAAAGTATTTTCAAGATTAATATAAAAATACTTAACTAAATTATCACCAACAAAAAACATTTTTTATGTGTTTATTATATACTGTAAATTTACAGTATGTATTCTATTATTATTATAATAAAATTATAAATACAATAAACAAATGAAAAAGCTATTTAGTATTTTAATCTTTTTTATTGTTATTTGACAGATTTTCATTTTTTCCGTTCAATATTTTAGGCCTTAGCCGCTTTTCCAATACATAAGCATCTGCAGGTTCTATTCTTTTGTAATAATGCTCTTTAGTTTCAACTATTTCAAAGCCAAATTTTTTGTAGAACTTAATGGCACTATCATTATTCAATTGAACATGTCTAAATTAAAACATGTACTTAATAAAACACTGAAATTAACTATAGAAAATAAAAATACTTACAAATAGACAGCATCAAATGTACCATCATTTTCAACATAATTTAATACATGTTGAACCATCATACTTCCTATGCCAAGCCTTCTGTACTGTGATAAACATCCCAGAGTCATTATATACAGTCGACGACCAACTTCTTGGTCTATTCGGCAACATACAGCTCCAACCACAATATCATTATAATATGCTAAAAATATAAAATTATCAAAAAAATATATATAAGGGAGTATTGAACTAGATTTATTTCATAGTAATGAAACTATAAAGTAAAAAGTAATAGTAAAACACCTACCTAATTTAGCTAGTTCTCCGGCTTCCAGAACATCTTTATAAAACTTTTCGTTATATGACACAGGAAAAACCACAGTATTTAGTCGTTTAAGCTGTTTTATATTATGGTGAGTAATTTCGCCCAATTCTAACTTGGCTCTGAAAAGTCGCTGAGTTACTTAGTGTTTAATTATATTAATTATAAAATTAACTAGTTTTTGTTGTCTATTGTAAATAATTAAATAATTGGTTAATATTTTATTATATGCAAGTACCTGCTTGGTTTTTTTTTTCAGAAAAACTTGAAAAATATTTAATCATGTTCTAGATTTTCTATCATAATGACAATAATTTGTCTCTTAAGTCTACAATTTTGTTCAGGTTAATTAAAAAATATCCATAACTTTAATTTTTTAATATGGAAACTAATAAATGATATCTATGGAGTAATATCATTTAATATAAATTTCACATTGTCTGGTTAGGAACAATATTTTTAAATATTATTAATTTATTATTATAAAAAATGGTTGTCTATATACTCGACTTTGTTTGATTATTAATATCATACCCGATCATCGTTATCGATAAAGTAGTTACCGCAATCATGGTTAGGTAAACAATAAAGATACAATTTATTTTTCAATATTAACTACCCGAAATGGTTTTGCATAACAAATTTTCAATTAAAACAATCCAAGCGACCGGCTCGGGATAATTCTACTTTTTTTTTTCATGGACGGCCGGATTTTTAGTGGTTACCCGATCATGCATGCGGTAACTATTGTATTGATAACGGTGGTCAGGTATGATATCGATAACCGACCTAAGTCGGGTATATAGACATACCGTAAAAAATTGTATTTTCCACTGTAACAAAAGAATTTTGTTTTTAATTGCAGTGGTATTTTTTATTGTTTATCATTGAATAGTAGTAATATATTAAAGAAAACCAAGCACACTACTATAAACAATCATTTAAATTACAAACAAATTAAATAAAATACTTAAAAATGTTTAAGTCGTTACATTATTATATAATTAATTAAAATATTATAATGACAATTATGTATACCTCGTCATGATTATTTTTGTTGTATTTGTAACTTGTGATTTCACTAATTTCGACTAATAATTCTAATGGTTTTCCTGTTTTCTATTAAAAATCAAAAAAACACTAAAACAATATAACTTTATGATAACAAAATTCGAAATGATAAATATAAAGATAAGCAAAAATACCAACACAAAACTAAACCAAAAAAATAAATCTTATCTGTACAGACTGATTAAAAAATTAATTAATTATTTTTTATTTTTAATTTAGGTATCTAATTATACAATCTGTACATGTATAAAACAATAAGCATTATTCATTTTATAATAGTCCGATCTACACTCTTCTGTTGCTTACATTCTTTTCTTCATTACAATATTTTATTTACCATACAGTCAAATATATTATACGATTTATTCGGTTGTTCGTGTTTAATTTTTTTATCGTTTTACCACACTAGCACCAAAATGTTGGTAATTTATGTTTTTTGCTTTTAGATTCTGAGCGCATTGTGTAACGAGGATTGTACTTAGATATTGGTATTATTATGATGATTTTTTTGTTTTCTGTTTTTTTGTTAAAATCTTAACTACTTACGACTTATAAGAAATCTTGCTCTAACTATTAATTTTAAAGATGGCTTCTGGTACCTACCTTGGGTTACCTACCCATCAAATTTGTCTTGTAATTTTCTTAGTAATTAGGAATAACTGTTTCTGTTATTTTGGATTTTGTATTTATTATTTATTTATAATTGAGTTAAAAATTACCGTGTAGGTATAGACATGCATTTTTTACCTATCTAGTGGCGTAACTGGATAAAAATCTAGGGGGCAAAATATTTTATCCATCATCATCAAAATCATCTGATTTAAATATAATTTTATTGTATGCATTGTATATGATATAGGTACCTAATTGTTTGTTTTTCGCAAGTCTTAATACTCATTTTATGATTTAGAAAAATATAAACAAACTGTAGGTATAACTGGAGTGGGTACTAAGTACCCATATTATTAAACAATATTAAGTATCTACACAAGAATTAATTAATAAAAAGGTGCTATAAGTACCTAACTAGTATAAAAAATATTAATACATATTTTATATTTGGTGAACAATAAATAATTACCAACAACTAATTTGATGACTTCAATAAAAAAACTTAAAAAAATAAATGAAAGAATATATTATTATTTTTATTTTAGTTTTCCATTACCTACCTCTTACTCCATTTCAAACAAATTATCAATTATTTTATCAAAATCAATTGGCACTGATCATTGTAATGATATGATTTGTAATGATGCCATGCTACTTAAACGCTTTTGGACCATACTGGTTCTTAAATAATTTTTTTCAACGTATTAAGCAAGATATATATTGTTTGATTATCTGGGAGGGAGGAGCAAAATAATACCTTTAACTTCACAAAAATGTTAGGGGGCAAGTGACCTTCTTGTCCTCCATAATGACGTCACTGTACCTACCTATTACTTCAGTAAGATATCATAAATAATTGTAACTAAAAACTTTTAGTTTCAAAACTAAAAAAACACGAACATTTCCAATGACTATAAATAAATCAAAAATTTATTCGAAAATTGTATCACACATCAGGCAGTAATGGATTTTCAACATTTTTCTGGATGAAGTCTTGAAAAATCATAAGTATCTATCAAATTCAAAGGTGTCTATTATAATTTATAAATACCTCTTTTTTAGACGACATTGTATTGAAATTATTTTTAGTGTCTGAGTGGGGGTTTAGACCTCATAGAACCTTCCCCACTAAATCCACCACTGACGTCAGGAAAGGACTGATAGAAGTATATATTTGTCTATGGTTATAAGTATTCATTGTAAATTTTAATTCTGCCTGTTTTCGGTACCTACCTAAATTTTTTTAACGGATTATAAAAAAAATAACGGGAACTGTTATTAGGTAAGTAGGTACACAAATCGTACTGTTTTTTTCTTAATTACCTATAAAAGATAATAGCCAACAGGGTAGCTATTCACAGTTATAAAGTGTGATTCATTATCAGGTAATTGTTATTTTAGTTAGGATTTTATAACAGATAACGCTATAATGGGTGTCTTGTATTTTTGTCATGATGAATATATTTGTTCAGCATTGTTTAATATTTCATAATGAAAAGACTTAGCCCGAAAAAAAATTATTTAATTGTATGGAAAAAATAAACGATTAATGAAATCAATTAAAATAAACGTTGATTTCAATATTTGGGCCAGTGAATTGGCCGCCTAGAATCCTAGATCATCTGCTATCAGACTTCTAGACTTATTCCTATAGGACTACATTAAGTCCAAAATCAACATGGATAAGTCAGTTACGATTGAGAAATTAGAAGTTAATATTACTTGCGTCATTGGATAAATACCACTGGAAATACTTGAACGCATCATCGGAAATCGGAACAGTTACGGCCAACATTTGAAAGAAATAATAAAAAAATATGTCTTAGGATAATAGAGATGGGTGCAGCCACTGTTATAGGTAATTTACTATATATCTGTAAACAACGATAAACCATTGCTACCGAAAAAACCATTCTGAACGCAGCTCAGTTGATAGTGATGATCTGTCAACAATATATATGTCATATTATGGTATTATACATTTTCTTTAATAATATTTGTTTAATATTGTACCGATTTTCCCATGTTTTTTCCTATTAATTGGAAAAACTCCTGGAAAATTGAAAAATTACCTCCTTAAAGTACCTTCCCAGTCAGATTTTCTTTCAGAAAAAAGGCTATCATTTTAAATCGAAGCGAAATTACGTGTAGAAAAGTCATGTACAGAAAAAAATGGCCATAATATTTTTTTACTAATACCTACATTTTGTACATTTTCCGTTTTTCTGATATTTTAACCTGGTTTTTCCCAGATATTATGAAAACTTCATGAAAAATCAATAAACGACTTTTCTAAATTACTATGGAGATAAAATTTCCCTTCAAAAAAATAAGCTACATTTGATACATCAGAGCAAGATTTCTGGTAGAAAAAATTGCACAACAAATTGAGGGGGATTTTGCGATTAAAATAATCTGAGCGAGCGATGGTTTGAGCCTCTAGGTGCACCCAAAATGCATTTGGTTTTTCCTTGTTTAGGTAAAGGGAAAAAAAATGCAAACAATTTTTTCCGTCACACTGGTAAGAGCTCGGGACCTTTAAGATGATAATAGACATAAATAACCGTTAGATCATAACAAATATGCTTTTAGAAGAACAATATAGAGTTATTTAACATAACACATAATATCCGCATAATATTATTATACTTCAATAAGCTATAATTTCGAAACTTAGTCCGCTTAAATCTGACTTCATTATCGTTCTTAAATCGGCAGTATACATAATTCAACAAAAAAAAAATTGAAAATTAGATTTGTTCCACATAATTTTTTCGTCAAAATTTAATATCAAAATTCCCTTAAAAAAAAAAAATACATTAAACTCAATTTTTTGTTTTTACCACAAAGTAAGATTTCTAATGAATCTCCTGTTAAATTTTGAAACATTTCTGTTTAAGTCTAAAAATTTTACCACAGATTAGCTACCGAATAAATATTACATGTAAAACTCTCGAATGTAAAATGTCTATAAATACTTCAAAAATGAATTAAATTTTTTGAAAATTTTACCTCGTTTAAAAAAGGCTAATATGAATTGTCTGTTCAAATTTCAAGTCTTTGCGGATATTTTTAACTGAATTAAAACAACAACAAATAACAAATTTAAAAAATAGTAAAAGCATCATTTTCGTGAATTTTCCGTTTTTCTTAAGTTTTATCCTGGTTTTTCCCAGATATTATGAAAACCGCTTAGATAATAAAAAAAATTATCTCCCAAAAGTACCACCTGGACAACATTCTCTTTCAAAAATGGTACCGCGCGTATATATCTGTGCAAGATTTATGGTCGAAGTTTTGTACACAGGATAACAAATCAAATAAAAGAATAAACATCTTAAACTAATACATTCTTCGCTACACTCAGAATTTAAAATAAATAAATGTAAAGAATAACGTTTCTTTGGTATGATTACGGGATATAATTTTATTTTTTAAAAATTACCACCCATGATTAGTGAATTATAATATTAAATAATTGATAGATATCTACTTTTGTATAGGTTACCAGTAGTTACCATGGTAGACATGTAAATCTATAAAATAATGTACTAATATATAGGATCTGTTACAACAAATTTACCGATCGATACGTTAAGTTCATCAGATATACATAATTTATTATTATATATTATTGACACTTAATAATATTGTTTGTTCACATAATTATAGAAGTGACAACAAATAAAAATCAAAATAATGATAATTATTCCTCGACCACGCCTTTGGAAAAGTATAGCTAGTTGCTACACGTATGAAGTGTATGCGTAACTAGTAATCGTATTGTCAGTTACTACATTGTAATTGTAATTTGTTAACGTGAAATCGCGCTGATGTGACGTCATTTTTCATATACTCATATGTTTATAATTTTATTATAATAAATTTACTGCACTTCAGAACAAGCATATGCGAGTTAATGTCTCTATATTATTATTCTATGATTTATACTAAAATATTATTATTATTATTGCATATTTACCGTTATTATTTTTCTAAAGATATATAGATTTACCCAATTGTTTATACAAATTAAATACCTAATCTGTGATTTTAATAATTAAGTGTAAGATGATGACCATTTTTAGAAAACTATATTGTAGGTATCTATATCAATTATGAAAGCACATTAGTTTGGATTTTATTAGGTATATTGGTACCTATAACTTGTAATAACTAATAAACTCTAAGCCTATTGGGTATTTATATACCTACTTAACATGAAACATAAAATTAAAATTAAAAAAAAAATTTTTTTTTTTATTTGATAGGTTAACCTTCATACATGAAATAATATTATAACATTATATTTAATTTATTTAGTAGATAGCTGTTTTCTATAGTATTAGAAAAACAAAACTAAATGACACCATAATATTATTATATTATTGTAAAATGTATTAGCATAGATTATATTAAATTATGACTGATTGTATATAATATAGATACTTATGAATGATATTAGGCATAATGATTCGATGGTTAAGTTAAGCGTACACATGACGCGTTACGCTGTACTTACGTGGCAATCAGGTATTCGGGTATACCTGAAATCACGGCCTTAAAAGATTTTCCATTGCCATGCGCGAGATGTATACAGGAAGAAAAATTAATTTAATTTGATATTAATTTTTTTTTTTTTATTACATGTTAGGTAGATAATACAAGTTTTATAATGACACCTAAAATGTAGAGTACCTACCTATTTATTTTATTATGATAATAATAATTATGTCCTATACATCACACCTGAATATGCAGGTACAGAATATAATAAGAAAGATTTGTGTTATCACTATGTAATTATTAAATTTTTTTCTTCTAGATAAAAAGTTTATATGTCTCAAATACTTACGTATGGTGGAATTGTTACTTCACAAATGAAAAATTCGAATATTTATAATAAATTTAAGATAATATAGATATACCTTTACTTAGCAATAATAACAATACATTTTTGCGCTATTATAAAAAGACATTTTTCATATTTAATTTTAAAGGGAATTTATATTTTAATATACTTTATTGTAAATTTATCAAAGCCGTTTTCTGTACTTGCAATAACCATCGTACCTCAAACATGAAAAACATGTGTGATTTATTTTAGACATCCTATACTGGTTACGAGTACTTATCTAATAAAAATATCCATTATATTATAAGCATTTATGATTTTTTTGAAAACATCGTATAAGTATCGTAAGTATATTAGGTATCAATGTTTTGTAAAATTGTATTTTTTTTTTTCGTGAACCAACGAAAATGTATTTAATTTTAATTGAAAATTATTATATATAATATATTAAGTACCTATTTATAGTTGTGACCAGTGACCACTTTACATTTAGAATATTTGAGGGAGGTTTAATTTTTTTGTTTATACGTTGTGGGAGGTTAAGCCTCCTAATTTTCGCCATAAGTTCCAATTTGTGAAACTGAAATCAAATAAATCTGTGTATATTGTATGTTATAATTTTTGAAAGTTATAGTAAAAACATTTTTATTTCTTAATTTCATGAAAAAAAATTATCGTAAACAACGGATATTAAATTATTTTGTACACATAACACGCATGTAAATAAAACTATTATAAATTTAATGTTAATACTTAAGTATGTTATTTTATGTCACAAGACCGTTACCTATTTTAAGCAGTATTGTATAATATTATTGTAGCCACTAACGTTAGTCTTTATTCACCTTAGAAAAACCATAGATAATAAAAAAATGAATTGGCTGATGTTCCCGGAGGAGCGGAGAACTTGAGGCGAGTAATCAGATATCAAACGTTTATAGGTATATATATATATATATATATAATATATAATGCAATAGGTATATAATATTAATGTACCCATAGCATACCCTTGGCTGTACCCATTAATAATAATTATTTTATCTATGGCTGTAGTAATCATTCCATAGACGATAGGCATATAAATGTCTATGACCCAACCCACTTGAAACACTGATAAGGTAAGGATGGCCTACTATTATCATTATTATCTATGGGAAAACTCGAAAAACCAAAATATACAATAATTTTCAATAAAGTTGTTGCACATGCTGATAGACTTCCTTGAAGTCAGCTGATTAGGGTACCACCCAGTTATTTTCCACATCTATTTATTCGCCCATCGCCGCCAGTAGCAGCACTGCATGAGTTGTGGCTTTGAGAGTCGTCTTTCAGTCAAAAAAGGATACGCCCGTGTAACTACTGAAGTGAGTATTTAGTACTAAGTTTTTAAAAATATATTTTCCTTTTATAAAACAATCCTTAAACTGTTATGTAAATACTCTGCAATCGTCCATATTTATGTTATCGAATCCCTTTCATCCCGTTATCAACACTTATCAACCCTTTGGCGGTGCCCTCCCAATAGTGGTGGCGGCTACGGCCAACACCCTGGATTCTAAACTTCTAAAGATCTGAGAAATCGTGTAACTCAATGATTGGTTTCTTCTATAATGTATGTATTACTTATCCAAGGGATAACGCGCGGTTTCACTCTATGACAATCATAACCTAATTTATGTGGGATCCGCCTTGTTTTTAGATGGTCATTAATTGAATGGTAATTGAGTTATGTTGAGTTAATTGAATATAATATTTGAATGGTGCCTGGTAATTTATACGTTTATGAGCTTTTCTACTGTATTTATTTACAGTATTTAGAACTGTTAGAAAAGTTATGCAATTGATTCAAATTTTATTTTTGTGTAAATAAAGAATCTCGTCATAGGCAATGGATTAAGTTCTTATAAAAATATTTACAGTGATTTATGGTTTACATCTTAATATCTGTAAATAAATGCTCTATCTAAATTATATAATAATTCAAAACTAAATGTTTGTATTTAAAATTATCTTATGGTAATTAATGCATCAGTAACATTTGTTACTTATATACCTTCCTACCTATAATTACAAATTAAATGTTTTTTAATATTTCCTATTTTACGTTATAATGTGGAATTCTATTGTATCATGCTGGGGATTATTGGGTATAATATTTTATTTATTTATAGGAGTTTTAGGAATTAATTAGGATTTATTTTCATAGATTTGTATTTTAAGGGATTAATTTAAATGTGGAAGCTAGTTTTTATCTAATTGTGCTAAATATATGAATTATACTTTTTCTTTAACTATACCTATAATCTAAATAGTTGCATAATGCATTGTTATTCAAAATAAAAACAAAATTTCAAATTGTATAGAATAAATTAGGTATAGTACAAACGAATATTATCTTCGACTTGACAATTGTATTTTTAATCCAAGTTTTAATTTATATACATATTATTTATTATTTATTAACTATTAAAAGTGACAATTTTTTTTCATTTAATATAGATAAAAATCATACCAAAATGACTTCGTTGAAGACGTTTGAGGATGAAGACCGAGAAAGTTCATATGGATTTGTATTTGCCGTATCTGGGCCCGGTTAGCAATTTTTGTTTTTTTAAAATTTTTTTTTGTATTGATATATGTGTATAAATTTGTTTTCATTACTTATACTTGAGTTGATTTTTTTATTTTAGTTGTTACGGCCGAAAAAATGTCTGGATCAGCTATGTACGAATTGGTTAGAGTTGGTTACTTTCAATTGGTTGGTGAAATTATTCGTTTAGAGGGTGATATGGCTACAATTCAGGTAAACTAAATTTAAATTATTATTTTATTGTACAAATATTAACCAACTTTGAAACATAATTATAAAGGTTTATGAAGATACATCTGGTGTAACTGTTGGTGACCCGGTCTTAAGGACTGGAAAACCACTTTCTGTAGAATTAGGACCTGGAATAATGGGAAGTATTTTTGATGGTATTCAAAGACCATTAAAAGATATTAATGAGCTTACCCAAAATATTTACATCCCCAAAGGCGTCAATTTACCTGCTCTAGCTCGTAATGTTTCATGGGATTACAATTCGTCCAATATCAAGATTGGAAGCCATATAACTGGAGGAGATCTTTTTGGTCTTGTTCATGAAAATACTCTAGTTAAGCATAGATTAATGTTGCCACCTAAAGCTAAAGGAACAGTTGTGTACCAAGCTCCACCTGGAAATTATAAAGTTGATGTAAATATAATTTTAAATTCAATGTACTAAAACAAAACTACAGTGGTTTTTATTTTAAAGGATATTATATTGGAGACAGAGTTTGATGGTGAAAAATCGTCATTTTCTATGTTACAAGTGTGGCCTGTACGTCAGCCTCGTCCAGTTACTGAAAAATTGCCTGCTAATTATCCACTTTTAACTGGCCAACGTGTATTGGACTCACTATTTCCGTTAGTTTAAAAATATTAGTTCGTGTATATATATATACAGTTTTTATATTATTTTAGTTGTGTGCAAGGTGGAACAACTGCTATTCCTGGAGCTTTTGGTTGTGGAAAAACTGTAATATCTCAAGCTTTATCTAAATATTCAAATTCAGATGTAATTATTTATGTTGGTTGTGGAGAACGTGGTAACGAAATGGCTGAGGTAAAATTTTGTATATATTTATAAAATTAAATTTCCTTGATATCTTACCATATTTATCTCGGATAATAGTTTTAAAAACTATTTTGGTGTTGAAGGCTTGTGGTGGAGAGTATTGTGGTATAGGAATAATACTGTTCATTAAATCAGTCAATTAAAACTGATCAAAGTTGCTGACCAGTCTTAAAGTGAACAAACTTTAAATATATATATATATGTATAATTAATATTAATACAATTTAATTTTACCTAAATTAACTGAACCTTAAACCAGTCTTAAAAGTTACAAATATTTCTCAGTTGAAATTACATCTTTTTGAAATTGTGATTTACTGCTCTTTTTGTAGTATTTTCGCCATTTTTTTGTAACAGTCAAACTATACATAATTTTCTCCACCAGTAATTCTGAATACATTTTCTAAATTTTAGTTTAATAATTTATTTCTAAGTTGACAATGAACCTATAATTGTTTTATTGTTTTTGTAACTTATTTAATGTAGATATTTAATCTATTACCAGTTTCTCCTTAAATCAGTTTTATTGATAATAAATTAATTTGTATTAATTATTTTTTATTAATAAATTAATTTTGTATTATTAGGTATTAGGTGATTTCCCAGAATTGTCTATTGAAGTTGATGGTGTTACTGAATCTATAATGAAAAGAACTGCATTAGTTGCTAACACTTCAAACATGCCCGTAGCTGCTCGGGAAGCATCTATTTATACTGGTAGAAACGAATACTTAATTATATTTGGAATCTAAAAAATATTATAAAAATGTCCAATAAAATACTCCTGGATATTAAGACTCTTGGGTTCCCTTAAGAGTTGTCTTAGTTTGACCTAGTATTCTGCTTGTAGAAATTATGAGTATTATTAATTAAATACCTTTTTTTTTTTTTTTTTTTAATTTAAACAAAATATTTTAACAATTTTTAGGTATTACATTATCTGAGTACTTCAGGGATATGGGATATAATGTCTCTATGATGGCTGATTCAACATCTCGTTGGGCTGAAGCTTTGCGTGAAATTTCTGGTCGTCTTGCTGAAATGCCTGCTGATAGGTATTCAATGAATACAAATATTTATCATCAATTCATTCGATTTTGAAAATGTTTTTGTTTTTTTAATTTTAGTGGGTATCCTGCATATTTGGGAGCTCGTTTAGCTTCATTTTATGAAAGAGCTGGCCGAGTAAAATGTCTGGGTAATCCTGAACGAGAAGGTTCAGTGAGTATTGTTGGAGCTGTTAGTCCCCCAGGGGGTGACTTCTCTGATCCAGTTACATCAGCCACTTTAGGTATTGTGCAAGTGTTTTGGGGGCTGGACAAGAAATTGGCCCAACGTAAACATTTCCCCTCAATCAACTGGCTCATTTCATACAGGTAATATTTTAGAATAAATTCTGATTTAATATGCTATCACTGATATTTATCTACAGTGTGATTATTTCAAAGCAATTATTTTTAACATCAATAGAATAACGTTGAATAAATAAATCTCAAGAATTTGTATTGTTTATATTATCTATAATTATTCATGTGTTTCAGGATATTCTCAGTTTGAATCCATAAATCTCTCATGCTAAACTTTTAAATTAATTAATTTATATTTTATTACCTATTAAAAAAAAATGCTCATTAAATCAAGTGATATTATTATAAAACTTGTAAAAATTGAATTATATTGTATCAAACATAATACTTACTATTTTAATTGTTTAAATAGTTCATCGGAACAGTACTTAATTTGTATACCTTTTTTTATTTGAAATAGAATATATTATAATACTATTTGAAATAATTTTTATTCTAGTAAATATACACGGGCTTTGGATGATTTCTATGACAAGAACTTCCCTGAATTTGTACCTCTAAGAACCAAAGTAAAAGAGATTTTACAAGAAGAAGAGGACTTATCTGAAATAGTACAGTTGGTTGGTAAAGCATCGCTAGCTGAATCTGACAAAATTACATTAGAGGTTGCTAAACTATTAAAAGATGACTTTTTACAACAAAACAGGTATTTGGTTAAAACCAATTATAATAATATTACTATTATCTATCATAGATTATTATGTTCATATTTTCTATTAGCTATTCACCTTATGATCGCTTTTGTCCATTTTACAAAACTGTTGGAATGTTACGAAATACAATCGCTTTCTATGACATGGCCCGCCATGTTGTTGAATCAACTGCCCAATCTGAAAATAAGATAACTTGGTCTGTTATCAGAGATAGTATGGGTAATATACTTTACCAGTTATCATCCATGAAGTTCAAGGTAAAATCTAAATCTTGTGCCAAAATAATTTTTAAATTAAACATAATTATATTATAGGACCCAGTTAAAGATGGCGAGGCTAAAATCCGTGCCGACTTTGATCAGTTATATGATGACATACAGCAAGCATTCAGAAATCTGGAAGACTAAAAAGTTTATTTTACGTTAATTCACCGTTATTCAAAAACAAAATATTAAAAGTTTGTAAAAATGAAAAAATAATATATTTTAATAACTTGTTATTGTTTACTCCAGCTTCATACAAAATTAGTGCACATCATAGATGAAACTGGTAATGGATGTGAAATTTTTTTTGTTTTAAAATGTATTGTTTATGTCACCATCTGGAGATATTTCTATTTTTATGTTTATTTCATTTTGTTTGTCATTCCATTTTCGTAGATTTCTATGCTAGTAAGTGAATTTATTATTTTATAATTTATTTTTAAATTCGACAATAAGCAACCAAACCATATGAATTTTATAAATTCATTGATGTTTCATCATTAATCATTATTTAAAGATATGAATATACTCATTATGTAAATACAAATTACTTATCACCAGATTGCCTATTTTACTTTGATAATGAAATAGTTCAATTAAAATAATTAACTATTCTATTTTCAGGCAAATTTAAAATTTTAATATAATGATCAATTAAATCTAAATTAATTATTTTTTCCATAAATTAAAAATAGTAGTCAAATATCATAGTGTTTATTTTCTTGAAACCCAAATAATTATTGTCCATGTTTTTTGGTGAGCCAAATACGTTTTTTCGTCATGAATGATTGTTTTGTTGTTTTTAATTATATTATAATTATATTATAGTTTATGAATTATATTAAATAATGTAGGGGTTTTATTCTTATGAAAAAGATACCATTTTAGATTACTCAGTAAATTAAATATTTGTAAAATATTATTAGGTAATCTGTTATCGATGATAATTAACAAATACATTCCAAATTTATTGTATCGTTTTTCTTTATTTATAATATCCTTTTGTGTTTTATATTGTCCTTATCTGACAAATACTTCTACTTGTTTTGTATTTGCAGAAACTTTTATAGATTCCATAATATTAAATATTAATTAATTCTTTTTCTTCTTTGCCTTAATCTCAACTACTTGGGGATGGCCTAAGTTTAATTAAAATTAATATTATTATAATATAATATTTAATTACAGTAGAACCACAATCATCCAAACTGATTGAGACCACACCTTGTTCAGATAAATAAAAGTTTGGATACCTACTATGAATTTTTTTTTAATTTAAAATGTTCATGGTAAAACGCTTTAATTAAACAATAATATGTATACAAATGCCGCATGTTGATATTTTGTTTAAATTAACTTAAAACTTATCAATTTTTATGTCATACATATATTGGTAACGTAATATTTATAATTAGTGAAATGATAAAATTGGTATGTTAGCTGTGATAAATCAATTGATTTATAATGGTGTTCAACTAAAGAGGGATCATATAAATGAGATTCAGGTAATCGAAGTTCTCCAATATGTTAATTTTACATGATAATTATTTCAAATTTCAAATAAAAATGTGTCAACTTTTCATATTAGAAGCACACAAAAGAAGTGTTCAATGGAAGAATTTGAAAAAAAATAATTGGGATAAGATAGTGTCAGAGTGAACTATATATAGTGGGCCAAAAATAATAATTTGTATAGTAGATAATTATAGAAAATATATTGAAAATAAAAAACATAAATTGTAGAATGTGTTTCTTGAAGTATATTATACGATTGGTTTTAAATTAAAAATGTATTATCAAATATACCACAGTCAAAATCTAAAACGAGACAGTATACAAATTTAACTGAAGGAATACATCGAATATAGAAATAATTTATTTTAATAGGACAGATTATTTAAAATTAGATATTAGACATAGATGAGTTAAGAAATATAAATTATGTGTAAATTATTATTTATTACCTAAAATGTTTTGATATAAGATATTTTTAAAATATTAAAATTATTTTTCTTTATTTTATTGTATATGTGTAATTATTTTAAAACTGAATTAATCTAAATGTTATTTTAATGTATTTAATACTTCTAATTCTGCATTAATATTAAAACTTATATTATGGTTATTTTCTAATACATGTTTAGCAAAATTTGAATTATACATAAATTTAATACAAACTTAGTATAAGGAATTATTCAATCAAAAAATTGAATTATTAGTCAAAACTATTCCACTATAGTAATAAATTATATTCGCAAAAAGATGGGTTAGTTATGGGTGGTCCTTTAAGTGCTCTTTTATCGGAAATTTACAACCAAAATTATAAATCCAATAATATTAACAACAAAATATACAGTCCATATATAAAAGCATATCATAGATATGTTTATGACACGTTTATTTTATTACACATACATAATGAAATAAAGAAAAATAATTTTAATAATATTTTTAAAATAATATATCAATACATTTTAGATAATAAATAATAACCACATAATTTATATTTCTTAACATATCTATTTCTAATAATAACTAATTTTTAATAATCTCTCCTATTAAAATAAATTATTTTTATATTCTATGTAAAGCAACCAATTTGTAATTTTTTTTTTTATGTATTTCTTTATTTAACATTGAGTCGCGTTTTACATTCTGACTGTAATATACCTGATGATGATTTTTTAATTCGAAACCATTCATATAATACAATTATAATACTCCATGCATTCATTCAATTATTTATTTTATTTTTATACATACCTACATTTTGTATTTATTATTTATATATTTATTACTTTATTAAATATACATTAAACATTTTAATAATATTTGTTTATTATTTCACTTGTTTTTTCGTTCACCGGTTTTTCCAATATTTTGAGAAAATTATGGAAAATTAAAAATTTACCTCTTTAAAGTATCTCCCCAGGCAAATTTCATTTCAGTGCTATCATTGTAAATCGGAACAAAATTTCTAGTAGAAAAGTTGTACACAGAGAAAAAAAGGCCAATATTTTTCACTAATACCTACATTTCGTACTTTTTCTGACATCTTATCCTGGTTTTTCGCTGATTCAGCGAACAGTGAAATCTGTCTTAACATTTTGACGGACACTTGTAATATAATTTTTACTGTTATATTAATAGTGCTATACCAACATCCAAAATCTATGTAAATTGTCAGTGTGGACTGCCGTAATGTGACAGTCCTCTGTCTTCCATTATTTGATAGCATTGAAAAGATTACTGCTTCTGCAGTATTGACGTAATATGACATTTTACATACTACTGCTACAGCAGTAATGTCCGTCAATGTGTTAACGGATACATCTCTCAAAATAATAGGGCCCCAACAAAAAGATAGGCATGCCAACGGATTTCCACATGTCTATAATGGATTCCTATAACAGACACGGACCGTAATACTTATGGACAATACCTTGATAACGCACAATTATCTTAATTCAAAATCTAATACGTTGCAAACGTGTACCGTGTACAATGTACATATTACGCAACAGTGTCGCTGGTCTATTTCGAATACCGATTATGACATATAGCGTGTTTGATAATAACGATAAAAATTGATTGTGAGGACGAAAATAACCAAAAACGTGTGTAAAATGTAAATAATTAAAGGCCAATCAGTGTTTAATTCGTATCGCTTCGTTGTTATAGGATTGATTATACGTTTTTCTCTATTAGTTTTATTTTTTTTTTTTTGCAATTACACTTTCCGTACCTCACTATTACGGACACCGGTCTACGAAGGACATTTTTTATGATACCTTAACTGTCCATTATATACAGGTTTCACTGTCTCATGAAAAACCACTCAAAAAAGTATCATGTAGATTAATTTCCTTTCAGAAAATAAGCTACACTTGAAACATCGGAGCTAGATTATTGGTATGAAAGTTTACACAACAAATCTAAAGGTGTTTTACGATTAAAATATTCCGACTGAGCAATGGCTTGGGTTTCTAGATTCACCCAAAATGCATTTGCTTTTTCCTTGTTTAGGTAAAAGGGAAAAAAATGCAAACAATTTTATTAGAAACCCGGGTTTGAATCCCGACCGCTAGAACGACAAGAAGTATGTTTATAGGTATAGTTATCCATTATATAAAGAAAATGTATAGTTATTTAACATAACGTATAATATCAGAACTTAAAAAAATTATTATTTCGAATTTTGTCAGTTCACTAAATTCAAATTTCAACGTTCTTAAATCGGCGTTATACATATGTTCAAAAAAAAAAAATTGAAAAATTATATTTATTTTTCACATAATTTTATACTCTAACGTTTTTCTCCAAAATTTGATATTAAAATTCCTTTATATAAAAAAAAATACTAGGTACATTAAACTAAATTTTTTTTTTGACCTTAAAGTAAGACTTAATGAACCTCCTGTATAATTTCTGTTTAGTGTAACAATTTTACGACACAATACATATCGAATAAAAATTACATAAAACTAGCAAAATTAAAATGTCTATAAATTGTTTAAAAATTGGCTTAAATTTGTTGAACATTTTAACACGTCTAGAAAAGACAAATATAAATTTTCTGCAAAAATTTCAAGTCTACGAACATTTTTAACTGACTTACAGGCAGGCCCGCAGAGATGTGGCTCACTTGATGCAAAATATTTTTAGTGTCAATATGAGCCGTAGGGGGCTTTGCTCTCCACACCCCCTAACACTAATTGAATGACATATTTTATCATCAATTATGACTATAACAAAGTAAAACGACTTATTTTATTTATTAGTTCTAGTAAAAATGTACATTCTTGTTTACATTAATACATTATTAATTATTGAAAAGCAGTTCCAACCGCTTAGAACTCAATTCAAACCTTTGAATTATGCCTTGTAATTGCTGTTCAAAATATTCTTTATTTATGAACCTTTGTCAATGAATATTAATCGGACTTAAACTACTTCACCTTTCATTTCCCATTCTGTTTCTCAGCCATGTCTTTAAATACTGTAATATGCTAAAAATATAATGAAAAATTATTTTGTAAGAATAATATACCGAATAAAAAATGAGAAATATAATATAGAAAAAAATTACCTAAAAAATCTTTCTACTAAACATGAAGTTGCAGGTAAAGCAATGGCAATTTGTATAGTCATACATACAGCTGGATAAAATGTTTCATAGTCAAGAATATCGATCAGTTTTATGAATATAAATATATAATAATACAAAATTAAGTTGAATAAACAATTTATATTTTGTACCTACATAGTAAAAGTGAATCTAAATTAGTCAGATTACTGACTAATATTCTAATCAGAATACAAGTTGTGTTACATTTACTTACCAAATATACACAAACTATAAATTATTAACTAATAGTACTAACTAGTAGTATAAAGTAAGAGTAAATACTTATAATATATAGTCTATTGCCTATATAAATTTATCTTGAAAACTTATGTTTCTATCTTGTTCTTGTGTCTTTCTTTTTTGTTGAAGAAATTTGTAATTTTTATTAAATTTCGATTATTAGACATATTTTCTAGTAATGTTCAGCTTTTAATTACCTAATAGTGATTATCGATGACGATGATTGACGATGATTATGGGCGTACTCACGGAGGGGGGAGGGTTATGGGATTTAAATCCTCCCTGCATTAGCTGTCTTTATTTTGAAATTAATTCGTTTTAAATTTGTAAAAGATGTGAAAATTCATTGTCACATGGTATAGTTTATATTTACAATTACAATATAAATATATTTGTTGCATCAAAAAATTATTGATAAATTATTAAAAACAATATTTAATGTCATAAATAGAGGAGTGTACGCTAATATCCCCTTAAATACTTTTTTAGAAATTACCCACAAACGCCCCCCCCCCATTGTAATTCCTAAAAACGCTATTGGCGGTGATAAATTTACAATAAATTGTGAGACATCATTTCAGGGCAGCATTTTGTCAATTGTTTGATATTCGCATGCGATTTTAAGTTAAGGGAAATTAGTATTTAAATTTACATAAAATGAAACATTATATAAGTATTTACTTCATTTAGTATTAATTAGTTTTGTTGACTTGTAGATGTACTTAACCTACTCAAATACTATCTCAATGCAATATCATCAAATGATTAGTCGCAAGATTATAGGTACCCTTTTTATATATTTGTCATCACTTTAAATGACCATCATCCATCACTAAAAGTATTAAAAGTGTTGAAATGCTGTCAAATGTCTTAGTTTTTGATTACGAAAAAAAAATAACCACCTTTGAATTATGTATACTGAGTATGAATATTATATAAAAGATTATTCTTTTTTTCCAATCTGTATAGTAGTTATTTTTATAAGCGTTTTAAGTACAAATGTTGACACAAATCATGTTCATCCAAACTTCATTTGGAATTATTTTCAATAGTAATGATTAATGATTGAGTACAGATATAAATCGTAGTTCTAAATATCCTATCTTCCAACCTACAACAATGGTATACCTGTCAGCAAAATCTATTAATTTTTTTTATCCAAACAAATTACGATCTACCAGGGCCAACTTATTAATAGTTTAATATGTCTGGATAAAAAGTTTGATGGTTTTTCAGAATATAAACTTTTAGTTGGTCACTTCTTAAGATCATAATAGCATCAATAATTTGACAGGACTTTCTGTGTAGTATATTTTTAAAATAAATCGTGAATACTTTCAGTAATCTGTGTTTCGTCATTATAAAAATTAGGGGACATACAGTAGGCGAATAAAATACATATTACAGACCTATGGACCTAAACATTTTAAATTCTGGGTTTTTAAAAACACCAACCTATCTATAATTGTTAGGTTTAGTTAAGTACAGTTTAACAATCTTGCAATCTTTATTAGGTATTCACTTTCTACAACAATATTTTTCAGAAAGTGAATGATTTTTAATTGATATTTTTTAAAAAAAATTATGCAATTATATCTATTATATAGGATGGTAGTGAAGTAGATTTGTTGGTGGTCAAAAAATAAATAAATAAGGATGGAATGAGTTTTTATCTGCGTATTTTTATTGCAAGATATTTGAAATCTTAAGAGAATTTTTTTTTTTTTAAATATTTATTAGAATATATACAATCTATAATAAAGGTTACAATAAGCATATGACCTGAAAGCTTGAGGAGAGTAGGGTACCCAGGAGTAACATTCAGACATGATAAATGTTAGCCTATTTTATATCCAAATATTATGAGTTAACATTTTTTATTATTATTTTTGTGTATCAGTTTAGTTAAGCTAAATCACAACATCAGCGCCTCTTAAGTATTTTTGGCAGTTTCCTAGGAATGTTACTGAGTTAAGTGCAAAGATAAGTGGATTCTAGTGGTTCGTAAGACGAGAACGGAAATGCATCCTCTTGCAAGAGGATGTAGTTACTTTGACAACAGTTTGTAGTCTTAAGATATGAGAAATTAAAAATATTTTAATAATTTATACTAAAATACATCTATATAATTTGTTTGTAAATATTTTTTTTATAGCTTTTAACTTCATGTATTATTATTTTCAGCAGTACAAATGACATGTTTGTTTTAATTGAATTGTTATTGTTAAAGGAATAATGTGCTAATTGATCAATCAGCTATAAAATATAAATTACCAAAAAATAATTATTTACATTTTACATTTTTTTTTATCAACAAAATATTTTATAATATAATAGAATAGTACAGTTTTTACATTTAAAATAGGTAAGTCATTATTTGTAATTTATATTTAAAAATAAGATTAGATTAGGGAACCTAACCTACATAATATTTAGTCACATTTTTTCATAGTTATACATGCACAAAAATTTGACATAGTAGCAAGGCTAAGCTACGCATGGTTAGTAGTTTCCAGTACATATTATCTAAGTACACAAAATTGTGGTTGTTAGAAAAGTTGAGCACAACATATGAAGCACTCACTGCCATCAAAAGATTTTATTTATTGTTATTATGCTGAAATAATAATAGAATGTAGGACATGGTGTGACTGAGGTGTAACTAGATTGTGGATATGTGGTTAAATCTGTCAACAAATAATTGTTGAGTAGTCTGTGTGAGTTTAGCTTTCATTAAAAATATAACATTTATTTACTTAGAAATTATCAAATAAACTTAATAGATTTTTAACAAAATGATTGTGAAATTATAGTACATTAAAAATAAAACTAATATTATAAAACAAAAAAAATGATATTGATAATTTGTATCACTTATTTAAAGAATTTATACATTATAGTTATAAATCAGACTCCTATCATTAGTTTATGATCTAGAAATAAAATATACATAAACAACAAACTAGTATATAGTTCTATCAATATTATAATAATATATGCTAATAACCTTTTAAATTCTACATTGTTTGACTTGTATTCATTATGTAATTAACCTAATAACACATAATAAAACTGTTTTAAGAATTAAGTACAATTTATTATAGATACTAGATGATAACTAATAACAATTAAATAATTAAGCATATTTTCTTTTGCTTTTGATCATTAATTTTATAATGCATTTGTGTACATACTGGATATAACAAATCACCTATTTCTAATTATAACAAAATATATTTTAGAAAATATTCCAAATAGCCAATATTGTTAAACATTTAAAATTTATAAAATATTGGTCTCTTCAGTTTTACGAAAATGTCGTATATAGTAATGAAGAATAAGTTTAAATCAATTAACATAATTTATAACTTCTTAGAATTATAATTCTCATGATGAATCACCATCTCTAGAAACAAAACTAAAAAAGCATAATATTTTATTAATAAAGTTGTTTAATTATAATAAAACTATTTATATACATAAATTTGGTGTTAAATTTTTATTTATTTAATTTAATTGTAGATATTTACCTATATTTTAATTTATTATAATTAATCCAAAATTTAAAGCCAATGATATCAGAATTAAAATATTGTAAAATAGGTATTAAATATTAATGTAGTACCTTTCAGATAATAATCCATGTTGAGATAATAATCCTCTCAATTCATCATTTTCCATTCTTAGTTCAGCATTATGCCTATTAACAGCTTCCATTTGTTTCACACAATCCATTAGTCTCTGATTAGTTGATTTTAATTCATTAATGTAATCACATGCTTTTGCTAAAATTCCACCTTTGCTCTAAAATGCATAATATTATACTATAAAAGGCATTTTAACTACTGTATTTGTGTTTTATAGTTATAGAATTATATCTGTACACAATGATAAATCATTGCTGACAAATCAAATGACCAAATTAAAACTCATCAATGACAAATATTTATAATTCAAAAAACCAGAATATTTTGAAATTGTTTAGAAAAGTCTAATATAAGTATTATCAATATTTCAGATTTCTATGATTTTTTTTAATTGAATTATAATAAAACAAAAATACTGAAAAATATAAAATGTCCTTATTTTTTCCCAAATATTAAGAATGAAAAATCAAATCAACTTTCAAATGAACCAACTAGACAAAATTTTCTTTCAAAAAGATGTTACACTTGAAATTTGAATTAAGATTTCTGTCAGAAAATCAAAATCAGAAATAATGAAACTTTTATTACCTTTAATTTGTCAGTTTTTCTTATATGATTTTTCTGGTTTATCTCAATTATTAAAATTCCTTGGAAAATCAAAAAATGACCTCCTCAATGCACCAACTAGATCCACAATGTTACAAAATCTCTTATCACTTTTTGATTGGAACAAAACTTCTGATAGAAAAACCGTTAATAGACATAAAAATAAAAAGCTCATATCATAGTAACACTAATATATTCCTAGTTGCGCAGAAAATCTAATTACCTACCGGAAAATATTTTCAACATGAAACAAATCATTCACATAGAACACCTGCTGGTAACGATTTTCTAGTGTTTTACAAATTTATATAATATTTTAGAAATAATACAATGTATTTAAAAAATATGATTTTTTTGGAGAATTTACTTCTATAGTTTCATAATTTTTGACCTCGTTATAATGGATTTCATAATCTTTTTTTATTTTCAATTTATAACAATTAATGGCACTTCACTTTAATGACATCATAAGAGTCTATAACTGGTTTATTTTAATATATTCACATTTATTTATCATCACATATACCACAATTTAACATTTTCAAAATGTAGAGAAAGCTCACACAGTTGAGGTCTAATATGCAATTCCACATTTACACCATAGGCCAGTTCAACCCTGATACTCATAGAAAAAAAACCCATATTCTAATAACATAATAGCTAATGTAAACTAATCAAGAATAAAAGATATTATTTTTAATTAAAATACATACCTGATTATCATAATTAGTTTTGTTTTCTTCAGCACAATCTGGTATAATTTTGCTCATATACATTATCCATTGATTGATTTTATCACGTCTTCGACGTTCAACTTCATTATGTGTTAACCGTCTTTTAGCATCTCTCTTTAAACATTATTTATTATTCATTTAAATCTTAAATTAGTTTTAAACACTGAAGTTTTAAATTTAGAAATTTACATTATATGAATGTACTCACTGATACAATAGTACGATCAACTCGTTTATTTCTAGATATTTCACTATTAAGTGGAACAATTGGTCTTTTAACTGTTGTTGTAGTTGTAAATAAATCATTAATTGGTTGCACGACATAAAATTGAGCTATAAAAAAATGGGTAACAGATACCCATAAAGTATAAAAATTTCATAATTTTTCCACATATTAATAATTATGGATTGATTAATGTTTGCTCATTATTTAATATTAATTATAATATGATTGAAATATTGTTTTTACATAATTACAATCTTATTTTAGACTAAACTTATGGGACAATAAGATTGAATTAATACTAAGTGTTTATATTTTATGTCTGAAAACTGTTAGAAGCATATAAACTTTAGACTTAAAAAAATACATGCAAGTTTACTCAAAGGTTTATGTCACATTTTTTGAGTATGCACTTAGGTATATATTTTACAATTTACACATAGGTATATGTAAATTATTAGTCCGGACATTATATACTACCCCATCAATACGGAAAAAAATTATAAATGACCATATCATGCAGTAGCATCATTTCAGAATGCTCATTTTACCAAATTGGACCAATGAAAAAATAAAAAATAGATTTTAAGAATATTTTAACTGTTTTTTTTTATTAAAATTATTAATACTCATAAAATAAAACTAAGTATGTAATATCAATTTTAAAGCGTGGTTTCAAACATTGAAAATAATAACTTTGTTGTAGTACAATTGATTAGCTATACATATTAATACACAAAAATTAATAATAAACTATATGAAATGTAATTTTCACTAAACAAGACACTTTTTATGAAAAAAAAATACTCATGTATGACAATTTAACTCCATTCATGAATTATATTATTTGTGCAATTAGAAATATTTCAAAATAGGAAGACATAGGTATAGTTGTTTAAAACAATCAATGTATTAATATTTTAGTTAATGTTTATTACTAACTTGAATTGCTGTTTGGTCTTATTTCATATTGTGTAATATTTGCATCGTTTGTTTTGCCCAAAACAATCCCACTTAGATTACCGTGTTCTAAAACAGCAGCAGTAGTTTGTTCATCAGCTGACTCAAGAGATCCATCATCATCAGTAACTATCAAGGTTTGTGCGCCAAGAATATTTTGTTCAAGTTTTATAAGTTGACCATTGTTGCCCACTTTATATGTATTACTAAAATAAATATAAAAATAATATATTATTAAGCAATTTCATGAATATTAATAAAAACTAATGTTTTCCAAAATCAATAAAAAAAAAAATTAGTTACATTAGAATAATAAAATTAATTTTACCCAACATTTAGTGAATCATTATCAGATATTTTAATAGACATAATTACAATCGAAGAGAATAAAGTAATAACTTTACTGATGTAAAAAAAATTAAATTATAAATGTTTTCCAACTTCCAACGAATTGTATTGATGTAAGGATAAGGAGAAAAAATTTAACTTTTCAAATAAAATATATCAGAACCATAGATTATATTTGTAGGTATAAGGTTTATAAGGTTTATAAGTTTTATGATTAAAACATAAATATTTTGATATTTTGAGTTTGATATAGAATCACTCCACATGGAATGTTGTCATGGAAGAATAAAATTAAATATTTATTAACTAAAGATAAGTACCATTTAAATATAACCGCTAAAATAATAATTATTATATACCATAGATATAAAAACATGTATATATTTTATACACATTTGACTCAAACATAAAACAGTCGTTACAAACAGACATTACTTTTATTATCTAATTATTCGCACATTAGATTAGATGTAGGAATTAGTAGCTCTGTGCTACAGTCACTATTCAGTACTGTGGCTTTTTATCGACTTGGTTGTTTAATCGCGGCTGATACTATGTAATAGTGTGATACTATAAATTATAATTTGTGATAACAAAATATATGTATTAATAATAATTACCTAGGTGCCTAAACCTGTTTTAGACTAATTTAAAGATTGTCTAGTTTGTGGCCTAGAGACCAGTAACGTACCAGATTAATTTGATCCTGCTTGTCTATGAGAATATAAATAAGTGTAGACCTAACGAGAACATTATGAATTCATACAATCAGAATGAAAAATGTTATCATGGACCTTTGCCTTTCATCCATAATTTACACCTTATATATACTGTTATATGCTCCAAAGTCGTATGAAATTTATATAAAATATGTTTTATGTAGTTATTGAGTAAACTATGATTATAAATACCTACTTATAAGTTAAAACTTATCTTATAAGGATAGTATTTCAATTTAAATTATTTTAAACAATTTTTATTATTCAGTTCATAATGATTGAATCAACAGACACTGAGAACTATCCTATTTAGGATAGTTTGTTAAGGATTTAAATATATATATATATATTATGTAGTATACAGTATATTATTTCATTACATCTATATAAAATATTCTTTATAGTTAAAGTTTTATTATTATTTTTAAGTAATATAGTTACAATGTAAAATATAAATTCTGTTAAAAAAACAGTTTTTTTTAAATACAAATACAATACGAATAATATTACAATTAATATAATTTGAAAATATTAAGCTAAATTTTTTGGTGTTGTAGTTATTGAGCCAAATTAAATTTCACAATTTTTTTTTCAAAAGTTTATATTGTGCCATATGAAAAAAAATAATGAAATATTTATAAATGTAAACCCTAAAATATAATATACTACTTGCCTGCATACAGGAAATATTAAATAATATTGATTAAGTGATAAACAAAAATGTTTTTATAAACAGTTTTTATTTTTACTATTTTCATAAGGGAGTAAGAAAATAAAAAATAAAATAGTACTAATAATACAATTTTAGTGTTAAATAAATTATTTTATTAAATATGTTTGGCCAGTGTTTATGAAAAACACAAAGTTAATCAAAACTTAACAATAATTATAGTAAAAACAAAAAACCAAAAAGGAAATTAGAATATCTAAAAAAAATAACATAATAAACATATTCAATTGATACCCACATGTTTTATTATATTACCAAAAATACTTTATGGAATGAAAAATAACAAATAATACATAAATATTAAGTAGAACGAACATAACACCATATAATAAAACATAAATGGTTTAAATATTTATTCAATAGAGAACTAATAAAAACCAACAAATTATAAAGAAAAGTACATGTAGAGTTTAATATATAGGTCATTCAAGTTATTAATGATACTGTTTAAATGTAATGTATGACAATCAATAATTTCATTTCATAAGAGCAGCAACCACTGCTTTAGCATTCAATGATTTGAGATCTGTATAAGTTTGACCAGTTCCCACAAATACTATTGGCTGACCTGTGATGTATGTCATTGAAATAGCAGCTCCAACCTTGTAGTACAAAATGCAGTGTATATTACAAATATTTATTTGTTTAAAAACAAACATTTAATAATTTACCTTGTCGTCAATGGTGTCAAATTTTGTGAGTACAATTCCATCAATCAAATGCGGGGTAACTGAAGATGAATAATCAGCTAACGCTTGATTAAATTTTACTAGTTGATCAACAGCTTCATTTCCGACTAATGCTTCACCAACAAACAATACCATATCTGGTTCATTTACTTTTATCAACTAAAAAATATCATACATTAAGTATTTCAAATTAAACATAATAAATATATATAATACATTTACAGGGGTGTTATTTTTTTAAATGGTAAATAGTGCTTCAATAAGTTCTATGTGACTCTTTACTTTAAAAAAAAAGAAAGTCTTAATATGACACCAATTAAAACATGTTCATGTAAATAAATAATTACTTTTGTTAAAGCTCGCATTAAGGGTTCGTTATCTTGCATTCTTCCAGCTGTATCAACAAGAACTACATCATAATTAGCTTCCTTGGCAAACTGTATTGCTTCCATAGAAATTCCAGCTGCATCTTTTCCTGTACACAACATTAGATGTTTTGTTGTTAATAATAATTCATATTAATTATTTTACTGTCATATGAATAAGTTAGTTAATAGAACATTATAGATCTTAATTAAGGTTTAATATTACAATAAGTACGAATTTGTTATATTTATATTGTTACCATATTTCTTTCATAGTTGTCTTTGTTAACTAACCACATGTATTTTAAGTTTACTATTGTTAATTTATTAATTACATTATACACATTTATGTTAAAAAAATCCTTGCCCAATAAATAAATATATAAATAATTGGTTTTATTTTACTTGAAATACAAAAATTATTTTCAACTAAATATGAGTAAAACTGACCATATCCTTTTTCATAGAGTTGCACCATTTGTTGGTTATTATGTCTTTTTGCTGGATGAAGTGCATTCAAATGTCTAGTATGAGTTCTTAATTGTTCAACAGCACCTGCTCTGAATGTATCACAAGCTGCAATTAGCACTCTCAAATTATTTTCAATCAACCAAAAACAGATCTGTAAACATGAAAAATAATATACAAATATTTATCACTACTTCAAAACTTAAAGGTCTTTTTTTATAATTTTCAAATTTAATGAATACGTGCTTTTGCAAGATTGGTGGATTTTCCAACGCCATTCACTCCACAAAAAGCAATTACATAAGGTTTATTATTTTTCTTGGCCATCATTGCATCACGCAAAATATCAATTCTACGTTTTGGTGACAAAATGTGTACTAAAGATTCAATCATAGTATTTTTCACAGTTGATGCAACTGATTCAAAGGAACCAAGAACCTAAATAAACAAATATATATATATCTAAAATTTGTCTTTAAATTTATACTATTTATTTTTATACTTTTCCTTCAAGTTTAGAGGAAACAGAATCACAAAGCTTTGTTGCTATTTCAATAGCTACATTTTTAGCTACCAAATGTTCTTTAAGCTTTTCTAATACTGGATCCATTTCAGCAGCGGTCAAATTTTTTCTCCCGACTAGGCCTCTAAAAAAGCAAAATAAATACAATAGAAGCTACTTATTAGGAACACAGATAATTGATACAATCGCATTATCGAAAAAAAATGTATAGGGAAGGACCAGTTGTATATTAAAAACAATCAGTTAATTGACATGTTTAACCTTGGTCCCAAAGTGTTCCTAATAAACGGCTTCTACTGTATATATATTATACTATACTATATATATATATATATTTAAATATACATATTCAAAAATCAATAATTTACTTGAACATTGCAAATACACTTTTTTGGCTTTCCTTTTTTATTTTACGTTCAGCAGCTGTTTCAAATTTCTCATCAGACTCCTCGTCATTTTCACTATCAATTTCTATGTCTTTAATTACACCAACCATTTTTCCAACAATCTAAAAATAATAAATTATAATTTTTTAATATTTATTTTTAAAAAAAAATGTTTCCCTGTGATCAAATTTGTTTTAACTGTTATTTTTAATGAAATTAAATAAATGAATATCAATAAAACATATCACCTCATTGTTTGTTTCAATTTCTATATTGCTGTCATTATTATTTGGTTTGTCCTTTGTATAATCTAAAGCACTTATATCTTTCGTCCCTCCGCCTAATGGCCACGTTCGAGGTTGCTTAGTTGCCTTAGGAGAAGGTTTTGGGACTTTTCTAAAATATGTTTGTATGAATAAATAATAAGTATACAAAAATTAAATACTTCAAAAACGTACTCTTTATTTTTTTTTAACTTATTGGAACTCATAGCACCCATTTTTTGAGCCATTTTTAGTCGATTTTGAGTAATTAAATCTTCTTCGTTAAATGAAATACCATTATGAATAATTTCTTTGTCATTTTTTTGAGTTTCAACTATTTTCACTAAATATTTATTATTCAAATATGGCATATTAATCATCAATTCCAGATTTAAGATTTAGTACTTAACTAATACTATTTTAACAGTATACAGACTGATCAACAACATTATACATTCATTATCTCGGATATTAATTTTTTTTTCGTCATTTGTTTTTTCTTAGAAATTGTAAGAAATAAGTAACTCTTAAATGTTACAATAGTGTTATGTTTTGTTATTCTTATTTTTGAGGATAAAGAAATAGCCACCTATTTTTAACCATTTTTAAACAACAACCTAAGTAAAAAATTCCAAAAATTAATGAAGTATTAGTTAAATCAATTTTGGTGTTGTAATTTCTAATTTTTATCAACTCCATTGTCGAGATCACAGTTATCTACTTAGATGGGTGAACACTATATCATCTGTGATTTATGTGGCATCAGATTGAACTAATAGCGGTAGAGGACAGAAGGCCTAATTTAACAACTGAAAGATATACTTCTTTGAGTTTTTTGAGTAATAGTTAATAAATAGATACATTTTCAAAGATCTATTTATTATATAGCTTTTTATAGTTAATGTTTGTGTTTCAAATTACAACAATTAACGGTTTGTGAGGTATCAATTTATCTAATATCCTTACCATGACTAGTATACACTATACAGTACAGAATAAACAAACAATGGAGCGTCAATTGTGTGACGGCACAGCACAGCATTTTAATGATACTCTACTATTTTCCCTCTACCTAATTTTAAAAGTGGAATATCTCATCCACAGATTAATGGAATTCAAATATTTCAACATCAAAATGTATTTAAACTAATACTCAGTTTATTATTAATAGAATTTATAACATAGATTACCCTTTAGAATCAAAAATAGGTAGCTGATTCACCCTCAAAAATAAGGACAATATACAATTTTAGAATATATGATTCTAAAAAGTTTTAAAATAAAATATTTATTGAAAAAATTAGTAATTCATGGAAATTTGATTATAACATTAAATTTAAAAGATCCTGAATATAACTACAATTTTAACTTACCATTTTTTTTATTTTCTTTATTATCACCTTTACGTTCAATCATTGATGCTACAGTTTTTTTTGATTTTGTAGATTCATTAAATGTACGCATCTGCTTTGGGATACAGGCCTGGACCCTACCCCATTCTTCAGCAGATTTAAGAACTTCTTTGAAATTTTTACTGAATTCAAACTCCTAAATTCAAATACATAATGTTATAAATATAAATTATTATAAAATTAAAAAGATTTGAATATTAGTATACTATAAAATAGTTTTTCCGAGCTAGGTCATTTTTATATTTATCTCTGAACTCCAGTTGTATGTCGTCTAAAAATTTGTCTACATAAGACAGTTGCAGTATTTTTTGAAATGCTATTACAAACACTATGTCAAACTCATTGTCCAATCTATATTTCAATGATAATGAGTCTTGTTCATAGTTGTTGTTACTACTTGTTCTTTCCTGAAATAAATTATTTATATTAATTGCTAGTCTACAAAATAAATCCTTAAACATACAAAAATTATCATAAAATATATTAATATATTCATTTTAACATATATATAATACATATAAAGCATAAGTACTTTGAAAATATTACCAATGAATAAAACTAAATTAAGAATTTAAAAAAAGAAACTTTATTTTATTCATATATATTCTTTATTATTTTCATTAAAATATTAAATTTTACAATCCAATGTATTATAATTCTACATTTGCATAACTATATACTTTACATAATGTAATAACAAGTTAGTTTATATGGTTAAATGACCCTTTATTTATCCACAAGATTGAATACATAATATTAACTTAAAAAGATATACCTAATGACAAAAGTGATAGTTTAAAAAATTGAATATTGTTGTGGAATTTAAATTTTTGATAAAAATAGAGATTTTTAACAATTTATTTAATGGCTATTGTCAAAATATTCAAATACGTTTTCCAATATTACATATGCATGTACCTAATACTTTTCAATAAAAATAATTACAAGTCATAACACAATCCTATGTTGTACTAATATAGTAAATACAGTTTGATTACCTGTAGAATAACAGTTTTGATCAATGAATTAACCGAAGGTGCAAACAATTGACTTATTTGACTGGTGCTTTGGAAACACCAAAGGACGATGCCGCCTTTGCTAAATATTGTAAAAAGATCCAACATTTTAGCACAAAAAACAAAATGTATAAATTAAAGATTATTTCATCACAGTCAAAGTATGTCGAAAAACTATCATTTTTTATTTACAATTTATTAGTATTTATCACTTGGTGTTTACGTAATCAATTTCACTTGTCAAACAGCTGTGTATAGCTTGCTAACATGAGACGTGTAGTTAACGTCATAATGTCCAGTTGCTACCATCCACGATTTGGTTTTTGATGTGATTCTTCTAAAATGATAACACAATATCGTGGGTGCAATTATGCCAGTGTATGCCTTGTTCGTGTGTTCTAACTTCTAATTTTATGGGTAATCCGAAAAAAAATATATGTAAATAAAATCCCCAAAATAACTGTACTATCAATAATAATAATATTTAAAAAAAAGTTTACAGACATACTTAAATTTATTTATATGTATAAATTATCGTCTAACCAGATTGTCATCTGTATTAGGTATCCCGTAAAACATTACCCATAAAACAACAAACAATAATTTTCAGACCAAAAATACCTAGAAACTGGTTTTGGGGGATGATAGTACAATAGCCTTAAACAGTTTAAACCTTCTCCTAACAACGCAGACCATCGGTCCAGTAGTTTTTAAATTCTGAATGAAGCGAGGAATGTATTGGTTTTACAATGATGTTTATGGAGGGTCATTTTTGATTTTCCAACAAGTTTTCGAAAATAATTGGGAAAAACCGAAAGAAAATTATAGGTAAACCAGCCAATATTTACATCGCGCCGTGGCATTACCGTTCTAGTTTTCTACTAGAAATATTTCAATCAAAAAATGAAAAAATTGAGTTTTTTCTTTTAACACAAACCTAGTCATTGTTCGTTTTTGAATATCTAAAGTATTTTTCATAATAATTGGGAAAAACCAAAAGAGATGAAATAAACGACTTTTTTCAAATTACGGCCCGGCGATTTCATTATTTTAAATTTGTATGGCTTGTTTTCTTCCACAAATATTGTTTCAATAGAAAAACATCATGAGATCTTTTTTGTTGAATTTTTCATTTAGTTGGTGACTTATATAATCGTTGTTTAGTTTTCTTTGTAGTTATTTTTAATAATCGAGCAAAACCAAAAAAAACTTAGAGAGAATGGGAAAGTTTACGAAAATAATTAGATTTTTATTCCGGAATTCAATTTTGAAGTGTAACTTTTAATTTTTTGTGATTTAACATGAAAAGACATGAGTTCACTACTAAAAATAAAACTACCGTATCAAACTATATCATTCAATTTTTTTTTTTTATAATAGAATAAATTTGAAGTTCCCAAATTATGTTAAATTTTCGTAAAAACTAAAAAATTAAAAATATATATTCAAACATAATTTTATTTGTAGTTACATACCTACCATAAAAAATATGTCATGTGTCAATAGACACATATGCAATATTATTCTTTACACGATTGGGTATATGCTCTAAGGACCAAAACGCACAAAATGTCTTAGGTAGGTACTATATTTAAAAGTGGTAATAATATAAAATTAATTAAAAAATCAATTAATTATAAATTAACCACCGCTTTTTCAGTCTTTCTCTACACCTCTTCCCATTTACGTTTATTCGCATTACAATTCTTACAGCTTCAGATTGCTCTCTCTTCATGATAATACCCAAATTATCTCAGTTTATTTTCGATCATTTTGTCCACTATTGAACCCACGTCTAAGTTAAGCACTTCTTATAAATGTACACGTCCCATATCCTATCTTCTCACGTCATTCCACTCATCCACCTAAGCAAGCATTCTACATTTCTACTACATTCAATTACTACTTAGCTTAATCCTTTGTATGCTTACCATTCAACACATCAAAGTAAAAATCAATTTAAACAGGTTCTGAGAGCTGTACAAATTTGAAATCTACGATTATAAATGTGTACAAAAAGAATAAAAATCGTTGGTAAAATTGTTATAATGAATTTCCATGTTAGCAATGCCAAACTAATTAACCAGCTGTAACGAACAAAATATGTATTTTACAATTATGCTCAGCTCAGCCTAGCCATTAACCAATTATCGTTATTAAATAATTTTAATATTAAGACATTTTTCTTAAAAATTATTTATTTATTTTTATTCAGCTTTCGTTTAATCGCGCTACGTATATCCATTACATATCATGAATATTTAAATTAATCGCATATAAGACTATAAAAACAAGACCTTAAATAATAAAATAATTAAGTAAAAATAAAATTATTAAAATGGTTAATTATAATTAATTAATAAATATTTATTTTTTATTTTTATTTATATATTTATTTACGTATTTATAAATATATATGTCTAATAATAACCCAATTTAAATATATCTCCTATTAAAATAAATTATTTGTTTGTATAACGATAAATTTATATAATTTTTTTTCTATTCATTCATAAAATTTTTTATATTCAATCGCGTTTTACATTTTGACTGTGATATACCCCTAATAAAGAATTTTTAATTCGAAACCGGTCGTATAATACACTTATCATAATACTCCAGGGGCGATACATTCATTCATTTATTTTATTTTTATTTTTTTACATACATTTTTTAATTATATATTTATCTACTATATTTAATACCATAAAAACAAATTGTATTAAGTAAGTATAATTCATATTAACAGAAGTATATAGTTAATTAGCTATTATAGTTACTACATAAATTGTTGACCAATAAATAGATAATAGATATCTAAAACTGTCTATTTTACAGTTTTTTTTTGTCTAAAAATCATCTATTATTAGACATTTAAAATTATTTACACAAAGTATTTTTCAAAACGGCTAGCAGACATTACCTACATTAAAAAATGTTCTAAACCGTTTAATTTCAGTGTATACAATAGACTTTAGACGTATGGACGTTTAATATACCTACCTAAAATAGATTATGTGTGTTTGCTGGGTAGTTACTAGTTACTGGGTAGGCGCCTGCATGGTGCCGACAATTTCTAACTAGGTCCAGTCGAGTCTTTTGTATGCACATGAAATTCCAACCCGACCCTGTCCAGTATTTGGCATTTAAAAGCCCTGCCCGAATTATTTTTATGTTTTTAAAACTTTATTAACTTTGTATCATGGCTTAATATATATTTAGCCATGCTGTGTATGACATGCTCTATATTATTATATAAGTTTATGTTATTTAGATAAATGATACACTTTACAGAAGGTACCTAAATAAAAATAAAATAATTTAATCGTTTTGAATATATATTTTGATGGATACATATGCATGGTGTTAATGGTGGAGTGTGGACATACTATATTTTACTCGGTTGCTGTGGAAACCAGTCACCATAACATTTATCTCTAAAACTCACAACATTATTTGATTAATTTAAAAATGTTTCATTTATTGTGCAATTATTAGTTCTTTGTTCAAAACATAAACTAAATGCGAATATTTTACAAGTATTTAAATTACTAAAATGGTATAAACTAGATATCATTTAATATAATACCTACATATTTATTTTTTTCTTAGTATATTAGGTATTTTATATAAATTATTAATAGGTATTTAAAATGATTTTATTCATTTCTGTTTAGAAAATTTCAAGTTTATAGAAAAATGTAAACACATCAATAATTTACTTTTATGGTTTAACAAAACTATGATAAATTCGAATAATTTAGTATATTTATGCAAAGAAGTATTTGACGAAAATAGTGAACCAACACAAATCGGTAATATATATTACTATATTAGGTATGCCATACCTACCTATATTTTACCTATTCTACTATGTGCCTATATTTTATTTTATAGAAGTATATTACAGTTAATTACTTATTAAAATACTTATTAATAATTTATAGAAATTGAAGAACAAGCATCTCGATTAGGAATAGACATAGTGAAAGAATTCCATCTTTTAAGTATTGTCAAACAATGTTTACTTGAACCTTTGCCTTCTAATTGGTTTCCTTGGTATTTTAAACTATAATAAACAATAACTATTTTAAATTTAAATGAATAATTTTTATTATCAAGATTTATTTAACTTGTTTTATTATATATTTCATAGTTACATTGAAAAAGAGAATAAATATTTTTATTACAATAAACAAAGTAACACATCACAATGGGAACACCCTTTAGATGCGTATTATAGACAGATGGTCGAAAAAACACGTTTAGAAGACCAATCAACCGGTGAGTGGAAATTAAATATCTATCTAGATATTTAATAATTTATACAGTAACTTAAAATTATATAATTAATTAATCGTAATGTAAAAATTTGTAAATATGATTCTAGGTCAAGATATATCATTAACCATTATTTTAGAAGAAGATAATTCTCTTGACACTATGTACCAAACGAAAAATGTAATTAAATATTAATAATTGTTTTAAATTATATGTATTTTTTATACTTTTAAATACCTATAGAGATAATATACCTACTAGATTTACCATTTTAATATAACTATTTATCTTACAAAAACATTGAAATATATTTATATTTTAAATATAGGTAAAAGATAATAGTTAAATCTTTGCAACTTATAGGTAACCTAAAAATACACTAAGTGCAACAATTTGTTTATTTACATTTATTTATTTATTACTGTTTAGATAGAATTTTATTTATGATAATATTAAATTTAAAATTTTATTTTAAGTTATAGATATATAGTTTTATATAATTTCAATATTTGTGATTTTTAAGACCTATGAAAAAAAACCTACGACTGAGAAACGAACTGTACGCTTTAAGACTCCTATAGAAGAGTCATTAGATTTCGATAATTCTGATGATAATATGAAATTTTTAGGACCTATAAAGTAAGTTTAACCAAATTAATATTATAATAATCAAAATAATAACAAAAACAATTTAAAATCCAGGTTAAATACACCTTACACCAATGCATCAACCACTTTACAAAATTTAACACCATATTCAACAACGAATAGTACTTTTGACATAAAAAATACAGGTAAGAATATAAAAAAATATTAACTGTACTATTTTAAATAAATTACTATATACACCTATCTACTCTCATAATTTGAATGTACTTAAAACGTTATAGATAGGTTAAGTACCTCTATTAAGATATTATTTTAAATTTTATATAATAGATAAATTTTGGCGTGTCAAAAAAAAATTCCTTCAGTGATTAATGATGATTATGGTGAGTGATGGTGACAAATTCACAAATAAATCGTACGACTCATGATTTAAGGGTAGAATTTTGATGATTAAAAGTGCTAAAAAAGTCACATTTCATGTTAAAATTGTACACTCGTTTTCATGGTGGTTGTCATTTTTATTTATCAGTAAATATCGTTCAGTTATAACCTAAAAATGTCAATTTCTGAGTATGAAAAAAAGTACTATATTTTAACTAAATATATTGAGTACACATATTATATGAAAGATCATCCTTTTTTGTGCCCTGTATATATGTACAATAATAGTAGTAGGTAGGTATTCTTCTACCGTACCTAAAATAGGATTTTTCAACAAAATGACTTAGGGCTTTAATAATGTTCTGTTAGCACTAACTGGGAGTTTTTTTGTCTCAAACCTTGTCGAATGATGATAACACTAAGTAGGTACTAGGCATTCTATAACAATAGCTCTTAGTTGCATAAAAACTATAAAATCTGAAGATGTGTTTTAATGTCAAATGTGCAATGTAATTATTTATTTAGATATATCTAGGTTAAAATTTAACAGTTAAAACATTTTGAGTTGTGAAATGCATTTTGTCGTATTTAGGTAGTGCATGCATCCATTATGGGATTATATTATTACAAGATTAATATTTGTAGGTACCTATATCAAAACCGACATGCTATTTAAATACCTTTTTGATTAAAATTTTCTATCAGTTGCTATATAATACTATGCAAATCATAAACTTATAATTAAAATATAAATAATGTTATAATTTGATTGTTTAGGAGGTCGAAGTGTATTTTCCAAATACAATATACTACCAAACAAAGATGAATTGTCTAGAAAATCTGATTCGAGTGAAAATATTAAACAAATTAACAAAAAATTGAATACGAGTATAGATTATGGTAAGGGAAAAGAACAATTACGAAAGATTGATATAACTCTGACAGAATCATCTGATAGATCAGAAAGTACTTCATCAGAAATCCGGACTGAAAATTTAAATAGTGATTATGAAGTCAACGGTAATAAATAATAATATAACTTTTATTAATTATAATATGTCTTTATTACCTAAAATATAAACCTAATTAAAATAATAGTTGTATAAAATGTATTTACCTAAACATAATATACATAATTTTTAAATGATTTATATTAATTTAACAGATCAAAAAGAAAAGAATGATGATATTATTACAACAGTTCAAATAAATAAACAACAGGAAAAAAATGATATTTTCAACGATATCAAGAAATCCACTAACGTTAATTTCAATGAATTTCAGACCTCGGAAATTGTAAAATTGCATAATCTTAAAAAAGATGATTTGGTTAGTGATAGTGGAAATTCTACAGAAAAAGATTCTAAAGTTATGCAATCATATATAGCTAGTAATAGTTTTCCCGCTACTAAAAGTAAAATAACTAGAATAAATCAACAATTTCCATTAAATCAGTCCATAAACGATACAAGTTTCTCAAAGATAAAACCTACCGAAAGCAATGAAAATATTTTTGATTTGAAACCTCCCAGTTACAAATCAAATAGCGAACAGGAAAATCACTCTAATATTAATGAGAAACAAACATTTTTGAATACTGCACAGATTAAAATTATAATAGAAAATAATTGTGAATTGATTAGAAATAAATTGGAAGACAACATAAAAACGAAGGAAAACATATTCAGGTAAAAATATTATTAAAGTTTATCGATACAATGAATATTTGTTATTTATAAAATTATATTATGCATATAGGGAAGAAATTATTAAAAAAATTAATGACATCATATGTAAACGAACTGATAATTTTGAAAAACACATGGAAACACAGTATAATGAACTTTTTTCTAAAAATGAGTCAGAATTAAAAAATATGTAAGCATTTAGAAAAATATAATATCTAACTTAAAGTTTAGGTATTTTATCTATATAAATAAATATGAATCGTTGTATATAATAATATGAAAGATCATCACTTTAGACCACTTCAACCATATTGGCTAAATTTTTTTTTTGTATTATAATTGTCAGCCATCAGGACAAAGTTTGTATGGAAAAGAATTTGGAGAAAATCTACCAGAAAAGTCGTCAATTTGGATGGTATTTTTGTATGAAAATCTCAATAATTGAGTTCGTAGGATTTCCTATTGAAAGCAACCTCTCAAAATTCAGTTTTATGTATTTTAGATTTTGAGTGTAGCGAAGAAGCTTATGGTTTTACAAAGATGTTTATTTTTTTTCATTATCTGTGTGTAACTTTTCTACCAGAAATCTTGCTCCGATTTTTAAGTATAGCACATTTTCTGGAAGGAAATTAGAGTGGGGAAGTACTGTAAGAAGTTATTTTTGAATTTCTCAGTTGTTTTCTTAAAAAAAATTTGAAAAACCGAAAAAAACTGGAAAATGTAAGAATTATAGATATTAGTTAAAAATATTACAGCCTTCTTTTTTCCTGTGAAACAACTTTTCTAAAAACAATTTATGCAACTTAAGCAACTTCGATATAATGATAGCAAACATTTTTCAGAGGAAATTTGAATGGGAAGGTCTTTAGGGAGTTAATTTTTTGATTTTCCAAGAGTTTTTTCCAAGCAAATATGAAAAACCGGGAAAACTAAGAAAATCGGTATAACATTAAACAAATATTATTAAAGAATATATTTAAATCACTTTTAATTATTTTATTATAATACAACATATATATTGTTGACAAAGCATCATTATCAACTGAACTCCGCTCAGAATCATTTTTTCGTAAGCAACAGTTTATTGTTGCTTCCAGGTGACATTAAATTACCTGTGGCTGCACCTGTTCACACTATCCTAGGGTGTATTTTTGGTAGGTACTAAATTCAAATTATTTTTGTTGATTTATGGGTTACTTTGGTTACACTTTTAGTCTTCTGAAGCCGGACGATACATTTTGCACATGAATCTCCGGGCAGAACAGCAAATATAGATCTATATAATGGTTAAGTTAATAGCTCTCTAACGATTACCTTACACATCAAATGCAGAATATTTTAAGATTAAATTATAAATAATAGATAGGTATTTTAGAGAAATCTAGCCAAAAAGATTAGATCAATAAGTCTACCTAGGACAAAAAAAAATAAAAACTATATCCAGTATCTAGTATACTTATTTTAATTTTTAAAATTCTTATATTATTATTTTTTTTTGAACCTGATTAATGTCTGTTACTATTATTTAGACAAGAAAAAATAGAAAATTCATTAATTGAAGAATGCGACAAGAAACACTTCAAAAATGTTTCAAATATTGAACAAATATGTGAAGAAAATCTAAAAAAATTTCAATCAGATTTAATTCATCATGCAGAAATAATTAAAAATAAAATACATGTGGAATTTGATGTAATTACTAACGAATTAAAAAAAAATTTTTGTGAAAAATCTGAAACAGTAACTGATAATTGGAACCAAATATTAGGATCTTATGCAAATCTCGAGTTGGAAAAAATTAAAAATAATTATGAAAAGACCACAGAAAACATCAAACGTGACACAGATAATGAAATTTGTCGGTTCGATTTGGAGTTCAAAGAAAAACTTAAAAAAATGTCTGAAGATAAATTAAATAATGTCACCGAACAGTTGGACATAGCTTTACGAGAAGAAATAAATTTAGTTAAAAAAAGGGTTAATGAAAAATATCAAAATGAATTAAAAATTAATAAATCAAATACATGCACCAGTTGTTGTCCAGAACAAGAATTGAAGGCTGAGTAAATTAAATTAACAACAAATTCTATAATAGTGTTATTAACTTATGTTAAGTTAGAATTTTGTAGATTTGATTCATTTTCAGATATCAAACTGGAGATACTATGCAGTATAGGATCAATTATAGTGACATAAAAAAAAAAATTGAACATTGCTCAAATGAATTGAACGATGCTCTAAAATTGATCAACTTAATATTATCACCAACCAGATATACAACAGGTGAATATAAATGATTTTTCAGTTTAAAATAATATGTAGGCAAATGTTTTTTTAGAGAATCATACAGTTTTAAGTTTAAATAAACATAGTGTATCATGTCAAACTGATAATATAGTACTGTCTCATCAAAATCAAAAACTTAGAGAATATCCATATCTGGAATCTTCAAATGTGTCAATGTTTAATAGTTTATTTGGTAAGCATAATATTTTTAATGTTGATACTCATTAATAATGTTTTATTAACATTAATTATATTAAACTAATTTAAAGATGTTAACACAAAATATGTTGATTATTGGAATCAAGTAAAGATGTCTAGAGATGTATATTGCCCTACACCAGCCTATACGCAAATGTTAAGCCCCTTGGATATGTTAAATCAAGTACCTATATAGTGATTATATTTCTCATAAAATAATAATAATTTTTATTACATGAAAATAATTTTAAATATTTTATTAGGAAGAACTAAAAGTGAACGCAGCAGAAAAAAATATTAGTCGTTTAATTGAAACGTTTAATAATCCTAACAGTAAGTATCTAGTAAATAGTTTACTATGAATCCCTAACAGTACAGACGGTCGTGGAAACTGACTGTTTAGGTTCCAATTGATGCTCACCAGAGCCTCCATCAGGCAGGGTTGGACTATACCTGTAAAATAAATATTTCCCGGGCTGTTTTTATAAGGTTGTTAAACCCTGTTATCAGGATGTATTTTGACCTTCTGGGAGGAATTGACTGTTTCAGTCCAGTAATTAATGTGTTCCTGTTAGGTAACTTTCTATTTTAGTCCTTTAATCAATATATCCCCCTTTACTTAAAGACGGGCAGGTGTAAATTATTTAAACTTTCACAGTCACCAAAACACTGTCCATTAATTGTAGGTTCCTGCTTCTCAGAGGAGTTTCAGTTTGAAAAGTCTCTGTTCCCTTATAAAAATCTCGTAATTTTGAGGTATTAACGTATAATATATATATTAAAACACCGCACGTTGTGTCACCACACAAATAATGCTCCACTAGTCCACTACTCTCCCACAACTCAAACTTAAAGGTAGAATATCTCGTCAACGGATTGAAGTAAATTAAAAATTAAAACACCAAAATTTATTTTAACTACTACTCCATCTACTTATGGAATTTTTAATATAGGTTGCCATTTAAAATCAAATGTAGGAAGTCATTTCACCCCCAAAAATTAAGGTGACAAAAAATAACATGAATGTAAAATTGCAGAGCTGCTTGTTTCTAAAATTTTCTATAAAACAAATTTTCGAAAAAAGTTAATACTTTCAAAGATAATGAGGGTCTTAAGATTGATCACTCTGTATTATATTAAAATTTATTTGATAGCTTACACTTCTTTTTAATAATTGGTACCAAGTCTAGCAGTTAGAGCGTTAGGTGTATTAAATCAGGTTAGCATAGAGTCCTATGTTTAATACTCAAATACTCAAGGTGTATTCCAAAACATGGTCAATGTTATTTGTGTTTTTATTTACATATATTAAGATAACTTTTTCTGAACAAAAATAAGATTTTTGTGTAATAATTTCAAGAAGTTTCCTAATTTGGTACGGACAGGCTAACATTTGGGATTCTAAAGACCGTTCTAGACTTTCCTGTACCAGTCCAGAAATTGCTGTTAGAAAAGTTGTCCATAAGAAAAAAAGCTATAATATTTTTAGCCAATAACTACATTTCTTAAATTTTTTTCTCCAGTTTTCGCATTTGATGAGAAAACTCTTGAGAAAATCAAGATGACCTCCCAATGGTACAACACCATGCTGATTTCCTTTCAGAAAAAGTGCTACACATAAATGTCGGAGCAAGATCTCTGGTAGGAAAAAATAAAATAAAAACCTTAGTAAAATCATAAACTTCTTCGCTCCACTCAAATCTAAAATAATTTGATATTATTAAAAAAAATTGTATTATTGCAATGAAATGTATATCTGCATATAATAGAAAATATTTCAATAATTTAATATTTTATACATACTACAATAACAGTGAAATGATAATATACAAGCTTTTATCTTATCGTATCAATGCTGATAAGCATCATTTGGTCCCATTTTCATTCAGATATTTCTGACAATTGTTTACTTGCATTAATTAAATGAAGTTATAATTTAGTGTATGTGTACGTTAGTTATAGTTATTCATAATTATTATAAAATGTCTGAGCCCAAAATATGAAGACAATATTTATTTTTCACTTTAATTAAATAATAGCTAAATATAATAAACATGACTGTAATTATTTTTTAAATTTATTGGGATATCAGTGTTTTTGAAAATCTAAATCTAAAAAATTAACTAACAACAAAATTATTAACCATCAACCAATAGGCAATATATTATAATCACAGATATAATCATGTACTTATTGTTAATGCCTATTTATTTTGTATTTTAGTTTATGAAAATAAATTCAGTAACATATATCAATCGTTAACGCCAAAACAAATAGCGCACAGCCGGACCAAAAATTTAAGAGAATGGCTTTACAAGACAAGACTTGAAAAGTAACAAAATTTGAATTTGTATTTTATCATAAAAATTTCATTGTAACGATTCCAAGAAATATCAACCAATAATAAATATTGATATTTCAACCACATTGAATGGTAAATTTTGATTATTTAAAACACTGGACAAAATCTGACAAAACTAATTCTTAGTCTTTCTTTTTATAAATCAATGTTTTCCTGTCAAACTTTGCTAGTTGTCAAAAATCGTATTTTTTTTTTAATTTTGTGATTTTTATACTATATAGTGCATCAAAAATTGAAATCTCACTTATATTTTGAATGATCTAATAGTGATGATAAATATAGAGCCTAAAACCATGAATCAGTCTATAATAGTGTCTATGGTAAGAGCCATGATTGTTAATAGATAATCGATAATGGATCTGACTTTGATTACACTCAATTTATACTACTAAGTATAACTAATGATAAACAGTGTTTTCAAACATTATTAAATTTCCAGTTCAGTTTAACAATTTTTATATTTCAAAATATCAGCTCCTTCTAATATTATTGAAAATCCCTCTTATGAATATATCAAATTGGATTTTAAAACTTAAAAAATAAATAATCAAAATAAAATTTCAAAAGAGGTAAAATGTAATTTATGTTGACATTATTCTTGGTATCTATGAATTTTTTTAATATATTTAAAATACACATTTTTACAAAATTTGTTTGTGGTTTGCTTACAATAATTTATGGATAATCATATAGATAATTAATTTATTAACTGAAGGTTAATATCTTTATAGATTAGCACCAATTTTGTTATTACCAAATTTAGTTTGATCAGTATCAGAAGACATGAACACATATATTATAGAATATGATGTATTAGTAATCTAACAATATAATATTATGGAAGTGAATTTTTTATTTTATTATTATTAAAAAAATATAATATTTTATACATATAAATTGTCAAGCATAATTTGTTTAATTTATACTAGGGGGATGGGCGATAGTGTATGTTGTAGTCAATTTACACATAAAAGCCAGAGAAAACTGTAGAAATAATGTTTGACTGAATTCAATTTTTAAAACAGATTATGGTTCAATAAGTGCTTTACAGAGATATATCAGAAATAAAAATTTAAATATTTCACTTGTTCAGAATCCAAAAACATACATTTCTTGGAGTCTATACAATACAAAACAATTTTTGCGACCCACCAAAAATTAACTAGGGACTCACCAATGAGTCGCAACACATAGTTCGTAAAACGTTGCCTTAATGTATTAATATAATGGACACTGTTTATAACTCCCAGATATGAGGGTTTAGTCTCTTTATTAAACTAAAAATAATTTGGAATGGTCCAGATATATTCAAATACATTCTATGCTTTCTTTATAAGACGTATAAGGTTCGGTTATAAGACTCATTTTATGATGATTCCAAAATGAGTCTTATAAGCGGTGTTAATTGAATTTTAAAAAAATTAAGATTATTACAATAATAAAACAAACAAATCTGGAAATACAATAAAATTGTAAATTTATTTATTATAATTGTCCTATTATTGTAGCAAGGAATAATAATCTTGAATTTTCTAAAAATAGGTAAGACAACATTAAAGTTTTTTTTTTTTTTTAAATTTTGTGGAACCTACATGTGACTGATAAATTTTAGTTTAAAAGTTAATAGTTATTAATTTTATTTTTCTGTTGAAATAATCAAAAATCATCTAGATATCAAAACAATTATTATTAATTGAACACTAAGGAAATTCTGAAGGATAATAGTTATTAAAATTCAATTTTTATTTAAAAGTGTATTTATTACTTTCAAAGATGATCTTATATAACAGTACTCAATTTTTAATCAGTTTTTGGAATAAGAACAGAAAATCCTGCCGTTTCAGCTGCTAACAGGGCTTGCTTCTTCTTCTTAGCTTGCTTCACCTGAGCCGCAATACGGTCTAAATCTCGTCTGCCTTGGGAAGTGAGTCTACGACCATTGTTATTATCAGCTTTTTCGACGAGCTTCATTTGTTCTAATGACTGAAGAACTTTACGAGCAATTCCAGCAGAACTCCGACAGAAATGGGATGGTCTTACACCATTACGTTTGCGTGCTGTAAAAATAATAATAATACTTAGTTGTATTGTACAAAATCAGAATTTTTATAACAGCAAAACTTAAATCTACAATAGATAATAATAAATATAAATAGATGGCAAGGTTAGATAAATAAATGGTAAAAAATGTACAAAATATATTTAAAAAACAAATATCAGTTAAATATCAGATATCAGATAATTTTTTGACTTGCTCTATATACATGTTTATATTAATTCAATTTTAACCATAATTGGTATATAAAATACTGAAAATCACCAGCGCCCAATACATATATTAAACATATAAGCTTGAAAAAATTGTACGCTCCGGGGAAAATATGCTGTGGTAGTTGATCCACTGAATCAACTTTTTAACAATTACTTAAAGATTTTTCTTATAAAAAATCACTTATTTTAACTCGAGCTTTAGAAAATATGATATAAAAAGGAAATCTGATTTCTGAATATTTTAAACAATGTCTTGTAAGTTTTTACTTAACTTCATATATACAATTATTGTAGTAATGGAATAGGATATGAAATAATACTAGTTATTTTAAATGTATTAACTTTATGCTATTCGAAATTAAACAATAGTACCCATAGCAAAAGGGTATTAATAATGAGTATAAACTAAATAAATTGTGTATTAAAATAACTAATAAGTTATAAACATTCAATTTCAAAAATTATTAATTGGTAAATTATACCTCCAAAGATTTTAGTTAGGGCTCCAACTCCAACAGGTGACCGGAAGTAAATATGTCTTAATGTGGCAGCACATCTAGTGTAATACCAGTCTTCGTCATATGGTGCCAATTCATTAAATTTACCATTTTTCACCAAATCAACCCATTCTGGGGCCTTTAATTTACCACTCCTAAAATTTAAACAAACAATAGATAAAAAATATTAAATATAGATAGTTGAAATAGATTAGGTACATACTTTTTTAAGAACGCAGAAAAAGAAGCAACAAATTTGTGCTGGTCAACATCTTTCAGTGTAATCGATGACATCTGTAACATAATATATTAAATATATAATATATAAACTAAGCTTAAAAAATTAGTAATAATTTACTATATGTTTTGCTTTATAGCCTTATAAGTCATCATTAGCCAAACATATCTAACACTACAGAGAATTTTTTAATTCTCACACCACTAGTAGTGAGAAGTATGATAAAAAGAGTAAATTTTCTCAGTTGATATGTAGGCACCCTAAAGTTAATATTACCAGAGTAAGCCAATAAATTTAAAAAAATATAATAATTGTTAGTTGAAATGTGTTATTGAGGTTAGGTATGAATAAATTGAGACATTTAATGATGAAGTTCTACAAAGCAAAACAAAACAAATTTAAATATTATTTGAATATAGTAATAGACTTTATACTTTACCGTGGAAATATGGTTTTGTGAATTTAGATTAATCAAAATCGAAAAATACAAAATTTAATGACAACAATTGTCAAAAAAAAGAACACCGAATGTCCGAAACCCAAATATTCTTGAAGAGAGTTCGACTGAATGCATAATGTACAAATCAAAATTGTGGTTAGAAAACAGTGTGACCATTCCTTTCGTGAGAATCCTGTGAAACAAAATAAAACAAAGACGTTCTATTTCAATTTATTATCCACTATCATAAATAATACAAGATAATATTATTTATGTCTATTGTCTGCTATCCACATGATATTATGACCTCAATACTACATTGTAAAACTATATAAAGCTGGGATCACACGACGCGTTGCGTGTCACGTACTGTTGTTGCGTGTAGAGCGTGTATATACCGCGCAAAACTCCAAAATTTGTGTAGGAATAAACTATACACACAATTTATTTGAACAGAATGTTGTACTGAAAAATAAATCCAAATACTTTAATATTTATAAAAAAAATAGTTTAAAGAATGAAAAATATTAACACGACAACAAGCCGTTAAATTGATAAGAATAGCCGCACTAAATTTCCTTTAGCGTGTGACACAAAGACCAATATCTGGGAAGAACCGCATGGTGCGCCGCGCATACAAATCTTACCGCTCAATAACAATTAGACGGCGCGTCAACCTTATCGCGATGCACAATTTCACACTCCATTCGACGTACCGTGTGATCCCGGCTTAATATTATTAATATTATTGAGTGGCGACTAGCAAGTTTCTATAGACCACATAGATAATATTATTTTTATTATAACTTTATAACATACTAGCTGCCCGTTCATCCCATAGATCTATAAACTTATTATCAGGTCTACGGTTAGTAGTTACACTATGGTTCATGCAAATATTATCAAGACTTATCAGGATAATTTCCTTTTTATTTAAAGCGTGTAATTAAATCCTATAGGTTATAATATTTGAAAATATTAAATATTAAATTTAATAATTAAATACCTATTGGAATATATTATTATGTTAGTAGTTACTTGAAAGTATATATTTTATAATCATGGGAATTTATAGAAATTTGCTACTGACAAATTTAACTTAAAAATGCTTAGGCCAAATTATTTTGCAGTCATTACATTGCTTACAAACTACAAATATTGAGAGAGGCTTGTCTGTTCAATCACTGATTAAAAATGTTTATAATTATCCATTGTCCATTCATATAATTAATATAATGGAATGTTACACTACTTTTGTTACCTTAAAATAAACTACTATAAGTAAATGTCTATTAAACAAATAACACATTTTATAATTAGGTATAATATTTATATTAAGTAGTTATACATTTTAATTAATACTAATTTGAATAAAAGTTAGTTGGATGCAAAATAAAATTCCAAAAATTTAGCCATAAACACCTTAATGTGGTAAATATATTAAATTTTATTATACGGTTATAATTTTACTTCAATACATATATTTTTTTTTTATTTGTTCGTGTATTTGTATGAACACTTTTAAACACTGAAAATAAACATGATTATATCTCAATTTTTAAATTTTTATTGTAAGTAACCATAGCCTAAGCATGCAAAACGAAGTTAAAAGGGTATACTAAATATAACACATTTCTTGTAATAATTAAGTATTAAGTATTAGGTATTAATAGGTATAGTGTATATTTATCAATAAGCTTTTTAATATACAATTACATAAAAGAAAAAAAAATTGTAAATAATCAATTATTTGTAGTTGATTTTCCTATTCACTTTTTTTTTCAAATTCTAGCCTTTACTTTTTATATTGAAGCTCTAATTTTTTAGTTTTAATTAAATTTAGTAGGTATCCACAAATGTTTTTCCTGTGCTACCTGAGCCATCTAAAAAAAAAAAATAAACCACTGTTTTAGGGATTAATATTCTCCAAAATTGTATACATTTTTTTATCAAATGTAAGGTTAGGTAAGTTGACTAAATTATTGACACATTTTCAAGTCCTTTTTTATAATATAAGTATAGAAATATTTAATTTTGCTATGCTAATTGAACTTCTATGAAGGATTTGTATTAAATGTTTGAGATCTTTTCCAATCAAAGCTATCAATTTGTTTTCTATTAGAATTAAAGTTTTGTTGTTAATTTAAATAATTAAATTTAATATCCATAATTTTAACGGATTAGTTAGTTGACAATGTATTTACATAATCTTATTTTATACATGTTTCATAATGATGCTTCTTGTAATGTATTATCATAAAGCCAATCACCTTCAAGTAATCCTAATGCTTTGCAAGCAGATTGAAAATTAGGATATACTATGCTATTGATAAAATGTAAACTTAGAAAACTGTCCTAGGATAATGCGAATGGATTCAGCTACTGTTATTGGTGTGAAGTTGGGAAGGTAGTAGAGGGGAAATTACATATGATAAACCATTACTAACGAAAAATTGGAGTTCAGTTGATAGTGTTGCTTTGTCAACCATATGTCATATTATGGTAAAATAATTACATAGGTATTATATATTTTCTATATTAATATTTTATTAATATTGTACCTATTATACAGTTTTTCATATTTGTTGAGAAAATATAAAAATGACATTCCTGAAGTACCTTCCCAGTTTGATTTTTGTTTAAAAAAAGGTGCTACACTTAAAAATTGGAGCAAGATTTCTGGAAGAAAAGTTGTCAACAAAAAAAATAAATATCTTTGTAAAACCTTAAACTTCTTTGCTTCACTCTAAATCAAAAATTTCTATTGGGTAGATATAGATTAAACGTGAATATTATTTCCCGATTTATAGAATTGGTGATTATAAATACTTGAAATAAATAATAATATTTGAGTATTAATTATAATTAATAGTTTTAGGTGAAAACCAAGGGACACCATTTTATTGTTATTTTTTTTTTTATAACAATTATTTTTAAATTTGTTGAATAATATATTTAATGTATATTTTTTTTACTTAATATCTATACCTAGTTTATTAATCATGAGAAAAAAAAATTTTAATTTAAGAAAGTCATTTTTGATTTTCCTTGTGGTTTTCTTGCCAGTTTTATAAAATGTATTCAAATTTACAAAGTTTTGTAGAAATAATAAAAATAATACTTCTTATTCTAAATACATTAAGTTTATTGTTTTTATCAAGCCTAATAAAACAAATATAGATAACACCAATTTATAAATAAAAACATTTTTGGTTATTTATCTATTAAAAATGTAGTCCTTCAGTTATGTATTTTATCTGTGTAACTATTTATTTTTCTTCAGATAATTTCTACTAACCTAACTTATTTTTAAAAACAATAAATACATTATACACAGTTATAAAAATATAGGTTCCCATATTATGATTCAAGGCGAAATTAGCAAATCTTTATTATCATGATAAGTATAAGATATAAAATGTAATTAAACAATAATAATCGTTACATATTTAATAAAAAAAAAAAAACTAAATACCTAATATTGATAATTATTAAACAACTATTTAACTAAGTATAACAATTATTAAGAAACTGATCATGTTACAAGATTAGGTGTACAAATTACAAATAAATCATAATATAACATCATAGCTAATAAATAAAACAATGGTGTTTATCACATTTTTACTTAAAATAATTAAGATAAAACCATATTTTTTTACATACAAATATTTACAAGCAACTATACAAAAAAAAATGTTCATAAGAAAAAGTAAGAACTGACATTTAATAAATATTATATTTTATTAAATTTCTTATAAGTGTGTGCAGTCTTTTTTTGGTGACGTCCCAAATGTCTAAGGCAATAAAGATATCCTTGGACTCCATAATAGGAATATTTTTAACAACAGAAAATATTTAAGTTGTAATTAAATTATACAATTTGAGAAAATAGGATTTGTCATAATATGTTTAGATGTCTAGGGGCATCAGTGTCTATTATTATTTATATATATACACAATAGTATATTATATTAATATAAGAAAATGTAATCTCTATTTCCAATAAAAAAAAAGTTGATCAATTTGTATTTAATCAATTAGTTCAAATATACTATATCTGATTATTTTTGAATTTTTGAAAATAGTTTTATTTAATTATTAAACAACATAGAATTTTTCATTACAGGTTTTGTAATTTTTAAAATATTAGTTTATTTATTCTTTCTTCTCATTAGTTCAAACTTTGTGTAGAAATACTTTTGTAATAAGAGAATTATGAAACATGCTGTTTAAGGAGGAGGTTTGTTTGTTTTATTAGTAATGTTTTGTATATAATTATTCTAAAAAATAGTAGGTTATAATAAAAATGACTAATGCCCCACCCCACCACCCTAGAAATATTTGTCTAGTTACAGTACTGAGATGAATCACCATATAAAAATACATATACTAATATAATTTAAAGATAATTTATGTATAAACATATTGTCATATTATTAAGACTCACTTAACCTAAAACAATTTTACTTAGAGGTTGGGTTAACAAATATTTTAAAATTCTTAATTCTTAATAAAATCTAATTTTTAAATGTAAATATATTGATATTATAATATACAGCCTGTCTCATGAAGATATACCTTTTGAATATCTTTGGAGATAATAAAGATAATCAAATTCTGTTTTAATAAAAAAAAAATTTAATTTAAATATAAATATTTGTAGTCCTTATCTCTGCGAGTAAAAAAAATAAAAATAAAATTTGATTATCTTTATTATTTCTGGAGATATTCAAGGGGTACAAATATTTTTGTGGAACGGCCTGTTTTATTTTAAACTTGATACCTCATAACAATTATTTAGTGGAAGCATGGTTACATGGAAAACTTAAATCTTCCTCAAGTATCATTTCACATATACACAATACAACAAAAATTATTTTTTTTAGGAAGATGTGAGGTACTAAAAAATTGTTAATCAATTTATTAAATGTAAAACCTTATGGTGTATGTATTAAAAATTAATTTAAATAAATTTAAATCATATTTTTGTCTGACAAGTAGTTACATTATATTATTAAACAAATACCTACTTATAAATAAGAGATAGAAAAATACTACACTTTTGACCACTCCTCTCTGTGCACTAAGTGGTCTTCTGAAAAGGGAGTTTAAAAATGAAGAAATTTGATTACTGTTGTCAAAGTTATTTAAAAGAAAAATAGGAATATTTGTGTTTAAGAAAATGTAAGTTTAACCATCAAAAAATTAAAATAAGTTAATTTGAAAATAACCTCAAAATGTATACTCCCAATTTTCTTAAAAAAAAATAAAAACAAAGCTGGGCAAGGTAACCATTTTTTTTAAAACTAGTTTAAGTAAAATTTAAAGTTAAATTTAAAATATAAATGTTTTATAATTTATATATAATATATAATAATATAAATTTGAGTAACTAAATTAAGTTATACATTCTCAGGTAAATAATAACTTTTTTTTTTAATTCCCCTGAACTACACTCATAAATGTATTTATGCAAAACTTTTCTGGGTATACCTTATATTTATACTTATTATGTTATAATAATATTCACATAAAAATATGTAATTTTCACCAGAATACAAATGCAAAAAGTATAGGTAAACAGTTTTTTATACAAACAATTTATAAATAACTTAAATTTTAACAAAATAACTAATTCAGTTAAAATTATTTATAATAAGACTAAGTTGATTTTTAACTAGTTAAGTTAAAAGTTATTAAAAAAGTAATACAACTTTTTAAATAGTTACTACTTAGCTTTGAAAAAAACTAGTTTCAATCTAAGTATTCTATGTTGTCAAACAGTACTTCTGAAATAAATTAATTTTTAGTATAAAGAATAATTATAAAATATAGATGTAGTTCTGGATCAGGAATAACATAAAGACTAATCCCCGAAAAACACCACTAAGGGCTGACAAAGGCTTATTGGAATTTTCAGTACAAAAATTTAATTGTTTTTGTTGATGGGTTACCTTAGTCACACAGATGAAACAAAAACATTGGCATTGAACAATGTTCAATATTTGAAAAAAAAAATATATATATTCATTAATAATCACTGTTGTGTTTTGTAAGACATTAATCAAAAATAGTTTTAAAATATACCTATACTTCTAAACAAATTGCAGCACTAAGAACCTAACTTCAAGAAAATATCTATCACTTTTGAAAATGATGGCAGATGTAAACTTGAAACAATCGTTCCTATCCAGAAAATAGTGATAAAAATCAAGCAAAGAATGAAAATCAAACTCAAGTCTCACATATACCGTGCTCTATAAATTGAGCTACCTGACATTTAAATTTTAACATTATTCTCACTAGATCTGAGAGGTTGGTAGAGAGTCATGTGTATGATCAACCATTGAGTAGGCATGAAAGGCTATAATAATAATTTGAAAATAATACATTTCATGAAATTTCCCGGTTTTCCCCATTATGAAAAATCTTGGGAAAATCAAAAAAATAATTCCCTCAAAGTACCACCTAAGTTGGATTTTCTTTCAGAAAAAATACTACTTTTTAAAATCTGAGCAAGATTTCTGATAGTTGTTCAGATAAAAAAACATATAACCAATATATTCTTCACTTCGCTCAGAATCTAAAATCAAAAAAAAAATATGTATATATATATATGCTCATTACTAAAAATTATGTTACAAAAGTAAAAAAAAAACTTCAACTTTAAAATTGTGGGGGTCAACTAAACCCACAACCGCTTGCGTGGGTTAAAGAGAATGATGCAGCAAAATAAATGTTACATAAATTATCTAACAATACTTATGAAATAAATTTATTTTTAGTATAATAAATAATAATTCTTAAAATCATTAATTTTAATTAACAATATTATATATTTTGTAAATATTATGACTTGATATTTATATATATACTACCATTTTATATTGTCGTAAAAAAATAAATAGAAATGACTGAATTATTAATGTGGCAACTTATTTTATATATATAAAAAAAAAAATTAGAATGGCCACATTGTAATAATTATTTTATATTATACTAATCATAATCCATAAGTATACAATAGTCAATATTTTAAATAAAGTAGGAACTGCATAAAATAGCTTCTTAAGTATTAAAATCACAAAAACAACTATGTAACTTTGATAATTTAAGATGAATCTTTTAATAGACAAACATATCCTACAGTTATACCTACTGTATCTCTTATACATAAGAGATACAAATAGGTCATTAATATGATTTTTGCGATCATGAAAATTGACCTATACTGAAATATAATCAATCATAAATAGGCCAATATTGCCTCCTCTATCCAAATTAAAAACAAAATAATCTATAAATAAATTAAATAATTTACGTATTATAAATAGTCGTAGTTTAAAGTACAAATAAAAAAACACTTGTGAACAGTAGAATTCTGTCACCAGAGTGGAACATTAAATCATTATTTGAAAATAAAAAAAAAAGCCATATTAAACTTAAATTAATTTTAATATGTATTATATTAATATTGCTGGACACTTTATATAAACTTAAATTAATTTTAATATGTATTATATTTATATTGCTGGAAAATAAGGGAAATTTAAAATTAGATCTAAAGAAAGAAGAGTTTATCTCTGAAATGAAATGTAAGAAAACTTCTAATTCAAATTTTGGAAGGTATTTTAGAAAAAAAAAAAATTTTAGTATTGATTTCAGTATAAATAATAATGTAAGATTTATTGAATACCTAATACATAATTTACATGATTTCTGTATGGGGAGAGCTGTAAGTGGTCCTTATAGATAAAAAAATAAAACATGTAATTTTTTCCTCCATTTTGATACTTGATAAAAGAAATAAATGTGACTTAAATTAAACCATGATAAGAAGAGTTTGTTACAAGAGGCTTAAAAAGCTATCAAAGGGGTAGTTTTCTTAATTTTTCATTTATTTAAAAATCTATTGCATATCACAATATTGTGTATTGACTCTTGAATATTTATTATCAAACATATAAATATCTATAAATAAAGATTTTACAGTTTTTTTTAAGTACATTACATTTCAAGAAAATTGATAAATTATTAATTTTTCATTTATTTGGCCAAATTGACTTTTTTTTTTATAGTTATTTTAATATATTTGCTGTTGGAAGATATAATAAAATATAAAATTAAACTACATAGACAAATTTTGAACCAAACAAATTTAGGTATTATTTACCACAACATAAATTTAATTGTAACAATTAAACATATTATATTAGATATAAAGTCAATTTAACCAAATAAATTATAATTTTCTTGAAATATAATATATTTACAAAAATTGTGTATGTTTGTAACATTTGTCTGTTTAATAATCAGTATTCAATACATTTTTATGATAAATGCAACAGATTTTGAAATAAATTGAAAAAAAGAACTGCTACTGGGGAGAGGTGCAGCCATTGTTGTAAGTGGGAAGTTGGAAAAGTAGAATACAAAAAAATGATTTAATTTATATCTGTATGAACAATAAAAAATTGAAACAAAAAAACAATTTGGAGCAGTTCGGTAAGACATATTTTGAAATGCCGTAATTTTTATAATTTTCATCAAAATTTGATCTTAAAACATGCTTATGGAAAAAACTAATGCATTAAACTCAAATTTGATTTTTCGACCACTAAATATAACACAATGTACCTTGTATTAAATTTTAAAGCATTTCTCTTAAGTCATATAATTTTATTAACAGATACATACCAAATAAAAAAATATATAAAAATATCAAATAACTATAAATAGCCTAAAAATAGCTTGAATGTTTTGAACATTTTACCATATCTACAAAATACTTATATTGGATTTTGTGAAAACTTAAGTTCTCTAAAATAATTTTTAACTGATTTAAAAAATAATATTTGTGATAACAAATAAAACATGTTAGGGCTGTTTTTACTATGGCCTAACCGACAACATTTTTTCTAATTAACTGTCAAAATAATCGCTGATTAGCTTCATCACTTTACATGACATTTTGATAGTCTCTTTTATTAAAATAAATTTAGTCTTTGTAAAAAATATTATATTTTCTATGTATATCTCATTTTGTTTTTATATTTTTAATTAATTGTTTAAGTATCTAGTGGTAATTTTTAAAATCAAAGCCAGTGTTAATAAAACATCCAATAATACATCAGGCTACTTTTCTGCTTCATATTTAATTATTTAATATACATTTTTTATGTTTACTTCATTTTTCATTTTTAATTAACAAATGTGTAGTAGTATTGTTAGTTATATTCTTTATTACCATCCTAATTATATTCTTGGCTTTTTTTCATAAATTCAATGACCCCCAGGGTACCCACTTGTCTTCCTCCAGACTGTGTGTATTAACTAGACTTTCAAATCTAATGTTACTTTTTAATGTATAATATTATTAGTTGCATCTTCAAATACTCTTTTAAACAAGATACAACCTTTTTCTACAACAATTGCATCAATATAACTACGAGCATTATTCATTAAGGCATTTGAAAGAATCCATTTATTTTCATGAGGATTATATATTTCAAATGTATTTAAATAGGATCTTTCATTAGTGTTTCCTCCAAATACATAAATAAAACCATTCATTACTACAGCACCTATAACAAATATTAACAATTATAATTAGTTCATAGGTATATTTATAATTATTATTTTACCAGAATATGATCTAGGATAGTTCATATCAGCAATGGATACCCATACTTTGGTTTCTGTACAATATGCCCATACACTTTTCAAATAATTGTTTTTACAATTTCCACCAATAACATAAATACTGTTATTTAATGTGCATATAGCAGCACCTTCCATTATCATAGGAATTTGGGCAATGGAATCCCATGTATTATTTGAAGGATTGTAATATCCCGATCCATGTGGTCCAATCTAAATTAATAGTATAAATTAAAATTAACAATTAATGTATTATGATTTAGAATTTCAGAAATATTGAAATCTGTAGACATTTAACCATATCCAAATAAAATAAAATAAAAGCTATATTTAACTCCTATAGTAACCATATTTTAATCAATTATTTATAATACTTAAATTATTAGATTTCACTTTAAAAACATTTACTAATTTAGAACAGGGGTTGCCTTCTTTTTGAACTCTACTGGATCAAATTATTTTTTTCAGACCAATATGTACAATTGTACAACCATTATATTATTTTTTTTAAAAGTGCTATTTAATTAAGACATTTTTAAATATTTTTTTTATTAAAGGTAGAATAATTTAGTATTTAGTAAGTATTACAAAGTAAAAAAAAAAAATTAATAATTATGAGATTTTTTTTTTGTTGGATATTGTCAATAATTATTTCAATTTCCACATAAAAATTACATATGTTCACCATTCAGAAAATGGTGAAGATTGTCTAGTATAAAATGCGATCTGAAATTTTTTCACATGAGAAATGGCTTGTTTACACAAGTAGATTCATCCAAACATACTTAAATATTTTGTCACAATAATCTTTATTTTTGAAAACTATTGTTATAAAATAATAATATAAGTGGTAACATAAACAATTGTTTTTATGAATATTTATATACTTATAATTTATTGGACCAGTTTGAAGATAAATAAGATGGTTATTAATATAAAACAAATTGGATAATAAATACAAAAATAGAGAATATTGTTTAAATATTATAGTTTAATTATGTTTTTTGAAAGAATAGACAAAACATTTTATGGATTTTTTAAGTCAGAAGTTTGTTACCATGCAATAACCGCTATTTACTAATTGCCAACCAAAATTGTAGAATATTGATAGTCACTTTAAAAAATTGTAATTTAAAATTAAAATTTGAGTTTACTAAATTTAATAAATCAAATAGTAATTCAACTGTCCAGATACAATTTTTATGAAGTTCTCTAATCAAGAAAGACCAAACAATAAGTTATTCAGATATCTTAATTTTTATTAAACGTTTTGGGATTAGTAAATAGTTGTATTAGATAAAGTTTCTATTGGAATTAAATTTCACTTGTTTTGTAAACAAAATTTAAATAATACTGAAATAATGGTATATTATTTATTTTAAAATACTTGTTGTATTTGAAAATAAAATATAAAAACAAATGGACATACTTTGCACAATGGGTGGGTCACTGTTGTAGATCAATGTTGGGAAGGTTAAATGTATATCTGTATGTAACGATCAATCATTGCTAATAAAAACCAATTCTGAGTGGAGATTAGTTATATATGTTTTGAAAAGCCATAATATTTACAATTTGAAAATAATACATTTTGTAAATTTTCCCATTTTTTTTTTTTTTATGAAAACCCCTGGGTAAATCAAAAAATGATTTCCCTAAAATACCACCATAGTCAGATTTCCCCGCAGAAAAAGTGTGGCATGTGAAAATCAGAGCAAAATTGTTAATAGAAAACTTGTTCACAGAAAATAAAATAAAAAAATAAACATTATTGTAAAACCAGTACAATCCTTAATCTGTTCAAAATCTAAAATAAACATCTAATATACAAAAAAAATAAAACTTACAATATATATTAATCCATTGACACAGGTTACAAAAGTATCATTTCTTAATGAAGAAATCCCTTTTTCTTTGTTTTTGATAGCAAACCATCGCTTTTTTTTTAAATCAAAGTATTCCACAGTATTGAAATATGATGGTCTATCAGCAGCACAACCACCAATCTAAATAAATATAAGCACTATTTAAAATTGAATGACACAAAAATATTAATGAAATTGGTAAAGAGGAATCTTTTGCATATAGTTGTTTAACAATAAAGATAGTGATAAGACAAAAAAAAAAAATGTAAGTTTGTCAAAAGAAATCTATGCATTTTAATTTAATTTACAAATACAATTTAAGTATACTTCTCGAATTCAGTATTACTTATAAAGATTAAGAAAAATTTATAATTTATGTTGATAGAATTAAAATAAAAATAAAAAAACTTTGTTCATTGAAATTTAATAATGATTAAATATAAATATCATGATAAAGGTTTCACTTAACAGCATTTTTGATTTTTATGTAATGATATCAACATTATAAATTAAATGTATAAATAATATACAATTAATCCATATAATACTAAATAATAAAATATAGTAAAAAATTAGTATTATAATAGTTTCATCTATTTAATGTTAAAATAAAAAGTTGTCAAAATGATGTAAAAAAAAAAAAAAACTAAACAAAACCTTTGTAATGATTTAAATTCATAAAAAAAGCACAAATTTAAAAATTATTATAATTTTATATTTTAATAATAATTTATGAAAAATTTTACCACGAATACTTTTAATCCTAGTTGCACAATATATGGTTTGACACGTTCAAAATGCATGTCTGCTAAACAAGACCATTCATTTGTCTTTGAGTCGAATATATTTGCTAATCTCATTCCTTTACCATAATCATAACCACCAACAGCAAATAAACGGCCATCATTAAGTAAATAACATGTACATAAATTTCTAGGTGGTGATAAAACTATTTGAAAGTTTTTACACTGACAATTTTCACAAATGCAAGTCTGCCATTGATCTAAGGCAGCATCATACCATTCTGGAGATGATTTCATCGGGAAATGACTGAGTAGTAATATACCCTACAATGATAATAGTAATACTTATAATAAAATAATATAATATAAATTAATGGATTTATTATATTCTTTAAACATGAATATTATTTGCATATTGAACTATTCTAGTTTTGAAAATGATCTTACAAGATAACTAATATCACATTTTATAATACAAATTCAACAAATATTTATATATTATTGAAATTAAAAGTAAAGATAATTTTAAACATACATAAATGTTAATGAAATAGTTTTGTTTAACCTTATTCTAAGTTGTATGAATTTATATAAATATAAATTTTTTTATTATAACTAAAGGAGTTCTCATTAACGAATATTTTTAAACAGAATTTATAAGATCACTGACCAATTGAGAACTAACCAATCATAAACTTAGTTCAAAACACAAATACAGTTTTTAATATACTTTGATGAAAGGTCCTAAATGACTTAAAATATTTTTGGAGTATTTTGTAATACTCTATATTAAATTGTGTTTTTCTACTTTTTTAAATTTTATATTAAAAATAATTAATAATTATTTAAAAGCTACAAAGTACAGACCTTTCTAAATGGTTTTCGATGTTCCATTCTAAAAGAACTAAGACCATTTATTCTAGCACCTTGAAACTCATGAACCTTGATGATTCCTTGATAAGTGTTTAAAACTAATGGTAAACGTACATACCATAATAATTCTGTAGAATATTTAGATCTCGTAACTGGTTCATGCTTTATCCATTTCATGACTACATCATATACCTAAACAGGTTAAATAAAATAATTTTTTAAAATTCTGAATAATAATACAAATAATGTAAAAATTGTTTAATTTAAGACTAATAATAATTTAATTAAACATAAAAACAATAAAACTAAAAACTTCACAAAAAATCTCCCTTTTTTTAAAAATGCTAGTATATATAAAATTAAATGTAACTGTAATGAATTTTATATAGGTAAGACAAATAGAAATTTTAAAATAAGATATAAAGAACACATTTCTGAAATAAAATTAAAAAAGACTATTCCTAATTTAAATTTAACTAAATATGTATTAGAAAATAATCATAATATAAGTTTCAGATGAATTACACATACACAATGAAATAAAGAAAAATAATTTTAATAATATTTTAAAAATAATATCTTATATCAATACATTTTAGATAATCAATAATAACCACATAATTTATATTTCTTAACTCATCTATGTGTAATAATAACTAATTTTAAATAATCTGTCCTATTGAAATAAATTATTTCTATATTCTATGTAAAACAACCAATCTGTATAATTATTTTTTTCTATTTATTCCTAAAGTTAAATTTTTATATTCAATCTCGTTTTAGATTTTGACTGTGATATACTTGATTATGAATTTTTAATTTGAAACCAGTCTTATTATAAACTTATAATAGTCCAGGTGACGCATTCATTAATTAATACATTTTATTTCTTTATACATATTTTTTATTTATATATTTATTTACTTTATTTCTATATTGTATTAAACTATACATTTGCAGTTTATTTATTTGTGATACTATTATTGATTTAAATTTTAAGCTAATACTGAACGTTTTTTTTTTTTTTGTTCTTCATTTAATTGCACTTAACTATGTATCATAATGTATTTTATTTTGAAATTTTTGTAAATTTGGTTTCAGTCCATCATTTAATAAATAAAATAAAATAAAAGTATTATATTTATAATGATTAATTACAAAAACTATACCATTTCTTCTTTTGCAAATAAATCATCATTCTTGATTAATAACATTATTTCTTCATAAGTAATTGTCAAAAACTCTTGAGTATTAGCTATGAGTCTAAAAATAATCAATTATGTTAACATTATTATCTAAATAACTCAAGTAAATATATCTACATATAAAACTTAAATAAATAAATCAGTTTATCGAATTATAGTTTTATTGGTGGTAACCACAATGTGCCAAATCTTTGTATACTTTATAATATTCAATAAATACAAACAAATAACTTTTTCAGTATTATAACTTATTATTTGTCAATAAAAAACACAGATTTAACAAGTTATCAGATTAAAACTATACATGCTTATATCATGATTTCAAAAGCCTCTGTTACGGGCGTTAGCTCGCTTTCCGATCATATAATATTTAATATATTAAATATTACATAGCATAGGGTATAGGCCTGTAGTACAGTAATGCCTAGTTGATTTATACCACGGGTCAAATTAGACAGGTATAATTATCTTACATGCCAAATTTACATTTCACCAACCAGGCCGAATCCATAAATCTTCCTAACACCGAGACAAGTCTCAGGTATTGTAGAATAACCCTCGAATAAAGTACAAAGAAACCACACAGTAATACAAATGACTATAATGAGAATTGTTTATTAATGTAATTAACACATGAATTAGGCCTGATGGAAATACTTATGCGCGTATTCTACAGAGATCTGGATGCATGGGCAAGATAATCATCTAATTACGCAACAACATGTTATTGTCGAAAAGCATGGACTAAGAATATCTAGCTTGGAGGTCCAGGGTATATATACCGGCTACTGAGAAGATCTTTTGAGACGAGTCTTACTACTATCATTTACAAACACCTTTGTGTTAGACAATATTCTAAATTAATTAAAAAAAAATGTTTCAATATTTTTCAATTAAAATAAACATACTTATAAAATTATCAAGTTCAATCTTTCAACTACTACCTGACTCTGAGTTTGAAAATACACCCACAATATCTCAATAAATAAAATAAAAAATATCAGACATCTATTAATTATTATTTTATTTATTGAATCATCATCAATCACAATATAAATAAGTACAGTGTATAGAATGAGAATTAAAAATGCATTTCTAATATAAAAATTTTTGAAGAATTGAAATTGGACTAAATAACATTGAAACTAAACAATTCAATCAAACAACTCAATTTCTCATGCTATGCATAAATTTATGTTTGGAGTAAAATTGATTATTATAATACTGAAAAGTACTAACAATTTTTAATAGCAATCGGATTTTGTTGCCATCATAGACTTTCAAACAGAGCAAATGAATACCCCAGGACATTCCAACCAAACCTGTGCCTGTCAAACGGTAGTCAAAGACTGGACACTAAATTTCTTTTGTAGGGAATGTTCTCCTCCAGAAAATAGTGTTACAAATTAGGCAGATGGAACGGTAATCGAAATTGGTACCATATTAGTTAAAGTGCTAATATTTTCAATATAATTATATTCTATAATTTAAATATTTATTTATTTATTTTATTATAGCCAATTGACAATTTTTTAAGTAAATAAGATACTCAAATGTAAACATTACCTGAAATTATTAACTATATACATCAAGCATAATGCATAGAGATCATTTAAACCTAGTGTATTGGCAAAATCTTTCATATTGATGCAATTTTCAATATCAATCATGCTTTTTAAGTAATTTACACAAGCTTCTCGGACATCATCCAATAAAAATATATTGGAACCAATTAATAAATCCTGAAATAAAAATCAATTTATGTTAAAAAACCTTATTAAATAAAAACATAATTAAATTTAAAATGTAGATAGGTAAACATAACAATTTTAAATTGCAAAATAGTAATTACCTGTACATTGTGTTCTGTAATGGTTAGTGATGAAGTATAAAAAAATCCAATAAGTGTACTTAAAGTTTCATAGCTAACGTCCATAATATTGATTTCAATTTTATCTTGGTTGCGTTCCTTAAAACTACTAGTAAACATCCTGTCAAAATAGTCACTATTTGAAGCCAATATATTTTTATGGACACTTATTTTTTGATTATTTACTATAAGTGTTATATCAGTAGTATTAGTATCTCTGAAATTGAATATAATTTATAATTATATAACTACATAATAATTTGAGTATTTTATTGTGGTTTATGAGTTATTAGGTATGTAAATTAAACTTTAAAATGCTAAAGGTAATTTTGGTAATAAACTTAAATACATACAATTCCATGTCGTTTGAGTAAGATTCTTTTTTTCGTTTAAACACAACAAATTTAGATGTCAATGCAGTCCCGATATTTTGACCTAGATATCTAAAAATTATGAATAAACAAATTATTTAGAAATAATATTGTATTTTTAATAAACTTATTGAATAAATAGATTTATAACTTTTTTTTAGAAAACTATTAAATAATTTCCTAAACTGATAATTTATTAATGCCTAAATAATAAAATAATAAATTTTAAAATGTATATTAAATGATGGGTTTTATGCAGTTGAATAATTTGTAATGATTAATTAAACAAAATGTCAATAAAACAAATAAATATTTTGTTATTTATGTTTATTTACTAATTCTTTGATGTCTAATATTTACTAATAACTAATAAGCATTGATATATAAGTATACAAAAACAAATCGATACCTAGTTGATATTACATATATTGAACTATTAATAATAAAATAGTTAGAAAATAAGAACGTAATAAGACAGCAAAGGTAATAATAGATACCTATTGGGACAAACTGTCTGTGTTTCTTCATTTGATGTGTCCATCCCTGTATTCATTATAAATTCTAAATTGTTCATAAGGTTAACCAATAGACTGTATTCGCATTAGAGTTGACGTTTATTACTTTTAAGGACACATTGAAGAGATCAGTAAAATTGTAATTTTTTTAGTTTTGTAGAGAAAAAAAAAATAAAGAATAGGTAGTTGACTGTTAACACTTGAAATTAATCATAAACAATTGGATAAATATTCTGAAAGTGCGGCCAATGCACGCCGTGGAGATAATCAGTAGTGATAATAATGTGATCAGAATTAAGAAAAAAAAATTCGGTGGTTCTCAACCATGAACTAAAATATTTATGTTCTCAACAATCTTGTGTAACAAGCAGACCGCAAATAAAGTGAAAATGGCTTAATTTTTGTGACGAGACCATATTATTATAAAGTATAAATGTACACAACGATTTAGATAAATTTAATACATAATAAATATATATTATTATATAATTATTAAATACCCGACAAATAAATCTCATTCGACATAAAGTCACATAAAAATAACAAAGGGTCATTCGACAAAACACCACCATCATAATCCGACAAAATGCCACTCGAAAAAAAACCACGAAATGTCTTCGGAGGAATACTTTCGGATCTGTATATAAAATTGCCTATATAGTTCTTAAAATTTTGATAGGGTTTTTTTTGATAACATCATATTTAACATAAAAGTAAATCACAATATTTGCACAATACCATCAATACGTTTTAAAAAATAAATAATAACCAGATAATTTATATTTCTTAACGTATCGATGTCTAATAATAACTAATTTTAAATAATCTCTCCTATTAAAATAAATTATTTCTTTGTAAAACGACCAATTTGTATAGTTTTTTTTTTTTTATGACGTATTCCTTCATTTAATTTTTCACATTCAGTCGCGTTTTACATTTTGACTGTGATATACCTGATGATGAATTACATACTCTAGGCGACGACGCATTCATACGTTTATTTATTTTTATTTCTATATATAGATTTTATATTTTTATATTTATTTACAAGTATTAACCATTTTAATAATTTTGTTTTTAATTTATTATTTTATTATAAATACAATATATAATAATACAAATTTGTCGAGATCAATTTTAGATTCTGAGTGGAGCGAAGAAGCTTATGGTTTTACAAAGATATTTTTTTTTCTATGGACAACTTTTTTATCAGAGATCTTGCTCCGATTTTTAAGTGAAACGTTTTTTCTGAAAAAAAATTGGTGTAGGGAGTTACTTGAAGAAGGTAATTTTCTGAGGTGTTTTCGAAATAATTGGAAAAAACCCGAAAGAAAATTATAGATAAAACGGTAAATATTTACGGCGCGTCAAGACATTACCGTTTTCATTGTGTTATAGTTAAGTTTTCCACCAGAAATATTACTTCAATCGAAAAATGACAGGAGATCCTATTATTGTTTCGTTAGGAATATTTCGAAGTAAGTTGTTTTTTGATATCCAAAGGTATTTGCAAAATGTTAATGATTTTTACGGGTACACGACAAAATATACCAAAAACAAAATTTTCCTGGGAAAATATTCAAATGACTAAATATATCACAATAAAAATAATAGAATTATTATTATTATTATTATTATGTATAATGTTGTGTTTATTATATAAATAGTATGTACTATACATATGTATTATTTTATTATGTTTGTTTTGAAAAATAAGCCTTGGTATATATTACATAGATAAAAAATCTTTAATAATAATTTTTAAAAGAATATAAATGATTTTTGAAAATTATTTTTCTGTCTGAGTAAAAAATGAGACAATAAAACAATATAATCTTTAAAGAACAAACCAATTTTTTATTTGTTAAAACTGTTTCAGAAGGAACAATATAAACTATATTTTATTATTGTATTATAATGCTTAGCTACTTACCAAATATACCTATATTTTATTACTAAATAAAATAAACAGGTTAACTGAGGTCATTTCTTAAATGATATATTTCAACAGAATACAATTGGATTATAATAACAATACTATCTTATAAAATCCATAAAAATGTTGACTTATTATTTGTATAATGTAAGTGTTATAGGTAGGTACATATTTTTGTGTACTTAACTATGGTTTTTGGTTTAAATTTTCACATTTTAATGGTTGTGTTATGGCTGAGTTATGTTCCTGACCCTAGTTGTTTTAATAGTTAAAAAGTAGTTAGGATCCAATTATTTTTTGGTACTATACAGTAATATTAAACTAGTTGAGTCTCGACTTATGGTAGATATACTAGTTGGGTTGAAACGATACAAAACATTTTTCTTCTAATTTTTACAATTTTAGGATTTATTTTGCCAGTGATTTTTTTCTGTAGTTTTATAATTTATTTTTCTTGTAAAATATAGTCCTTTCAGTGTTTTGGATTTTGAATGAAGCAGAGAATGTATTGGTTTAACAATGATGTTTATTTTTTTTAAAAAAATGGGAAAAATGTACGAAATGAAGGTATTAATTAAAAAATATTACAGACTTTTCTTTCCTGTGAACAATTTTTCTACCAGCAATTTTGTTCCGATTTACAATGATAGCTTTTTTTCTAAAAGGAAATTTAACTTGTGAAGTACTTTAGGGAGATCAGTTTTTGATTTTCCCAGGAGTATTCCCAATGAATTTTGAAAAAGCGTAGGAGAAATGGGAAAATAGGTACAATATTAAACAATTATTATTAAAGAAAATGTTTAATACTGTTTAATGTTTAATAATGTGTAATTATTTTGCCATAATATGACATATATATTGTTGAAAAAGCAACACTATCAACTGAACTCCACTCAGAATCGTTTTTCGTTAGCAATGGTTAGTTGTTGCGTACATATATATATTTAATTTCCGTCTGTATGTTACCTTCTCAATTTCTCATCTACAATAGTGGCTGCACCCGTTACTATTGTCCTATCTTAGGACAGCTTTTTCTCAATTTTATTCAGTTTTCATAATTTTAGTTTTCTCCCATTGATGACGGTGACATCTCTGAAATTTCAACACAAGCAGAGAGAACCCATAGAAATATTTAATTGTCACTAATAATTTTACACCAAATACAAGTTATATATACATATTATTTATATAACTTAATATTATATTTTTGTTTTTCTTGTGGCCGTATTCAATCGTAATATGCCATATTATTATCTTAATTTTTAGATAACAAGTTCTATTGAATCACGCAGTGGCAGTATCTGTATGGGTTATTTTTAAATTTAATCAGAACTCTCAAAGTTATTATGAAATAGAATAGACATGTACAAGCCGTTGAGTTAATCGTATTAACGCTTAAAATTTTATAATATTTTTAATATTTTAATATTTAATATATAAACTAATAAATCGACATGGATTTTTAATTAAACGATTGATGAATAGCGATGAAAGTGCAATTGAAACGAAAGTTCATAAGGTATCAGAAACGTCGTCAGATGTAAAAACCAGTTGAAAATATTTGAACTAAAATTCTAATAAAAAGTACTGTAAATACCAAGAAAGTTACATCAAGTTTGGATTCAATTTCGATGTTGAAAAAGGTGAGCAGAAATTTTTTATATAATTTTATAATTTTAAATGATTGAAATGTTGATTATAAGTATAACAATTTCTGTAATTTTTTTTTATGTTTTGGAATCAAAAATTTGGGTATATTAAACAAATATTGAAATTGCCCAAAATGAACGATTTAATTTATACGACTATAATTATTAAATATATTGAGTAAATATTTATAATACACTTATGTAATGTTGGTAGGGAGGGGGGGGGTCGCCTCATTGAAATAAATTTGGGGGCCGTGGATTAAAAAAGGTTGCGTACTACTGTTTTATGCCACTCATCCGTGTGG